GTGGTGTATGCTGATAACAATGACTTTGAATTGGCGGTCGTTCAAATGAAAAAAGTAGTAGGCGAGAACAATGTTAGTACTGATGAAGCAGAATTGAAAGCCCAATCAGATTCATTCTTTAGCACTCATCATCCACCCGATCCTTTGAAACAGAAACCAAAAGCATTAGTGTATCCGCTGTCAACAGAAGAGGTTGCTGAACTAGTGAAAATTGCCCATGAGTATCGGGTACCTGTGATTGCAACTTCCGGATTTACTTCACTTGAAGGCCAGGCAATGCACACAAGAGGACCCAATAGCATTGCTATCTCCTTTGCCAACATGCACAAAATCTTGAAAATACACCCAGAAGATCTTGACATGACGGTAGAAGCTGGTACAAGTTGGCAAGATATTGATCAATATCTTTTAAGCAATGACGATACCAGCCATTTGATGTTTGGTCCCGACCCAGGAATGGGTGCTTGCATTGCAGGGATGGTTTCGACTTCAGCTAGTGGCACCAATGCATACAAATATGGAACCCATGAAAGAAAATGTCGTCAACTTGACGGTGGTTTTGGCCGATGGAACTATTATCAAAACCAAGCAACGGCCTCGCAAAACCAGTGCCGGTTACGACATCACCAGGCTCTTTATTGGAGCCGAGGGCACACTAGGAATCATCACTGAAATCACCGTAAAATTGCATGTTCGACCAGTTGTTGAATTCGTAACCTTGGCTTCGTTTCCCCACTATTAAAGATGCCGCCGCCACGGCTCTGGAGATCATTTCCAAGAGCGGCTTGCAACCCAATGCCATTGAGATATTGAACGAAGCTATGGTATCATTTGTCAACTCGAGTCAAGGACAAAATGATCATAAATTTTTGGAGAAACCAACACTTCTCTTCAAATTTGGCGGTCCCACTAAAAAGGACGTTGATACCCAGGTTGAAGTTGCAAGGAAAATTGCATCGAAAAACCTGCTCATCAACTTGGAAACATCTAGTAATCGTGAAGATAACGACACCTTATGGACAGCTCGTCGAGCAGGACTTTGGTCTACCTACGAATATGGTTCCAAAGTGCTAGAAAACAAAGATGATGTTCAAGTTTGGACCACAGACATTGCCGTACCCATTTCAAAATTGGCTCAGGTGATTTCAGAGACAAATGACGATATTCGAGCTCTGGGATTTGGAGACAAGTTCTCGATCATGGGCCACATTGGAGATGGAAACTGCCATTTTCTCATCCTCTACAACTCTCCTGACTACAAAAAAGTACAGAAAGTGGTCGACAGAATGGTATACCGAGCAATTGACCTCGAGGGAACCTGTACTGGTGAGCATGGAGTTGGAATAGGAAAGAGAAAATATTTGAACAAAGAGCTCGGAAAAGAAACCGTTGATTTGATGAGACACCTCAAACTCCTGATGGATCCAAGAAGAATCCTAAACCCTGATAAGATTTTCCGTGTAGACCCTTCGGACACTTTGGATGCTCAATTTGATGCGGCACACATCCATGATCATGGATGTTGTAGTTAGCTATATGAACCCTCAATCCAATATAGAATGAAAGAGTAAAGCACCCTCTTTTAAAAAATCGATTGGTCAGTGACTTGCAACTATTTCGAAGTCCAAACAAGTTCTATGCTAATCGATTAAACCGTCCCATGTATATGTCAGTACCTGCATATACCCACTCAATAAATTTCACTCAATCTACTATCTAGCCATGGTTTCTCTGCAAGCACAAGCTCCTGGCGCCGTGGATCTCCAGGCCCAATCTGATATATGCACCAAGGTCCATAGCTTCAAAAACCCAAACAGACCACCTCCAGGAGGTGCACGAAGGTTTAAGCCAGCACGTCAGATGTTGGGAGACGAAATCAAGTACCTTCAAAGCAAACTGAATATAAAGTTCGATACCCCTACATACGTCTCTGTGGCTGCTCCACCCAGCTTGAAGCCTGCAAAGCATTATTGTGACATTACAGGACTTCCTGCTCGTTACAAAAATCCCAGTAACGGATTGAGGTTTTACAATGTTGAAATATACCAAGAAGTAATCAAGCATATGCCACCTGGAGTGGACCAGGAGTACTTGAGTTTGCGTGGAGCCAACGTTGTATTGAAGTGATGAAAAGAAGAATCAATATACAAGAATAACTTACATTGATACTAGTGTAGATTTCACCGAAAAAAGTAATGAAGTAAAGTACAGTGTTCACGTTGCTGAAGGTTCTGGTAAAGTTCTGGTGATGGTTCTAGTGAAGTGCAATTGGTTGAAACTTGAAGAAAGGGAACTTGGTTTCCAAAGGAGGTATGTGACGTAGTCTGAGGTGTTTTCTGATGAGTTCTGGTTTTGAGTATTCTGAGTTTAGTTGTGTGTCAGTGCTTCAGCTTCGCCTTGCCCATTCCACTGCTCCACAATCTCCCGTATGCTATTGTCAAACTTTGGGTTCCTTGGAGCACAGATGCCAGATCGTTCTGGTCGATGCAACTGAACTGGATTACAAACTATGCGAAGATAACATCGTAAAATGCGAGAAAAAAAAGGTCATTAAAACTCTGTTTTACCGTCTCACCCTCCTCCTCAACAGTTTCTGTAGTTGTTCCTACTATTATTTTGAGACCAGTGCTGGTTTCATTACCATATACTGTGACATCATCTTGAACAAAAAGAAGAGTAGCACCACCCAAATCAAGTTCTGCCAGCCGTTGCTCCTGCTGCTGCTGCTCGTGCAACGATAATGTCATCGGCGAGGCAAAAATATCAAGCGCCATGTGTGAAAGAAAATTATACTTGAGAAACCGATTGGCATTGACAGTGTCTTCACCAGTTACGTTTTTGGGTAAGTCAAATGCCTGGATATAAAGGGGCGAGTCATCTCGCGAAACGAGTGACACAAAGCAGATCCGACACGCCCTGGACCTCATAAATGCAATTGTGGACTGTGAATGTGGGAATAGTGAGTCTCTGGTCCACTATCGCCAGAAACCTAGGTGATCGGGCGCTTACGTAATCACCAATCCATACGGCTCGATTCAATTAGACGTGAGCTGTAGAGATGTTTTCCACAAGAAGTCCGCATTGCAAGCCTGATTCAGGTATGATTGGATGATTTTGCAATTCGCAAAGTGAAATCAGAATTTTGATAGTAAGATACGATATCATTGTAGTATTTTTGTCATTAATTTCTGGTGCGGAGAATACAGTGGAAACGCCCAGCTAATATACACCAAGTTCTTGTTATAGTTTTGCAGCGATCGACTAGCACATGCCTTCTCTTGCCGAATCCATCTAGCATTTTGAACTTTTCGCAATCAAAGCTATCTGATTATCGCGCAACTTTCACCGCTAGTATAAATTTTTGGGGAAGTACTAGAAATGGGCGATAAGTAAGTAGGCAGATAGAGAGATAATTAATTGCTTAAGCCAACTCTCTTCAATGGCTGCTGTCGGAGTATTGACGGTAACATCGTACCGAGTTTCGGCAAAACACGAAAATGCCGATCGAAGCATGGGAGCTATAAATTGCCGGTGCTGCCAAAATGGAAATCGTAAGATTAAATCAAAGGATGAGTGTGCCTACAATTGACTACGAACAGTTGTGGGAAGATATCACAGTCAAGACTTGCCAATGGAGTCAATTGAAGGAAAATTCTTCCGGTATCAGTAGACTATCGTTATCTGAGGAAGACAAAAAAGTACGCGATTGGTTCGTTGCCGAATGCAAGTTGTTGGGATGTGAGATAAAAGTTGACCGAGTGGGAAACATATTTGCGGTATACACCGATGTGTTGCATCCGGGATGAGTCCGATCGTATGGGAGTCATTAGATACTCACCATAGGAGGACGCTCCGATGGAATCTGGGTGGTGGTGTCTGCTAGGAGTATTACGAGCTATCAAGCGTAGTGGTTACAAACCGTACTTTCCACTAGCTGCTGTAAATTGGACTAATGAAGAAGGAGCTCGATATCTGAAAATGTGCATGAGCTCTGGCGTTTGGTGTGGGCAATTATCGCCTGATGAGATTCTCAAACTTAAAGATATCGATGGAAAAAAAGTCCTGCTGGAATTGGAGGCTATTGGGTACAATGGACCCATAGCGCCTGATCACAAGGTTAACAAATTGAGTGCTCACTTTGAATTGCATATTGAGCAGGGTCCAAAACTCGAGGAGATGTTGGCGCATGAAGGCGGCAGTATTGGTATAGGAATCGTACAAGGAATCCAAGCCATGAGATGGTACCAAGTTGAAATAGAGGGACAAGAAGGACATGCTGGAGCGCTCGAAATGGTCAGAAGACACGATGCATTGGTTGCAGCTTCTAGATTAGTCTTGGACCTCGATGAGGCAGCTAGAGCGACGCAAAGTGTTGCAACCGTTGGTAGGCTCATACCAAAGACGATCGCTCCAAACACAATAGTGGGAAAGGTTGACTTGATATTCGACTGTAGGGCAATTAAAGAGTCCCAGTTAGACTCGATCATTCAAAAGGTTGAAAGTACAATTAAATCACTATCGCAAGATGGAGGTTATCATATTGAAATGCGTCAAATTTGGGCCCACAAAGCTGTAACTTTCAACGAAGATTGCATTGCAGCAGTTGAGGAAGTACTTGAAACAAGACCAGACATCCCAACATTAAAAATGTTTAGCGCTGCTGGTCATGATAGCGCATCAACGGCTTCTGTAGTTCCCACTACAATGATCTTCGTGCCTTCTGTGGGGGGAATTTCCCATAATCCTGCCGAGTTCACAACTAAGGATCAATGTAAAGCTGGTGCAGAAGTCTTACTCGAATCAGTGTTGGGCTACGACAAAAAACTAAAAGCATCGATGGAGGCACCGGGAAATCAGATTGAGAAAGGTACATAAAAGGATTCATAGATTTTGTCGAGCATTCTATATCTATTCGTTAATCGATACTATTTGAAAAAACGAGTTCAAGTCATTACTAATTGACCGGGCAGCCATGTTTCCACACGCAGATTGAAATTGGAGAATTGACAAAGGTTCTAATATTTCATAAAAGCCTTTCCGGCCCTTCATTATGTTACTGATAAGAACTATCAGAATGGCAGAATACAAGTAATTTGAGTCGTAAAACCCTAATTTTGATATCAATTGATTATCTTTGCAAAACTTCATTAGTTTGATGATGCTTGTAGCAGCAGCAAGTCCTGTTATGACTGGTTGCGACGACCAAATTGTGTCATTGAATTTTGGAGAATTCATAGACGCTAAATTGAAATAGTACAAAAAAACTGGGCGTAGTGCCAAAATGGTCGTCTGGTTGTAAAACAAAAGTAACGATGCGTCCTTTCTTTCTTTAACAGTGGATGTTTCAAGTGAGGGTCTAATAGCAGCAGGTAGCTCTTTTTTAAACTGCTCGAGACTATCCAAGACAGAAAAGATTTGCAGCATGTCTTTGGCGATATTAAAGGATTTGGCATAGATGGTCGAGAGTATTTTCGACGTAATAACCGCCAACTTGATGTTCAAAGTAAAGTAAGTGTGATCGAAAAAGAGTCCTTCCTCGTCTGTTCCTAGCTGCGTCCTTGAAGGTAACGGAACATCCACATGGTCAACGCATATATGCTGCGGGGTGCCCAAGAGCGAAACACAAAACATTTCCATAACAAATGCCGTCCACCATGTTCGTGATCTATGTTCCTTTACTACTGGACTGACGTTTGACCCAGGCAGTTTGTGAAGGCCGATATGGAGGGCTTTTCTTACGGCACACGCACTATGAATTGAAGCAAGTCCTCTCTGATTGAGGATAAGGAGGTACCACGCAAATAGGATGTGGGTTTGTATTGCAATCAAGGAGAAACTCGAGTTAACTTCATGCAGATACTTGAGGGCCAATTTGAAGTACAGATAGCCCGGAAAATCGTCCGTGACAATCGTATTTTTATCGTACACAGCTCCCAAGGACATCACTAGACAGAATTGCGATACAACCATAGGATGATTTCGATCTATACCGTTAGAGTAAATAGAATCGATGTTCAATAGGAGCTCGTCGTATAAAAAAAAGTGATAGTCATATTGCAAAAAACTCAAAAACTTTTTAAGGTTGTCCACAACTGCCACGCCAGCGGGAAGTGTCGCATCGTCATCGACATCAATATTTGGGGGTGTCAAGCTCTTCGCTATTGAATTTTAATGCCAGATCTGGGTCGATCACATTAGCGACTCTGGCTAAGAATTCTTGCGTGTTGCTAGAAAGGAGCGGCTCGAAATGAGCAGTAGAGTCAAATTCTTTCGGCAGAGGACTCTGGCTATCTTCAAAAAGTCGTAATCTTTCTCGCAAACCCTCAAGTTCTCGAAGACTTATGTTAATTCGCCGATCCTTGCCCAGGTAGACACAGCGTACATTTCGAGCAGCACAAGACCGGCAAGACGGACGTTCACCGGAGCATTTTGTTTTCGACTTGTGGCACCTGTTACACCTACATCTGTTAATAATGGGCCCCGGATTTCATTTTGGTCACAACTTACGCTGCCGATGTCCTCATAGATTAATTGCAGTCAAGGCAATTTTGCGTGAAAGAACCCGATCTAATATCGTATTTTTGTGCGGCTCATCATGCGAGTTCGGCAACTATCCAAAATGCCGATCTGTATCGCTCGCTCGAACCGCTCCAACAGATGTCTCAAAGTTATAAAAGAGAGGTGCTTTGGTCCATTAAGGACCACGGTACAGGGAAGGAGACATGATGGAAAAGCTGGAGTTCTCAGAAAGTGTTCTTAAAAGTGAAGAGTTGAGCACTCACGAGGAACAAGATCAAGAGTTCAAGAACATCGAGAAGAGAGTATTAAGAAAATTTGATTTCATCATCATGCCATGTCTTTGCCTAGCCTATCTCTTCTCCACCTTGGACAAGGCAAATATTGGGAATGCTAAGGTGGCTGGTATGAGTGACGACTTGGGGATTGAGTGGTAATCAATTTGGAAATGTTGTAAGTTTACTTTATATCACCTATGTGATAGTTGAAACGCCATTGGCACTCATTCTCAAGTTTGTTGGAGCAAAGTATGTTTTGTCAGTCTTGTGTTTTCTTTTCGGTATATGCTGCTTGTGTACTGCCCTTGCAACCGACTACCATTCCCTCTTGGCATGCAGAATGTTAGTGGGACTTTTCGAAGCAGGTATAATTCCTTGCATCAATGTGTACTTGAGTATGTTGTACACAAAAAAAGAAGTTGCAAAAAGATGTGCAGCCGTTTACTCTGCTGGTGCCGTCTCTGGAGCGTTTGGAGGTTTATTGGCTTATGGGTTGACTAAGATTAACACCGACAAATGGTCCGGATGGCAGTTCTTGTTCGCCGTGGAAGGTGGTTTGACCATTTTGGCAGCTCCAGTAATAATTCTTCTTCTTCCTCGTAACGTAAGGGAAGCTTGGTGGCTCAATAAGGAAGAGAGAAAAGTATTGACCACACGATTGGCAACTTACTCTGATTTTCACCAAGATGAGAAATTCATGTGGTCTGAGGTTGTTAGAGGATTAAAGGATATCAACACAGTTGTGGTATGCCTCTATCAGTTTTGTGTGGATGTCACTTTGTTTGGAATATCAACTTTTTTACCCTCGATTATTCTTGGTATGGGCTACGATTCGTATAAGACTCAGCTTATGACGATCCCATTCTATGTGGTTGCCCTTCTTAGTTTTGCAACAACCTGTTACTTTTCGGACAAGACAGGTAATCGAGGGTTCTTTATTGCTGGAGGAGTGGTTTGTGAAATTATTGGTTATATCATTTTGATTGCTAGTAACCCGCTTGGCTCCAGATATTTCGGTTGTTTGATGATCGGCCTAGGAATCTACATCTGTTCAGGTTTAAGTGTTATGTGGATTAACAACAACAATGCTGGACATTATAAGAGAGCTACAGCCGCAGGTATGTGTACCACTATTGGAAATATCGCTGGTGTACTCGCAGGTCAAATTTACACAGCAGATACGGCTCCACGTTATTTTAAAGGATTGAAGATTGCGCTAGGAATGACATGTGCAGCTTTGGTGTTTTGTTCACTTATGATCTATAATTATTACCTGATGAATAAGAAGAAAGAGAGAATTATAGCCGCTATGAGTGCTGAGGAGATTGACCAAATGAATGCCAATTTGGCTCATAAAGATACTGATTTAACTTTCAAGCTTTTACTTTAAACTCTTTACATAGATTAGAATTGCATAGATATGTTTCTTGGGTTAAGTTATCATTACGAAGCATGAGCTTTGTTATATAGAAGTAAATAGAAAAGCAAACTTTTATCTCATAACAGTACTATGTTTGTAAACTGCTCTAATCTCACAACACTTACATTTACTACATATAAGATGGTCTCCACTCAGATATCCACTTGTTAGTTGGAACAGCCAACTGACTCTTACCTCTAGGTACGAATGCGCCAGATTTGGATGCATCATCGGTGAATTTGCCTTCCTCAAAGACAACCTTACCCTTCAAAATATTGTAACGGGGCCAGTTATGGATATTAAAACCTTCAAAAGGCGTATAGTCACACTCAGTATGCAAATTCTTGGAAGAGATCGAATTTTTGTAAGTTCCTTCAGGATACCAAATAACAATGTCCGCGTCCGACACACCCGGGTTCAAAGTGCCTTTTTGTGGGTATAACCCATAAAGTTTGGCAGGGTTAATGCAATTAAGCTCAACAAATTTGGTCCATGAAATCTTCTTTTCTAGAACTCCGAAGCTTGCGAGAAGAGCTAACCTTGTTTCAACACCAGGGCAGCCATTAGGGATCCACTTGAACTCACCGTTGTGGCCGTTCTTGAAAGCGATACGCTTTCCATCTTCACTGTGATATTTGGTAGGACAGTGATCTGACGAGAAAATAGTAATGGAATTATCCTCGAGTCCGTTCCATACCGCTTGTTGGTCCTTTTCGCTATGGCGGGGTGGTGGCGAGCAAAGGTATTTAGCACCTTCAAAAGGATCGTGACAATGTATCCGCTTCAAGTCCTCAGCTTTGAGAAGGAGATACTGAGGACATGTTTCCGCAAATACACTTAAGCCTCTGGAGCGTGCTTCTCTAATTGATCTTATAGCCTCTGGTGCTGAAACATGGACGAAGAGCACGGGAGAATCCATTGCTTCAGACATAACAATTGCCCTGTTCGTTGCTTCTCCCTCAAAGATAGAAGGACGAGAAATCGCATGATAATAGGGTTCTGTGTGACCCTGTTCCTCCAACGAGTCGATCATCCACTGGATCATATCCCCATTTTCGGCGTGCAACATGACCGTGATTCCACACTTCCTGGCATAATAGAGTACTGTCATCAAATCATAATCCCTCATTTGCAACTTGGGGTAGGTCATAAACAACTTAATGCTCGTCACTTTCCCCTCCTCTGCCAATAAAGTCAATTGTTGCTCAAGACAGTCTTTCTCAATTTTATACATGACTAAATGCAATGAATAATCACAATAAAGCATGTCTCCACACTTTTCTTGACACTTTTTTATAGTTCGGATTAGAGCTTCGGCGCCCAGGTCATTTGGATCTTGTGATGCAAATGCAATGATAGTTGTTGTTCCTCCCGCAGCTGCGCTTCGGGTTCCCAGTTCGAAGTCGTCCGAAATTTTTCCAAAGAGATCTAATGGCTCTTTTAGGTGAACATGAGCATCTACACCACCTGGAGTAACTATTGCACCCTCCGCATCGATCACTTTTCTTGACGTCGCTTTTGACAAGTCCCCAATTTTTGCTATCTTTCCATCTTGCACACCGATATCGGCCCTCCTTAAATACTCGGTGCACACAAATCCATTCTAGTTGTTAGAGAAACATTTGATTCAACAAAGCACCTTTGGTTACTTACCGTAATTATTAAATCGAACATCTTTTTTGTTAGTTGCGGATTGTAAGAAGCTTTTATTGATTTTGCAGCCATACAGGCTTACTTTCGGCACGCGCCTTAATTGATCGGTGGTTGCGAAAAATGCCGAACTTGCATTCGGCATGAGATGCCGAAGTGATTTCAATATAAATTGAAGGGTACCGCCTCCATTGAAATCAGGAAATGACGCACGATAGATTGGATATAGTTGTGGTTGGTGGCGGAATTGCTGGTTTATCAGCAGCCATTTCTATCGCATTAAATGGCCACAACGCAATTGTCTTAGAAGCCGCAAAGGAAGTTAAAGAAGTGGGTGCAGGTATCCAAATCTCCAGTAATTCAACAAAAATCTTGAAAAGATGGGGCATTTGGGATACCTTAGAGCCGAAGGCTAACATCCCACTCTTCACTGATTTCAGACATTATAAAACAAATGAAATTTACTCGGTAGCAGATCATACTTTGATGGCTGAGCTCTATGGAGGCCCATTCGGGAATCTTCACAGAGCTACATTACATCAGCTGTTGTTGGATAAAGCTTTGTCTCTTGGTGTAGTTGTGCAACCCAACTCACGGGTACATAGCATTAATTTTGACGAACCGTCAGTAACACTCGAGAATCAAATTGTGGTTAGAGGTGATTTTATTGTTGGTGCAGACGGTTACAAGTCAAAGTGCTCGGAAAATTTTAGGGGAGCTCATGATAAGCCAAAGTTTTCAGGGGATATGGCATACCGGATTATTGTCGATTTTGACGACGTTAGTCAAGATGTGCTCTTGGAGGATATAGCAAACGACAACTGTATCCACTACTGGATGGGCCCAGATACTCACTTTGTATCTTATGCCTGCGACAATAATAGATATTATAACGTTGTTATCCTCACCAAGTGTGACCGAGAACCAGATTTCGGGACGTCATCAAGTGAAGCTGACTTACAGGAGATGTGCGCCAAATTCAAAGATTGGCATCCACTTCTTCAACAAATGTTAACAAAGGTGAAAGCAACCTCTACTTGGCAATTGTGGATGAGGGATACGGCATCTGAATGGTCCCATGCTAACGGACAATTTACCTTAGCGGGAGATGCTGCTCATGTAACTGTCCCATATATAGGTCAAGGAGCCGGAATGGGCATTGAGGACGGGTGTGTTATAGGTGAGGCGCTTGGCAGAATCAAATCAAAAAAGGACTTGGCAACGGCAGTTCAAGCGTACGACAAAGTCAGAATCGAAAGATGCGCCAGAATTGTTCAGATGAGCAGAGACATGGGTGTCATAATGCACTTGCAGGATGGTCCAGCAGCCGAGAGCAGAAACGAGATTATGAAGTTGCCCTTTCCTCTCAAAGGTGACCCAAATCTCTGGAGAGACCCTTCCAATGCAGAGTGGCTATATGGTTTCGATCCCTTCAAGGCAACGGAAGAAGCATTCAATAACTGCAGTCATAATCTGTAAACGACTATTATAATCCAGAATTTGACATTTTGAGCCCTATTAAGCTATCAGTAGTCAAACGCTTTATAATATACCGAATTTACAACGGCGACTCTGCGACTTTGGAACGTCGGCCCGCGAATTTAAAAGCTTCAAGATAAGGAATTTTTGTGGAAAATACTGTACCTAAAGTGATTTGAGTGATCAGAACTTGAATCGATGATACACGGGTGAAATCATATCAATAAGAAGCACAGAAGAATAAAACATAGTAGAAATATGACTTCCCTCTATTCACATAAAGAAGGATCACCTCCGCCATTGCCCAGTCGACGTCAGCAAGCTCCTCCAAAACCACCAAAACTTCCTCAAAGAAGATACCAAAACGACGAGGAAGAGGCTCCACCCTTGCCCAGGAGAAGCCAGTCACCTTTTGAGGTGAATTTGGTCACACCAGTCATTCGAAAACGAGAACCTCCAATAAAACCGAAAGCATCAAAACCAACATTAAACGCTGAAAAGAGACCACAATATGGTGCTAACGACACAAAAGTGGTCAATGATGATCGCAAATTGAAAACGAACGAAAGTGACGCTGAAACTACTAAAAAGACATTTAACAATACATCGTTTGGGACTAAACCAGCTACCAAGTACAAGTCTTTTCTCGATCTTGAACAGCAAATAAAGACAGGACAACGAATTGGCGAGTCAAATGAAAAGACACCCAAACCGACTGCCCCGAAAAAACCTGCCAAAATTGCACACACACCTCTGGAAGAACAGAAGCCTGAGAAAGCCACGAAAGAGCCTGCAAATGGTCCTTTAAAAGGTCCTGGGTTTATTGCGAAGTCATTCACGAAAATCACAAGCCCAGCTCGTGCCTCCGAGACAGAAAAACCTATAGATTCTGAAAATTTCAGAGGGTCAGAACCACCAGAATCCAAAGAACCACCCAAAGAGCCAGTAAAAGGGCCCGGATTCATTGCAATGTCCTTCACCAAAGAAAGTCTTCCTCACAAACCAAGACCTCATGTGGGTCCCAAGCCTGACATAAAAGAAAGTTCCACATCACAACCTTCTGAAACCACAGAACAGAAACCACCAAAGCCAAAACCTAGAATTGGAGCCAAGCCTCCACTGAAGACAAGTGAAGCACCAACAGCAGAAAAAGGCCCTGGGTTTATTGTAATGCCGTTTACCAAAGTTGCGGCTCCCAGCAATCAAGAAAGACCACTGAAACCCCAGCCTTTGACTTCGAAATCTCAGCCATTGGCTCCCAAGACACCTCCAAAACCATCGAAACCAGCATCCCCTGCTGCCTTAAAGACTCGTTCCATTTCAATCGGAGCACTGGCACCAACTAACACCGAAGCAATTGGTGCACTCTCAAGACTCAAACCTACCAAACCAGTCCAGAATTCGAGCAAGCATATCACTCTAAATGAGAACAAATCTAGTGACAGTGTCAATTCCAAATCATCGTTATCATTCAATGATCATCTTTCGTCGCTTCTCAAAACCAACACTTTGCCAAGCCTTTCTGCTGCAGAGAAGCCGCAACCACCTCAAAGGTCTACAACTTTACCCGACATTACTGGTCCTGCAAAAATCACCCACGCAAACAAGAAGAGGGCAAAGGGCCCCAAGAGAAGACTTCCTGGTAAATCCTCGTCAAATACTTCTAAAGGGTCAATTTCTTCCTTGTCATCTACACCAACGTTGCTGCAAAAAGCACCATTAGCAACATTGAAAAAAACATCACCAGTGGTCAAAAAAACACCTCCGCCCGTCAACAAGGCTTCTAAACCTAAGGTTGCATCCAAACCAGACCCCATTGTCGTAAATAACTAATCAAGTCATTCTTCCCATTGGTAGCAACAATTCGCATGATTTTGTGTCACTTTGCCTTGTCGCATTTCACAGCCGTGGAAACGAAATTTGAACAAATGGCATTCTCTGACACCATCACAGAAACCTGGGCACACATTGTGGGTCAGTTCTCTAACCAAAATAATGATATATGGAGCACTTTGCACAGTTTAAAGTCACGTATAGGTGCTCAAAGTGAGTTGTTCATTCATGAGCTTAAAAGTGCCAATTCTGATTCAGTGTTGCAAGATGTCAAGGGACTTAAAATCACCCCTGTGACGGTAACATTGGCTGCCGTGGTGCTCACTACATTGGTGATTGTCGGTAGTGTTGCTGGTGGTAATTCCAGCAATCAATCGCAAGGGAAAAAGAAGAAGAAACCAAAAAAGAAAGTGTCTCGTGCCCAGAAAGCTAACCATGAAATACAAAAAGTTTTGGATTATGTGGAGGACAATTACGTGCCTCAGATCGACGAGTACTTGTCTGAGTACAAGTCCATGAAACCGGAAGATGTGCAATACAAGTACAAGTACTTTGAAGAGATGCTTCTTAAAGAGCTCATGAAACTCGACGGTATCGATGTTACAGGCAACGAAGTATTGCGAGAGAACAGGAGAAAGGTGATCAAGTTTGTTCAGGACCACCAAAAGAGATTGGACAAGTTTAAAAGGGAGGCCAAGTTCTAGAAATATTTATCAATGGATCTGTAACCGGTGTAGAATTGTCAGAAATCTACATTAACATTGTTCTACTTTCCGTCTATTGGATCTGTGCTGATCTTCTCCTGGCACTTCTGTGCTATCTCTCTTCGTCCTCTTTCTTATTTTCTTCTCTCATCAAACTCCTGCGCTGTGAGCCTCTTTCCGCCTGGTACTCCGAATTCTGGAATACCTTTGTCAACGTTGCTAAAAACGCTTTCAATTATAGGCAATGGTTTACCGAGCCATAATGCCCGGGAAGTATGATCCAAGAGATCCTCACCGGTTTGAGGGTGAATCAACACCGAGAGAGTGCCATGGTACAACTGGAACCATGAAAGTAACCTAACAAATATTTTAGGCCGAACAACATCAACTTCCCAAAAATGGGTCACATGGGGCCCAATGACATTGTCATTTTTCAATTTCTTCACTATTATGGATCCTTCCTTGCCTTCTTCTTCGAATTCTTTGAGTAACTTGTTGCGAAGTTTGGTAGCTTCAGCAACCGATTGCGAATTATGTCCTACATAATATACGTGGAAATCATAGTATTTTACAGGGTGAGCGTACTCAAGGCCGTAGATACTTGTATAGGCCTTTGAGGTATCTTTTGGTAAACTTGTCAAGTACTCCATGAAGAATATGTGAGGTTCCGTTTCTCAGCAGGTTCCACAATTTCTCCGTACAGGATGTGAGCCACAACTAGCTATCAAGACCCAAATCTTTTCTGACCATTGCTTTGCATATGGGGTGATATCGGGACTCAAATTTCCTGAATGTGGCAATTGCAAGATCCTTGTCAACGTAATCCTTTAAAAGTTTGTAACCTGGTCGAGCAAATTTCATTCTTCCCACTGTACCAAGCCAGGTTGCAAAATTTTGAACAATTTTGTCCAGTGGCTTGAAATTTTCAGATTTGAGAAGAAGATCGTTCCAGCTGGCAATAATCTCACAATTGCTTGCCTCGGAGTACTGATGGTATACTTTGCGGAGTTCTTCGTACACTTCTGGAGCTGGTTTCTTGTTGCTGAACAATTCAGTCAAGGTACCAAGAAACAATAAATGCTGGTTTACTTCAAAGTGTTCAATATCAGAAGCACTGAATTGACCCTTGTTTTGCTCATAAGCAGCCCATTTGTCTCTCAAATGGTAACATTCGTCCGCAAGACGAGTATCGTACTTTGGAGTAAAAGGAGGAACTCCTTCTCCATAGAGCCAGGTATTCCAGTCTACCGAATCCAAAACGTCTTTTTTACCCTTTGGTTCAAAGAACTCGTAAAGAGTATCGATAAACTGGTAAGAATCGAGCGATTTGTAGCGGTATTTCTTGAAATAATGTTTCATGAATGGGTCAAATTCGTCGGTCCCACCCAATACCGTCTCGAGATAAAACAAGAAACTAAACCCTTTTTCGTAGGGTATTTTGGAAAACGCATCATCAGGAGTGACAGTCTTCAAGTCCCATACTAACCGGGTATACTGAGATGGAATTGTTTTGACTGTATCGACAAGATCATTCCAACCAAGAATGGCTGCAAAATGTCTGACTTTTTCACCAGCATCAACGTAATCCTTTTCACCTCTCTGCTTAGCTTCGTAGCTGGCCACTCCTCCAAGAATACGCCGTTCCAAGTACACCGTCCAACCTTCATTTAACCAGAAATGTTCCCAAGTACAGTTGGTAACCAAGTTTCCTGACCATGAGTGCGCGAGCTCATGAGCCATCACCTTGACTTGCGACCTGTCTTTGCTGATAAGAGTAGGTGTTGCAAAAGTTATGTTGGGATTCTCCATTCCTCCATAAGGGAAACTCAGCGGAAGAATCAATGCGTCATACTTGAGCCATTCATACTTGTATATGAGGTCCTCAGCAACAACCAAAAAGTTTTCCATATCTTTTTCAAATTCCCACTGGCACGCTTTTAAGTTTGGAGGTTCAGTATACACAGTCGAACGAGGTCCAATGGGCGCTCCTGCCAAGTTACCAGAAGCAATTGCAACGAGATAAGAAGGAATTGGAATCGGTTGTTCAAATCGGTAAGTATTTTCCTCAGAACACTCGACTGGTCTTCCCGACATCAAGGTGTATGAAGGTGATTTGACATGAAATGAATAAGGACTTTTCACCGCTGGAGTGTCGAAACATGGAAACAAACTACGAGCATGAATAGCCTGGCACTGTGAGAACAAATAGTCGCAAACCTTACTGTCTGTGGCTTCTTTGTCAATAAATTGAAGTGCACTGCAATTTTCAGTGGTAGCGAATTTGATTGAAATTTTCAACTTTTCTACAACATTTGCAAGTTTTATCACCAAAGGAGACCCAAAAGGCTCTTTTCTAGCTTCAAGTTTGAAGTCCACAGCCTTTTCATCCACAAAAGCTTGTTCAATGTCTAAAAACGAAGTATCAAGAACAACTTCAGTTGTCGACTTGAGATTTTTCAATTCATAAGTTACTGTTCCCGACACATTTTTCTTTTCGAACGAAACATTCAAGTCCAATGAAGACTGCACTACCTCGAAACCACGGTAATTGGACAATGTACAGGGATCTTGTTCCTGAGACGCAGCCCGGGACCGCAATTCGTTAACGTTCATTGCCAATAGAGTGTACAGAGTCAGTGAAAAGTACGCGGTGTATGGATTCAACAAAAAAGTAGAAAGGAAGTAGAAAGGAAGTAGAAAGGAAGTAGAATGAAAGTAGATTGGAATTAGAGTGGAAGTAGAAGGGTCTAATTACGAGGCTAATGAATACCGAGTTATAGATATGCTGGATAGAAATTAGATGGAATGTGTCAAGCCCTCTTCTCTACCGTCTTATTCTACATCTCGGTCCTTGTAGCGTTGCTAGTATTATGTTCTGGTCTAGTTGTTAGTTTGGCTCTCTGGGGCTTCTTGAGTCTTGTAGTTTCTCTTTTCTCGTTTCTTGCTGGCAGTAGCAACAATTTCCTCAAAAACTCTTGCTTCTTCGTCCTCCTCTTCAGTTCGGGTAATTTTACTAAACACATCGCCGATGATTCGGGGTCCGTTAGCCTGTGCTATCCTTTTGTCCAATGGTACATCTTTGTTGTACAAGATGTTATCACAAACTCCACGCACGGTTCCCTGGATCTCGAACTTAGAACCCGACCAAGCAGCAGCGAGAACTTTGGCAAGTAAATACCTTTCCATGTCTTCTAATTCTTCCTTGGAATGCTTCTGGGGAATGACTTCAGCCTTGGCTCCTTTCTTTTCTGTGACATCACCTTCTTTCTTCTGCTCTTCTTCTTCTGCTAATACGCGAATCTCTTCCAACTTCTTGGAAATATCGTTCATATCCTTGGTAGCTTGTTCCTTTGCTTCCTTTGCTGCTTTGTCGTCGGTTTCAGACTCAGAATTTGTTCCAGCCGCGTTCTTAGCCTCTTCTTCTTCCTTCTTGGCATGGTACTCGTTATCTTCTTGCATCTTTGCGTACTCTTGCATTGTCAGCTGAGCGTCTAAAGCGGTGGTGATGGTACTGAACGTCTCCTTAACCATACCTCCCTTCTCTTTCATTGACCACCAAAGACCTCCAAGGCCCATAAAAGTTTGCTTTTTCAAAAAAATCTTCAGTTTCGATTTGTAAATCAGCCCCAAAGTATGGAGGATTTCGAGGCCAAAACTCTCCATCTTGAGCGACTCGGCTTCATAATGCAATTTCTGTCTAAACGACTCAACAACGTCCGGCTTCATGTCTGTTTCAGTGAAAAGTGAAAGCTTGTCCACCAAATTCTTGGTGAGTTCTTTCCGGGTCTCGATTTTCTTCTGAGCACATTCTTCTTCAAACTTTTCGAGTTCTTCCTTTCTTCGTTGCTCTTCCTTCTCCTTCTGGGTGAGTTCCTTGTCGGCATTGACGGTGGCTACTTTGTCATCATTTTTTTCGCCAGAACCTTCACCGACCACTTCACTTTTGTCTGCTTCGTGCAGAATAAATAATCTCGTTTTTTCGTCACGATTCATACCAGGATCCTCTCCTGTGCTCTCTCCACCAGTCTTAGTCGCCTCGTCTTCACCATACCCCGATAACTCTGCCGATTTGGTTAGTTCTTGGATCAATGAAAGTTCACCAATCCATGGACGAAAAGCTTCTCCACCAAAAATCGCTGAGAAAAACTCTGATGGGTCCTCAAAACCTTCAGAAGGAATTGACTCTTGTTTTCCGTGTTTGTCGTACTTGGACCTCAAGTTGTCGTCGGATAAAACTTGATAGGCTTCGCCGACTTCTTGAAACTTTGCTGCTGCTTGAGGATCATCTGGATTTTTATCAGGATGGAGTCTAATGGCAGCTTTTCTGTAAGCCTTCTTGATTTCAAGGGAGGTTGCATCGGTAGCTACCCCTAGCAAGTCATAGTAAGTGGTATCAACGACCATGTTTGTGGCAAGAAGTTGTGAGCTTATCTGAAGAAGAATTAGGTAATCTGCATATGACGAGAAGAGCAGTGCGAACAGAGTGCGAAATCGTGCAAAGGTAGCGCGAACTTAGTGAGACATCGGCGTGAGGTGGGGAGACATTAGTGCGAAACTACTGAGACACTTAGCGAGATGCGGGAGAAGTAGTGAGAAATCGCGAAAAGATACCGCGAATTTAGTGAGAAAGAAAATTTTAGAGAGAGGAGCGAGCACGAAGAACCAGAATAGAAGACAAGGGCAAGGTCTTCATACATAAGAGTCGAGGAAAGGCAAAATTCAGTTAGTTTTCATCAGTACAGTTCACTACTTCCAATTCTATGTACATTATGCCGAGTAGTATACCTTACGCAAGTCTACCAATTTCTTACCACGACCGGCTGCAAGATCTTCAATGGTTCTTTGTTTGGTGAGTGCCTCCACGAAACCCTTGACCACGTTCATGGAATTTCTGGACTTGTAGATTTTGCCTCGTAAATCCTTGATACCGGCAGCCTGACAAACCTCAAAAATATTCGAGTTGACTCTCAAGCCAAAACCACTGGGTGCCGATTTGATGAAAAGTTTTACGGCATGAAATTTGTATTCGATTTCGCCAAGAACAGTTCTGTTCTCATACAATGGAATCGGCGTCAAGTTCTTAACGGCATTCCAGTGCGCCTTAACCAACGCCGTTCTCATTCCGTCTCTGGACTTACCTTCACCCAAACCAATCATTCCATTTTTGTCTCCCACAACCGTCAAAGCGTAAAAGTTGGGGATCTTACCCTTGGATGTCTGGCACGAAACTCGCTTCATAACGATGGGTCTCACGTACAAATTGGAAATATAACGTTGATCCAAGCCAGTCAATTTGGAAAGCCCTTCAGCAATTTCTCTTTTTCCCTTCAATGGGGATCTTTTCTTGGCAGCACTGACATCAGGCTTGAACCTCAACACCAAGTCGGTTCTATCGGCTGCCTGGATCTGAGGAATAGGTGCATATGGTGATCGTTCATTGGCTTGATTGGGGTAAAGTATAGGCTCATCCCATTGAGGATCGCTGGTCGAATAGTCAAAAGACTTGTTCTTAGGGGCAACTCGGGACCGCAACCTTTTTTCCTTGAGCTCTAGCATCGTCGAGGGTTTTACCAAAGACTCAGTTATTTGTACACTTTCGAGTAATTCTGGAGTATAAAATTTGGATAAAAATTCCATATGTTTGGCGGTTTTGTCTGCTTCTTTCATCGTGCGGGTCGCCGACGAGAACGTACGCACACCAAATGCGGCTCGAGTGGATCGACACCACCCGCTGAAACCGGTCTTTATCATGGCTCAACTAGTGTTTCTCACGAAAAAGTGAAAATTTCAACATAATATCCGCGGACTGCAGATAGTCCAGAGAAGGTCTATAGAGTCTCTGATTTTACAAATGGTTATATTGTTCGTGATAGCTATGGCTTGATATGTTCCACTTCTACGCCCGAGGCAGTAGCCTGGTCCACGGCTTGTTTAGCTTGCTCAGTAGCCTCCGCTTGTACTGTGGCTTGCTGAACCTGATCTTTCTTCAGCTGCAAATCCTCCACTTCCTTCTTCAATTTCTTGACTTCTTTTTCGAACCGTTTGCCGAAAACGTCGATGTAGTAAGTAGCACCATTGTACGACGCCATCACAAAGATAAACGCCATGAATGTTCCGCAGGCATGCTTGTATTTGAACCAGATGGGCACCGGTGCCATGGTGAGAATTTGGTAAAAGTACTGGATCAAGGTAAAGGCGGTGACTTGCATCCAAGTGTATGGCAACGAGTTGACAAATCTACCAAGAATGGTGGAAGAATTCTTGTTTTTGAGATAAGTGAATGAGGTGACCTTACCCTTGGCGATTTTCTCTCGGCGTCTGATAGTGATGAAGTAATGGTATGAAACCTGCCATACCGTATAGTAGAAAGAAGTCCATAAAATGCCGTTAATAAAGTTCCAGTGGTCAATAGCAGCTGCGCCTGGAAATCTCAATGCTCTGTATTCAAAGGGCACTTCGTGAACAATAACGAATAAAGCAATAGGAGGCATTATATGGATGAACGAACTGGTGGTCTTTTCGATCAGGTGTAACACAAGAGAGTTTCTCCATGTGATGACAGCAAATGACAAGGTTCCCATTGCTAGCGAGAACACCGAGATGAAAAGGGTCATGGAGTTGGGGAACCACCATATGAATGCCACCAATAAGAGGTTGACATAGTAGCACAAGTCTGCCAAATAGTACAGAAACGACATCTTAAAGTAGGTGTAGAAGCGGATAGGCATAAGCACACAGAAAAGTCCGGTGTAGAAAACGTGAAACCATTGTGGATACTTGCCAATGACGAACCCGGCGGCAGCAATGAGGAAAACCGCAAGGGCATAGAAGAGCTTTTCAGTAGCGGAAGATTGAAGATTTCGATGGACTCTCTGGTCAAATTTAGCCAACCGAGCATTCAACGTGTCCTGTAGTTTCAAGATATCGGCGTTGGTATCGATAATTCGTCTGTCGTCCTTGAATTTCTTGAAGGTTTTTTGGGTCTTCAACTTCATATCATTGAACCGTTTTTTGGTGGAATCTCCAAGCTCTAGACCACGCCCAAAGTCAAAATCGGGCAAGAAGGTGAGCCGAGACAAGTCTATGAACGGAACAGACGAGCTGGAGTCGGTTCTGCGTAAAGTATAGTAGTCAGCAGACGTGGAGGAGAGACTAATATCGTCGGGCAAATCGTCATCATCTGTGTAAGATGCAATGGAATTGTTTTTTGACGGATTCCTAGTTATGGTAGTTTCCTGGTTCTTCAAGTTCTCCTCCAGAAGCGGAGGTAGCTCAGATTCTGGTTCTCCCATTGCTAGAGAAGAAACAATTTGAATTTGTGCGATTCGCGCGTTGAGATAACGAATTGTGGAGCTGAGCAGAAAAGGTCAAAAAAGGCTATGGGGAGGTGGGATTAAGTGAGGGTGTAGAAGGGATGATGTGTGCTAGGAGAAATAATACCTTGTTTCGAATTGTTGATAGAAATGTTTTTGATAAGAATTAGGGACGAGCACGTGGCAGTGGTAATAATGTAATCTAATATAAGGTCACACCTCAAAACACAATGGTGAATTGTGACAATATAAATTGAATAGATCTTCCCAAATTCACTCTTACAACCACATTTGCTTATTCCACTGATTTGTCCATAGCATCGTTCCTGCATCAGGCACGGTCCGGTCGGAGAAGCCGCATGCAACAAACGACTATTTTCGCATTAACCTGACATAACTGACACAACCCAACTTTATCAATAGTAAATTTCCTTGCAAGTTTTCTTCAAAAAACCCAGCTTTGAGTACTCACCATGCCTTACTCAGCTGTAAACTATATCACCTTCAACTTTAGTGCCTTTGCTTGCATAGCTTTTGTTGTATTTCTATCATCTTCGCAACCATACTTTCTTGACCAGGTGATCAATTTGGACCCAGATCGAATAGGATCGGCCATAGGGACGTTGGGGGCGGCCGACGAGCTCACAGCTATCATTTCAGCACCTCTTGTTGGAGCTTTATGCGATAAAATTAATGTTTGGTCTTCAAGCCCATCGTCTCGGTTGCAACTAGGCGGAACAAAACTGGTGGTTCTGGTGAGTTTTTTCGTCATAGCTCTTGCTCTCGTTGGTTACGGTAAAGTGGCTCACCACCTTGTGCCCGATGTGATTTTTTTCCGGTGTATTTTTGCGGTTGGTGTCACCGCTGCTATGAGCATGGTTCCTGTAATGTTGAACGAGGTCACCAGTGCCGGGTTTCAGTTCAAACAACTCAAAGTGTGGAAAAACCGTTCCCCGGCATCGTCGCCGCTCCTTGATGCTCCGACGAACCACCGCAATGGAAAAAGCTCGGCGTTGGTTGGGGTTTTTACTGGCTTGGGTGCCATTTTCTCGGTGTCGTTTTTTTTAACAATGCCTGTCAAATTGTCGGAAAAGTTTAGTCTCACCATGGAAACTGCTATCAGGTACTCCTACTGTGCCATTGGAATCGTGGCTGCCGTGGTTGGCGTCACAGCATCGTTGTTCCTCTACAATTCCGCTACGTCTCCATCGCACCTGCCCGAACAGGTTCACTCCGAGGAAGTGGGTTACCTTCGTCTCCTCTACAACGGTCTCAAAGTATCCAGATATAACCGCCGTGTACGCTTGGCATACGTGGGATCGTTTGTGGCTCGCTCAACCACAGTGGCTACTTCGGTTTTCATCCCATTGGTGGTATACAACTACTACATCAAACAAGGCAATTGTGGATCTCGCACCAACCTGTCCCATGACTTGCCGTCTAAACAGTCGTGTTACGATGCGTACATATTCTCGGCCATTCTCACTGGAGTAGCGCAAACCGTGGCTCTTGTATCGTCTCCTTTATGGGGCTTCATGATCGACCATGTCCGTGTGGGCCGCCATAAGACCTTGGGTGCGAGCTCATTATGTGGACTACTTGGTTGTATTGGCCTTTGCTTAGATGCCAGTCTGGTAGTACACTATTCGGAATCAGCCGTGTACGACCCAAGATCCACAACTTGCTTTTTGTTCGTCAGTTTAATTGGTCTTTCTCAGATCGGAACCATTATTGCAAGCATGAGTCTTGTCAGCAGTCTCTCGCGCGAGTTTGACAGACAATCTATGGGCAGTATTGGGGGACTCTACAGCTTGAGTGGTGGAGTAGGTATCCTAATAATTACTAAATTAGGAGGAGCTTGGAGCGATAGTTGGATCATGGGACCATTTTTCATATTGGGTGGGTTCAATGCCATACTAATGGCGTGCTCCATGACACAGAATTGAGTACAAAAGCAGCATGACAGACACGACAAGAAGCATTCCGACTAGTAAGTAGCCATTATAATTTATGATCCTGCATTTTTCTCTATATTTTTCATTTTCCTCTTTATTTTTAATCTGGTTCATCTGCTTCCCCAGAGTCGCGAAAACGAAAATTTCTTGTCGCCAACCATAGACATGATAGAGGCACTTTTGACAGTGCTTCCGTCGATATGTTGGATTCTATACCGGTGTTTCAAGCTCTTGCGACGCCCAGTAGAACAGCTAGTGGAAGACCTTCACATGGAAATTCCTCATGCTCCCACAATATGTATCGATTCTGTGACAGAAACTTCGGTGGTGATCCATTGGGACATAGAAACAAGAAACAACGAGTATCTTTACTACGTGGTGCTCATTAACAACAAGGAGGCAGCCACGGTGGGCACCACCAGCTGCACGCTAGAAAATCTATTGGAGAAAAAATTGTACCAATTGCAAATTCTCGCTGTTAACGCCAACAACAATTATCGCTCTCAGTCAGCTCCAGTGTACATCCAGACGCTAGGAAAGTCCCATCTGTTTCCCTTCGATGGTCAGGACAAACCCATACCGTTGGAAGTGGATGGAATCGTCAATGGCCTGTCTTTGGACATCACTCCCGACCAAGTGAAAAATATAGAATCCGATCAACTTCTCGGCCAATATTTAGCCAAATTCCAGTCGGAGGTGGTCAAGCTTTCTGCCGAGGTTAAAGAGTACGAGGAGCAGTGTGCGAAGGATATCAGTCTGTTGACGGCGGAAATACATCAGTACAAAAAGGAGTACGAAAGTGAGGCCGATTCAAAGCACAAAAAAGATGTGTGTGTTAAGGATTTGGAGAAAAAGAAAGATCAGTTGGTGTATCAGAAGATGAAACTATGGAACCAGCTCAAAGGCTACAAGTCGTCAGAGACCATTTACAAATCCAAGCTCGAAGATTTGGCCACAAAATACCGAAAACTCAAAGAGAGACAGGCCCAAATTGTACATAGTGAGGCCAGCGAAAGAGCCAAAATTGAAGCACAAATTGCTGAAGAAAGAGAGAAAATTCTGGATATCAAGCAGCAGATATCGGCGGCATCAGAAGGCATCAAAAATCTTACTCATGAAAAACGGGAAATCATGCAAACATCGAAAAAGGTGAGCGAGCTCGTGCTCACGTTCATGGACTCAGATACGGTCGTCAACAAAGATGGTACACTCAATGGACACACCCTAGATGCGCTCGTGAAGATTTTCGAAGTGAAACCAGACTGGCAAGCCGAGGTAATGACTGAGCTTCTGGCACTTCAAGGTGCTGAATTGGAATGGAAAGCGACGTTTAAGGCAGCCATCAAGAAGTATGTGGCGCTATACAACAGTTTGGAGATTGCCAAAGCGAACAAACATCCGGATTATGTGCCCAATCGACTCACTGAATTCCAAGCAAGTATCGAATTTGGAGGCTTCAGTAATGCTCTTCCCAAACCACAAAGAGGCCGTCGAACCACCTCTGGAGGTAGCCATACGAAAGTGTCTCCATCCCCGGAACCTGAGTATGCTGTCGATGCTAGTGGTATCCGAAACATGTACGCAAGACAAACAAACGACTCAGATCTGGAGCCTTTGAGAGACGAGTTTATGCAACCGTACATGTACCGCAACGGAACACCGCCAATTGAAATGCTCGAAGTACCGCTTCAGTCAGAATCAGTCCAGTCTATCGAAAACCGGCTTGACAATCGTCTTGAAAATCGTCAGCCTGCTGTTCGGCCTGCTGTTCAGCTTGATCGTCTTGATCGTCTCGAAAATCTTCCACTTGACATGTTCAGTCCCGAGCCCATGCAACCGTTGCTCAATCCCGAACAGTCTTTCTACAACTTTCCCCAACCACCAATCGTGCACTCGGCAATCCAACCATCGTTGTCGCCGGTTCCACTGGTTCCACTGGTTCCACCAATGCTGCATTTGCAACGAGGAATTGCACCCACGCCAATGTGGAACGATAGCAGCAATTTGGCGCCTCATTTGTCCAACAACAGTACTTCCAGTTTGAACACAGACATGCCGGGATCGAGGTTTGGATTTGCACGGAACCTCAGTCCCTACAATGCCAATGCTATGCAAACTTCAATTTCTACAGGTCCTGCTACTTCAATGGATACAAATGCTTTTGCACAGCAGCGCACAAACCCATTGCTCTCCCAGCCTTTTGAAATGAGTTCTACTCTATGGAATAATGATAGGATGTATGCTCACTCACGAGATGGAAGTACCAATAATTCGCAAATATGGCGCCACGAACCAGCAACTTTATCTAAGGAGTTTCTGCCCTTCCCGGGTAGAAGAAACAGCGACGGAGAAAACTGGACTAGCTAGAATATATAATTTTGACTCTGTCTCGCCCAAACCTGCCATATACCATTTCCCCACACCCACCACTTAATCGGTTATTCACGGCCCTTGCCCTGCACGTAACCCTGTCACCGCGAGCAATTTGTGCCCAACGAGACCCTCGTGCGACGCCAACGGTGTGGCTTCGGTACGAATGTGCGGGTGCACGGGTGCTCCGCTTCCGAGACTGAGAGATGTGTGCGGCATTTGACTCGCAGGTTGCGGCAAACGGTAGCGATGAGCCGCGACATTTCTTTTGTCATGCTGTAAATTAAATAGTCATAACTTTCTTGCTGTTTTGGTACTTCTGATACGTTTTGCTTTTACAGATTTCGTCCGGATTGTCTGGACTTTATTTTAATCAACCCTGAACAACTATATAAACCTTTGAGGCTTCGGAGTTGCAAATAGTCTCATTCCGTCATGACCATTGAAAACGAAGAAACCATCTTTCCCACCCATAATGAATTTCGCTCAGATACGTTCACCGTGCCCACACGGAGCATGATGGAGGCAGCTTGGAACAACGCTACGTTTGGAGACTCTGTTTATAAGGAAGATGCCATCACTCTTCAACTCGAACAAAAAATGTGCGACCTTACTGGGAAAGAAGCTGCTCTTTTTTGTGTCAGTGGAACCCTTTCCAACCAGATTGGTCTCCGAGCCAACTTGGTGCAACCTCCCTACTCAATCCTCTGTGATTATCGTGCCCATGTATTCATTCACGAAGCTGGTGGATTAGCCACCTTGTCGCAGGCTATGGTGCACCCGGTTCATCCCGCAAATGGAAATTACTTGACGCTTGAAGATATCGAAGAACACTGGACTGCGGACGATGGAGATATCCATAGCGCACCCACTAAAGTCATCTCGTTGGAAAACACTCTCCACGGAATAATTACGCCAATTGAAGAAATCAGACGAATTAGTCAGTTTGCCAAAAAAAATAATCTCAAACTTCATCTCGATGGTGCTCGCTTATGGAATGCCAGTGCTGCTACCGGTGTCTCCATTAAGGAGTACTGCTCGTACTTTGATTCAGTTTCATTGTGCTTGTCAAAATCTCTCGGTGCTCCAATGGGGTCCATTTTGGTTGGTACCAAAAAATTCATTGAAAAAAGTAATCACTTCAAAAAACAAAACGGTGGTGGTATAAGGCAAGCCGGTATCATGTCCAGCATGGCCATAACGGCTATTGACGAAAACTTTTCCAAACTCAAGCGTTCGCATGCATTAGCCAAACAAGTGGGCGACTTTTGCGTCGAAAATGGAATCAAACTCGAATCTCCCGTCGATACCAACTTTGTTTTCATCGACTTGAAGGCTAACCGTATGGATGATGGGCTTCTAGTAAGCAAGGGTGTTGAGCATGGATTAAAGTTGATGGGTGGTCGTATTGCATTCCACTATCAATTGAGCCAAGAAAGCGTTGACAAAGTCAAACAGGTGATTTTGGAATGCTACCATGCAGCCCTTAAGAACCCCGCAAAACATGCCAAGAACAGAATGTACAACTACGATATGATGAGTGCTGCTGTCGGCAGCGTATAACAATATAGCATTAACACAATAGAAATAGTTACAATAGAAATTTTCATAATAAAAACAACATCAGTAAACAACGCCAAAGTCCGAATCAACACTGTTCCCAAATACAGCTTTACACTATAAAAGTTTACGCAACTGGTCGCCCAAAAGAAACATTTGCACCCAAAATAGTCCGCAAATCCGTGGCACAACATCCGAGCCGCATCCCGGAACCATCCGCGCACTGCACATAAGCACGGATACATGCGAGCTTGAGCGTCTTTTGCATCCGAATCGGCGTCGGACACAGCCAATACTAGCGCGCTCACGTGACCTGCACCGAATATCCGGCGGTTACCTTTCCCAAAAAAGCAACTGTCAGCCGCGTCGATCGTGATCGATGCAGCAAGCCGGAACCCGGCTGCAACCATGACACCATATATAAGGGGCATGATTGCTGCAACTTTTGACATCATAAAAAAATAATCATGAGTAGCTCAGATGAAGCATCTATTGCATCAGAGGATATTCCTCAAGCATATAATCAACCAGAGAATCCTGTAGCTCTTACAAAAACAGAAACTGCAGCAACTTTACATCAATTAGGACTTTCTCAAGTACCGTCTGTGTCTGGTCCGGATTTGACCAATCCACCAGTAGAAGATCCCATTTTCCCAGAAGAGTATACTCTCGAAACTGACACCGGACTTGTCCCCGTAAGAACTTTACAATCGATTGGAAGAGTCAAGTCTCGGATTCTGGAAGAGGCTTCTCGTCAAAGTACTAGGCAAAGTTTTCTCGCGGAAAAGAATAATGAAGAAGGTGAAAAGGATATTGACCCAGATATTGAATTTGTGACCTTTGTCAAGGGTGATCCCGAAAATCCTCATAATTGGAACGAAACTTTGAAATGGTTCTACACATTTTTGTTCTCCATTTTCGTCATTAGTGCTGCCTATGGCTCCTCCTCATTGGCCGGCGGACTTCCATTGATCAACGAAAAATTTGGAGTATCTACAGAAGTCTCCACATTATCTGTGTCGTTGATGGTTCTTGGATTCTCTGTAGGTCCCTTGATTTGGGCACCATTGTCTGAACAAATTGGAAGACGTCCCGTCTACATCATCTCGTACGGTTTGTACGTCATTTTCAACATTCCTTGTGCCGTCGCAAAAAATATTGGTACTGTCTTGGTGTGTCGTTTCCTTTGTGGAGTTTTCTCGTCTTCTGCCTTAACCAATGTTGGTGCCAGTTTGGTGGATCTTCATAGGGAATCCAGAGGGTTAGCCATTGCCTTTTTCAGTTTCAGTCCTTACTCTGGACCTGTCTTTGGAGGTATTGTTAATGGATTCATCAGTGTCGGTTCTGGAAGGTACGACCTTATGGTTTGGGTCAATATGGCGTTCGCAGGAGTGATGTGGATCGTTATTGGTTTGATTCCCGAAACTTACTCGCCAGTCATTTTGAAAAATAGGGCAAAGAGACTTAGAAAAGAAACAGGAAACAACAAAATCATGACTGAACAAGAAGCCACTCCATTATCTTTCAAAGAAATGCTCAACAACAATTTGTATCGTCCACTTAAATTTGTGATTCAAGAACCTGTTCTTGATCTTGTTTGTGGTTTCGTTGCCCTCATCTATTCGTTGTTGTATGCATTTTTCTTTGCATATCCGGTAATCTTCATGGACTTGTATGGTTACAAAGATAACTTGATCGGATTGATGTACGTTCCAATTTTAATCGGTGCGTTGTTGGCTCTTGTTACCACTCCAATATTGGAAAAGAGATATCAAGCACTCTGCAAAAGACGTACTCCAGTCCCAGAAGATAGACTTGTTGGTGCTATGGTTGGTGCCCCATTCCCTTGTATTGCATTGTTCATTTTGGGTGCTACCTCGTATAAGCACATTATTTGGGTTGGTCCGGCCTCCAGTGGTATTGCTTTTGGATATGGTATGGTGTTGATTTACTATTCGTTGAACAACTATATCATTGACACTTACGCCAAGTATGCTGCCAGTGCCTTGGCTACCAAAGTTTTCTTAAGATCAGCTGGTGGTGCTGCTTTCCCACTTTTCGTCACCCAAATGTACCATGGCCTTGGTCTCCAATGGGCCAGTTGGTTGCTTGCATTTGTTTCCTTGGCAATGGTTCTCATTCCATTCAGTTTCTACCGTTTTGGTGGGGCTGTGAGAGCCAAGCTTTGTAAGGAAGATTATACCATTCACTACGACTAACGGTCAGATTTAATAGAGTTGCATAATATATTTAATACGAATTCGCATGTAGGTCGCCTTTCAAACGCACTTCAGATTGTGCTGAGGGAGAATGCTTGGTATCCTTGATTAACTCGGTGACTTTTTTCAAATCGACATTGGTGATTTTTTGCATAAAGGCGCCAATCTCGATGTTTTCGTGGTTTCCAAGAAGTCCACTGTACGGTTGCGACTGCAATAACTGGCGTCTAATTCTCTCAGAGTTGGTGTGGGCATAAATGTTGACATCCACGGCAGAGTGGCCATGCGTCGTCCAGCCAGTTTGCGATCTGAGGGAAATCATATTGTTGAGAACATACAACAAGTTTGCTGGATTATTGGCCGATTGTTTTATCAACGAAACCTCCTCGTTGGTGTAGTCGTAAATTCCCATGTCACCTTCTAACACTTCTTTGATGAGAAACGACTCGAACGAATGAGCATCTTTGAAGTTGGTAATCTTATTCGCCAAGTACTCTCCGGAATGAGTGCAGTTCAACAAAACTCCAGGATACCACAAGTAGTCTGGATACGTGGGAGACACCTGTCTTGCAGTCACAAGGCCACCGGTCTCATGATCTGAGGTGGAAATGGCAATAGTTTCCGTATCAGAATTGTCGATGAATTTGATAACCTCTGCGAATGCCTCGTCGTAAGCCAAAACCTCACGCACCTGAGCAGCTGGATCATTCATATGTCCAGCATGGTCGATCAAAGATCCTTCTATCATCAAGAAAAATCCCTTGTCTGAATTTTCAGTGGCTTTGGATAATGCGGTCAATGCGGTCTTCACTTGCTCAGCAAGCGATGGGTGTTCTTTGGAATCACGATCGATATCAAAAGGAATATCACGAGGAGCCAACAACGCCAACAAAGGAAGAGACACATTGTTTCCACCGTCCAATTGGTCAAACTCCTTTCTATTTCCCACATAGTTCCACGAACCATTTTTTTGCACCTCTTCAATCAAGTTGCGGGAGTCGGTTCTGCATCCATCCTCTTCTGAGGTAGGCAAATAATGACATCTTCCACCGCCAATCATCAAGTCAAGAGTCCTTCCCAATGGATATTCTCCCAACTGCTGCTCGGCAATCAAATCCTCCTGGAACCTGTAGTCGACATGAGTACTGAAAGCGGCAGGAGTAGCATCGGTGATGAGAGTGGTCACCACAAGACCGGTGAGATACCCTTCAAGTTTCAAAGCTTCCAAGATTGTACCGCACGGATTCTTCGAGGGATCCACTCCAATGGCTCCATTGTAAGATTTGAGTCCACAAGAAAAAGCGGTAGCTCCAGCGGCCGAGTCCGTCACCAAAGACGAACTGGACCGAGTTCTCGACGAACCAATCAAGTATTTATCAAGCAACAACGTATCGTCAATGGGCAACTTGTCTCTGTACTGTCTAAATGAGCGAGTGAGCGAAAGGGAAGCCGGTCCCATGCCATCGGTGACCATCATTATGACGTTAGTTTTCGATTTGGGACTCGCAACGATGGTTGGGGAAATCAATCTAGTTCCAGAAATGATAGTCAAAACTCCTAGCACTACAAGTAGAAGCACTTCCATTGTGCGCCTGGCAGGCAGCTTGCGTGGATGTCCACGGCCAGTGGAAAGGGGTAATTTCTCCATACTGACACTAATTGTAAAACCGAACCACGTTCAAAGCGCAGTGAAATGGACGACCGATAAGACACATGCAGGATCGTATACTGGACCAACTAGAACCATTGTGTCGTGGTGTACTCAGGAACTTTGTATGTAAGCTTGGTCTAAAAACCATCGAATGTGGTTCCCGTGCTTCCAATAAGCATCTTTGCCACCACTAGGTCCATATTGGACATTCCCACGATTTTTTGCACAACGATGTTTTCTGCCATAGTAAAGTCTTGTCTATCAGTTTTCAGCAACTGTGCCAATTCTACCATTTGCGAGCGAGACAAACCAGCATCCGCCACTTCTCCTGCTTCCTCGAAAACCCCCTCAGCTGTGTCTACCACCAATTTCTTTCCGGAAGCCTTGAGAGCACTCAAGTCGAGCTCTCGCATGGTGGGCTTATAAGAGCCAATTAAAGATACAAATACTGGCACTTTGGGGTCCTTATTGAGCGCCGAAAAGTCAATGGCAGGCAGGGTGCTCGGAAGACATCCAAAGACGACACAACTCCCGGATAACTTTTGATTGATAATTTCTGTGTGTGTAGCAACTTGATACAGATAGGCATTTACCGTAGCAATATTTGTACCAAAATCCTTCTTCAATTCTTTCGCAAACTCTTGGGCTTTTTCGTAGCTTCGGTTTACAACAGTGACACTTTTGATGTTAGGAAACAAAATGAGTGTCAACTTTACGTGCCAGTAAGCTTGCGGTCCAACTCCAAACACAGTCAAGCTCGATGTCATGGTCTCGGGCACATTTAAAGGGTCAATTGCATTGACTAAGCCTATAGAACTAGCCAATGCTGTTCGAAAGGGAGTAACTGTTTTGGCATTCACCACCCCAGTTAATGTTCCATCGATGTCATCAACAGTAGCAATAAAGCCCTGAAAACCCTAAACCTTTTTGTGAGTTTGACGGACCTCCGCTGATGATCTTCACGCCTGTGGCATCGGGTGCAACGCAGGGCATAAAGAGATGAGTCAAATCGGAGTTTTTGGTAGTTGTTGATCTCACCGTTCGAGGAGGAACAATTTCTGGATTGTGCTGGTAATCACGAAGGCTGCCAAGGAGTGCTGGTTGGTAATGGTTTAGTATTGGAGTTCTCTGGTGAGGCGATTTGTGCTAGGAAACTTCGTGGACTATTTTGGTCACTAAGCTATCTTCATGGGTTGATTGAATCAGAAAGAAATTGAGATCAAGCTGCGAAATTTCGGCAAATTAGAATGAAAATGAAGTTGAGATTGAAGATAGAGACTAATACGCCAGTCTGATTCTGAGCATTATTGCGGTCACTTTTTACAGTTTCGTTGCTTTATTTATATCTTTTATCGTTATCTTTTATCGTTATCGTGTCTCGTATCAAGCAGGCATGAATATCCACTCTTCGTTGGGTGTGGAAGAGTCTCGTAAGTTTCTTACTTTTTTCAACAACTCTTCGATGCCAGCCACTGTTATCAACAACTTTTCCATACTAGAACACACCTGCTGAGTCACCATGTCTCTCTCACCAGTGCCAAACTTATCTGGCAAATGTAAAGCATGCAATTTGTTCTTGATCGATATATGCTTAAGTTGGCCAACTATCCGAACTTGATCTGACCGTGATAAATTGTTCTGTTGCAGTACACTCGAACATATCTCAAAGATTATGCGTTGCAATGGTACCAATTGCTTGTCTTTGGACAATTTGACCGCAAGAGTATAATTGTCATTGGTAGCTTCCCATAGCAAAATCTCAGACTTGATACTACGCAAGCCACTGTTGTTTGTCTGCAGCTTGAAGTATTCATGGTGAAACTTCCAGATTATTCGTTCGTAAAACGGAGAAATCGTCCCTTGCTGGATACTTGGCAAGTAGCTTTTTTCAAAGTGTTCTTTGAGATTCTTGACAATTTGGAGCGGCTTCTTCTGGTCATAATACTTCTTCAACATGATGACATTCCACCTCAAAAACGATTCCTCGGGCCAGTACGGAAGTGCTTCGGGCGATAGCCTATTTACATCAACTGGTAACTTTTCTAGATGAAGGAGATTTTTATTGAGCACCAAGTCGAAAAGTACTGGAAATGTCAACTTATCTTGAAAATAGAAAAGCTTGGCAATGGCAATAATAACAGCTTCATCCTCAAGTCCTTTTATGTACTTACTTACCACATGCTGTGGACTTGTAAGGAGTTCGTAGTTGGACATTGTGTGGGTGGTGAACACATTCAAACCCGCAAGTAAATGGTCCAAATGTTTCTTGGTATCACTGGCAGGCATTTTAAATTGCTCTGAAGGTGCTTGTTTCGAAAACTTTTCGTTAACAGGTCCATGCCTCAAATTATCAATGAGTGAGGGCAGATAATCAACAGGTTTATGGTCGTTCTGAGGAGAAAGTAAATTTAATGCATCAGCTAAGGAGACACCATCGTCATTTTTAAACGAAAATAATCGAACATGCAAAGAAGTGAGGCGTCGAGACCCCAAAAGTTGGAGGTTTCGGGCCTGAACTCGACTTAAAATCATGCGAAAAGGGATGATCAAGAAAGAAGCGTGAGAAAGTTGAGAATTTCGATATCGAAGGTACTGTATATAATATACACAAACGGAGGTTATGAATGTTATGCTTAGAGGGTTATTTTTTTGGTTGTTGCCTTTCAGACCCGGCTATTATGCCCTCCCAGATCGAGGCTGTATTTTGGTAGTTTCTTGGAAGCATCAAGTAGTTAATTCGTAGATCGTCGTTATAGGTGAACGAGATGGGTTCGCCAGCAAAGAAGGACAAGAGTACTGTCAATTTGGTTCTTTTCTTTGCATTTTTGTTCCTGAAAAGTTTGAGAAAATCAGCAAATATTTCCTGATATGTCAATGTCTTATTGGACAAATCGAGGTAATTTGTAGTTGAGCTTTGACCCATGAATGATAAGTGAACTCCACCTTGTAAACGGTTCGAATTTTTGAGCTTGAGTATGACAACAAATAGCGGAAGAAAGTTAAGGACAATGAGAATGCTTTCAATCAAATTCATGATACCCAATTTGACCATCTGGACACAGAAAAATATCACATAAAATGCAAAGATTGTGGGTAAAAGAAGCACTAGAACGATGAACATCAAGGTCCCAACCAACATTTGGTCAATTTCAAAGTATTGAGCTGGTACTTTGGAGTAGTTGTCCAAGTTATCAACTCTTTTTCTCAAGACATTGTATTTCTTTCCTCGAAACAATTGACAAAGTGACTTTATAGTGTTCACCTGACGATTGAAAATTCTGGTTGAGCTGTAGTAGCAGCAGTAGATATGGAAGGTGATGATATTGGTTAAGTCTGCAACCGCTCCCAAGAAGAATGAAAAGCCACAAAAGCACAAAACCTGAATAATTCGCTCAATGATTCCACGACTATGACCAACAGATTCGCGAGATATGGAGCCAGTTATTGAGTATATGGCACCACTAGATATGAATTCCTGCCATACTTTCAAGCTCCATAAAAACATATTACCCATAAACAGTCCTAGTTCATTGTTGAGCTTGAAACCAGCTGGATGGTTGAATGAAACCCATGAAACCAAGTTGTACAAATCATGGTCCAATGTACGGATAATAATGGTTTCGTCAAATAAAGACGCAAGGTAAGCTAAGTTTGGCTCTATCACCCGCCAAAACGTTATTCCCAAAATGACATCGTTGAGAATCATCCACAATGAATTGAATAGGTTGATATAGTTTGAGTTGTTGACGTTCAAGTTTTTGTTCTTTAATGGAATCTGTAAGCTTGAGACTATTTTTTTGTCGTCGTATAGGTATTCTTTGTTGTAATAGCAGAGGAACTGAACAGGAAAATAGTTGATCTGTCTCATGCGGACCTCAAGCTGTCTAAAAGCTTGAGAAATGGTCACAAGGCTCATGTTGTACACCTTATAATTGAGTAACCATATCATCCAAATCGTGAGCTTTTCTATACTCCAAATGATAATGACGAGGACCCGAATTAAATGAAGTCGAAGCTCATTCCACACGAAATTGAGAAAGTTCGGTATAAATACTTTAGGCCTTATGTAGCGATTCTTCAAGAGATATTTGTGAAGTTTTTCACGAATCATGTGGCACTGATTAATACTGTCGAGGACCTCGTCATCAGTGAGAGTTGATCTGATGGGTGTAGGAGGAGGCTCCACCATTGCTAGGGTATCGAGAAGTTTTGGATTGGTTGTGATGTTGACAGAACCAGTTGATTGAAAGTAGAATATGGCTGATTGAAAAATACTCCAAATTTCGAAAATTGGGAGGCTCAAATGTGACAATTGTACGGTGTTTTGAGCAGAGCGGATACTTCTCGTCCATGTCAAGCCTGAACGATAAGTTCTGGTTGGGTATGCTACAATTGGCCAGACCACAAATTTTCAATCCAATTGGAAGCTTCGCCGCATCTTCAATGAGAGCTTTTCCAGTATGTTCTTCCACACTATCAACGATAACCAAAGCTGTTGGCGACAGAAGACCCATCAAATATAGTTTTTGTCCCCTTTGGGAGCGCTTTAAGAGGCGCTTGGGTATGAAAACGAGGTCCATTATTGGGCAAAACTGGCTCTTCGTAAGTACGGTGAGCTTGTGTTCAAGTTTTTGTGGAAGCGTTGAGTGGGCAAAATAGAAATCGTTTCGTCGTCGCTGTCGCTATCAGAAACGGCGGATGTATCTTTCCGGAGTGGAGAACTTGATTCCTGAAATATGTAGCGGTGAACAATTTCGCTCGTTATCCAAAAGAGCGTAATTGCCAGTACCAAAAACAAAAGTGAGACTACACCGCTCCTTAGAAGTACTTCTTTGGTGACCCTTGCAGGAGAGAGGATATAACCGTAATTACCGGAAGTATAAGGATCTACTTCAGCGGCACGCCAAAGCATATACAGTTGGCAAGAAAGTCAAATTGAGAAGCCGCGCAGTAGGGCCCATTACACCAATCTGGGGTAATGGGTAGAACAAGCAATAGAGACTTTAGATGGTGAGGTATAAAGCAAATATATAGCTACGAGCAGGTCACGTTTGTGTTCTCAGACGCTGAACAAAACTGTTCTTGCGGTGCAAATCCGTCAAGCTTTTGTGAGATGGGAGCGTTGGAGGAGTTGAGTCATCACCTGGAGTCTCATATGACACCGACGATCCCGAGCGGGAGAGCACAGGTCGAGTCTCTGTTGTCAAGTTGGACAATTGCTTTGTAAAGATGAGTGCTATGAGGGCAAACAAAAAGTCAAGGCGGAAAGAATTAAATAAATGATTCCAGGGCTTGTGCCACTTCGATACCCGATAACTTGTTAAACCGAGAGAATTCCAATAGGGAGAAAGTATGGGCAAAGAAGTTTTTTGACAAGAGCCAACGCTCCAAAGACCTCCCCATATTTTTGATTCGGGGGTAAAACTTGATAATGGTGGAGTTGAGAGCGGGAGATGTAAACGAACTGAGACTGTTGAACACCATTGCAAGTAAGAAAAAATTGGTGCTAGGTGCAATGTACACAAGCAAGAACCCAATTGCTTCAGCCACCAAGCCAAGCACACATATACTGAAGTCAATCAAGTCGTATTGTCGCTTCATCATGGTAAATCCACACCACTTATGGAAGACCTTGTGGGTCAAAATTGGCGACACGAACAAAAGTGCTATTGCTCGAGCAGGACAAGCAACTGCTAGCAATGCCCAATTCGATCGAGGTCCAGTCAAATGCGTAGATTCCATAAGGACGTAAACCTGACCCATGGGAACGCCAAACACATCAAAAAGCAGTCCACTATTACCAAGGTCAAAACCACGATTCGCTCTCTAGGAATATTCCGTCTATGGGCATTTGTGATTGCATCTGCTGGTAGAGTCAACAACCGCAAAGGTTTCAAAAAGTTTGGATTGAGCACCTGGAACCAATTTGACCGGGGAACTGCTTCGGGTGCGTCGATGGCAGATAGCGACAGAGACCGCGAGAGCGACCGGGACTTTCCACGGGCCTTTGCAGATCTCAGCTCAGGAACCACCGCCACGAAAACAATAAGGGCCAAGGCAAAAATAAGTATTTCAAACTGGAGCGGTCTGTATTCTGCGTGGTCAATTATAGCGTAGTATGACTGTTTCATCGATGCTACCTTGGTCTTGCCCATAGACTTGGAGAGGATAAAGTTACCCACCACTGGCCCCAAAGACAATCCAACAAAGAGACCAGCCATGCCCAAACCCAACGAGTAAATACGCTCGTGGGGCTCAACTACATCGGAAATGTAGCAGTTGGTCAAAGTGACAAAAGACATGACTCCTCCGAACATGTTACCAAGAGTCTCCGAAAGAACAATCAAACCAAATCGAAGGGTGTCATAGTGGTACATCAAGTAGAAACGAGTCACTCTGGCAACCAAAAAGCCGCCAATGATCAAAGCAAGGAAAGGTTTTCTGCCGTGCTGATCAGACAAGGGACCCAATTTTCCCAGTGCAATAAGCAGAAATACCGCCGCCAATATCATCACTGCAAGCAGAAGATTCGACACCAACAACTGGGTTTCGTTGGGATCACAAACTCCGGTGTGGCTGCTACTAGCCAAGTAATTACAAGCAAGTTTCAACGTTATCATGTTTCTGGTAGCTTCACCACTAGAAGTTGCAAATGCCACGCCAAAAGCACAGCAGCTTATCATTACCGCCGAGGGCCTCTTCATCCAGTGAGTGGCCTTGTTCAAAGTTCTTTGTTCTCGTAACCATATTGCATCCTCATTATTTTCATCTTCATCGTCATCGATGATGGCTTCATAAATGTCATTTACAGCACCTTCCAAGGTTGTTGCTGGGTCTATAAGGGGCAGGTGTTCACCGTATGTTTTGGTGGACCCGCTCATGACTAGCAGTGGCGAAAAATAATCGCCTCAAAATATACACTTGATATGATTTCTGATTGCTGCGCGGCTCCGGCTCCAATGCCCAAAACGGTGCGAAGTCCGTATGATAAGCGGCGATTAGGGAGAGAAGGAGACGACTGGAAAAGGGAAATTGCAGATGGCAAGGGGGAGTAAGAGATATCGAGCACTCTTATAGCAAAATGTACCCTCTCAGCAAGTCTACCGGTAACATTGAAGACACCACAGTGTACACAGTACCACACTAAGAAGTATACCACAGTAAGTACAAGTATACCACACTAAATATAGGAACCACCCGGGTGTAGCTGGTATAGCTGGCAGTATCTGGCAGTAGCTGGGCCAGAGCGAAGCCTCAAATCTTCTAGTAATATGTAGCAAACACAGCAAAACTAGCAGACCATATATAGCAAAGATATAGCAAAGCCTTTATAGGCACCAAAGAAGTAATATCCATCGTAGCATACCATATAGCAAAAGTGCAAGCAACATTCCTCAATATCATAACTCATCACAGCATATCAGTGAGAATGTAAATCGTTGCAAGCATATAATACAAGGTTTATCAAACCCGTAAATTTGCAGCCAAATTTTAATTTTGTAGCATTTATCCCCGCAAAGATACCTCTGCCGCTGTGGAGATCAACTGCTCGTCGGTTGAATATTTGTTCAACCTCAAAATGTGCTTTGCGGCCACCACGGCAAAGAAACAAATCACCACAATGCCCATATGAATATAGAGGACCATAGAAGGCCAGGCACGATGCAAACTCCAATTGTACAATCTCATGACGACGTATGGAACCGCCACGTTCAAGACATTGGTGAGCATCAAACATGCGGTGAACAACTCTGCTCTTCTTGAAGCCGGGTAGAATTTCGATATAGTCGATATTGTGGCCGGCGTCACCAAAGATGCAAGACTAACCAGAACAAAAGCCACAAGCATTCCTGTTGCAGATCGGCTTTGAGCCATGCTGAAGAACGCAATGAACTCGAAAAAGTATCCCGTCAAGAGAACATAAAAGTCCACCATATCCATTTGGCGTTTCATGGTTTTGAGCCGAAACTTTCTCTGCAACAACCAGTTATTAAGCATGGGAGACAAACCAACCAACACCGCAAATCTAGCTAAAGAGTAGAATGATAACAGGTGTCCGATGTCTCCTGCAGACCAATTGAACCTGTAGACTCCGTACTGGACCAAAATGGCCGAAACTCCCATAAGCCATGTCGCACAACCGGTATTGATAGCCACCATTATCATCACACAAGCTCTGGCACGGCCGGCGTGCCTCTTGTGGGTTTGAGCCACAACACTGTCAGGGTAAGTTAACAAGTGTAATGGTCTGAAAAAGTTTGCAATTTGAGTGTAAATTGAGCTGGTGAGATTGGGGTTGACATCACGAACCGCACTGCGTGCAGAGTCAGCGGTGGATACAAACGAAGAAGCCCGTGACTTTTCCAATGCCTTGTAGCCTCTGGATTCCGGAATTGCCAAGAAATAAAGAAAAGTCAACACCAGCACTGCAAATTCGATGCGAAGAGGAAAGAATTCCGACAGGGTTACTTTGGAGGATCTAGTGATTGCCAGAGCCAGGAACCCATCTTGAGGAGTTTTGGGCATTGTTGCTGGATCTTTGCCCATATAACGAAGTACAGCATCACTAATAAGCGGACCAAGCGCCATCCCCATACAAGCAGCACCTTGAGCCAAACTCAAACTCACAGTCCGCTTTCTAGCCGACAGCACGTCCGAAACGTAAGCAGCTGACATAGACGATTGGGCAAATTGACCACCTAGAATGGAGTCTATCAAGTCACCAAAAAGCAATCCAAAGAAGGGAAGACCATCTTGATGGTGAGAAAAAAAGTATAATTTGATCAATTTGGCAACAGCATTGGTGATGGTCAAGGCGATAAGCACGGGTCTACGGCCGTAAATGTCGGCCAATCTTCCCATCCGACCCACCACGGTTGTTCCAGCAATTGACATCACCAAAAGCGAGTAGAAGTTGTAGGTTGACACAAGTTCCAGTGTGGCAATTGGGTCACAAATACCATGCGAATCTGCCACCGAATTACAACTTTGTTTGAAAACCACCATTTGACGAGGTCCCTCTGCCAAAGATGTGGACATCATATACAAGAACGACCCAAATGCAAGTATTTGTAAACTCGGTCTTTGGTACCAAGGCATTGAACTCATCAACTCTTGATGTTTACGTTGAATATAATCGTCTTCATCTTCATCTGAGATCAACGAAAGATTGTCAGATTCAACCTCATTGATCTCTTCAACTGCTTCATAGGCCACCTCGTCGGTGTTGAGAAGAATGTTGGTTTCTTGCATCAAAGTACACAAGAAATTCCACCACACATGGAGCTTATAAATTGGAGCCGTACGGCTCCTTATCTCGGCGCGCCGCAGACTGTGTGGTAAGAAATCGAAAGTTCGCACCAAAGTTGTGGAGTGTGGTGCACCGAGGGCCGTCACTGAGGTAGCGCGGGCAGTGTGTGCCTGCACATGCGTCCAGGGCTCAACCCTCGCGGCCTCCCTGCACTCTAAAATTTTTCAACCCTCACAGATTTTTTCACCGTTAACCAACCACGAAAATGTCATTGCCTGCTTCCTTTGACTTGACTGCTGAAGACGCCAAGTTGTTGTTGGCTGCTAACGTCCACTTGGGTTCCAAGAACGTGATTGTGCACAACAAACCATACGTTTATAAGACCAGACCCGATGGTGTCAACGTGATCAACATTGGTAAAACATGGGAAAAGATCGTATTGGCTGCTAGAACCATTGCTGCCATCCCAAACGCTGCTGACGTTGCCGTGTGTTCGTCGAGAACCTTTGGTCAAAGAGCTGTGTTGAAATTTGCCGCTCACACCGGTGCCACCCCAATTGCTGGTAGATTCACTCCAGGTAACTTCACCAATTACATTACTCGTTCTTTCAAGGAACCAAGATTGGTCATTGTTACCGACCCAAGAACCGATGCCCAGGCCATCAAGGAGTCGTCGTACGTTAACATTCCCGTCATTGCTTTGACCGACATGGACTCTCCTACCGATTACGTTGACATTGCCATCCCATGTAACAACAAGGGTAAGCACTCGATCGGTTTGATCTGGTGGTTGTTGGCCAGAGAGGTGTTGAGATTGAGAGGAATCATTCCTGACAGATCCACCGAATGGTCTGTGATGCCCGATTTGTACTTCTACAGAGACCCAGAAGAGATTGAGCAAAATGCTGCTGAAGATTCCAAGGCTGAGGATGCTGAAGAGGCTCCTGTTGCCGACGCCGAGCCCGACTGGTCCGGAGAGACCGAAGACGTCGACTGGGCCGAGTCCGGTGCCACCCCTGCTGCTGAGGAGGCTGCTGCTTCCAACTGGTAATCATGTACTGTACCAAATAACATAATATAGTGTAGCGAAGCAAGTGTAGAGATACAGACACGACAAGAGATGGTAATCTCTTGTTGTGTTGATAATCCTTATCTATTTTCTAGGGTCAGTTGAGGTGAAATCATATTCAGTCACTTTCAGTCTCTCACTTTCAGTCTCACTTTCAGTCTCAGTTTTTTTCGTCGTTTCACGACCTATAAAAGCGCGAGTTTTTTTCTTCTCTTCATCAATTTGATTACCAACGAAACCAACCAAATCAAACGTCCACCGTAGTTCGTGGATACTTGTATTCACATCAGATGGTGTTCTCGTTCTGAGTCCATTGTCTGGTGAGATCTATGTTTTTTGGAACTGCTTCTGTTTTCAGATTTTGTAGCTTTTCCTCGCGGTTTGTTAGGGCGCTTGTTTGCCATGGTTCCCATAAAAACTGCCCGGTTTATCGTACTTATTCTGGAGTGATCCGCCATAGAATAGGTTCTTCATGCCCGGGCCATATCTGTACAAAGTGCTACATAAGTGCTGACTGTCTATTGAGTGTCTGCTTAGCTCTCGATGAGCAAGCGACTTTTTCTTATTTTACATGCTTACTTCTCTACTGTCTACTCTAGGTTAGTTTTCTGTTCTTTCCTTGCTTTACTTAGCTATTTTTGTCTTGCTTACTTCCATGTTTTCATTTCTGGCTTTTCCCCATATTCGTCTCGGATCGCGATCCACGCGTATTCTTCCGATTGTATTTTGTGGTTATTGTCATTTCTCCACCACGTTGTTTCCGAGTCCCATATCTCGCCCATCGGTCTATCCACTGCCTGAGAGCCTATTGAAGTACTATAAACTCCTGGGCGCTGTTAGTTGCAACTATACAAACGATTTGTGTTTCTTGGTCATATATTTCGTTGATATAATTGAAAGACAATTTTACAAAAACGTCACAAATTCCTGACCATATTCATTGACTTATTGACTCATTCCGCTAAGTTTTGACTTTTGTTTACTTGCTTAATAATCCCTTGCAATGAAAAAGCGGTTCCAAGAATGGTTCTATACCCTTCTGACCAACGACAAGTACTCCGACTTTGACTCCCGCAAGTCTTTCAACCGTGTCTACAATTCGTCTTCTGACGTCCTTTTCCACCAAACAAATGGCAGTTCTGCGAGTCTAATGGCTCCCGAAAGAGATTCTACCGACATCGACTTGGCGTCTCGAATGGAAGGTGTTCATGAAGTACGGCTCGCTTGGCGTCACATAAAGAATTGGATTCTGAAAAACTTTCCTGAAGTCGAGTCTACGTTGCAGAGTCCATGTACAAACTCTGATCTAGCCGAAGTCCAGAAAGATTTGGGCATTATACTTCCAAGTTGCGTTCTGGAGTTCTATAAACTCACCGATGGACAGGAATTTCTCCAGGGCTCTGTAGGCTTGATTTATGGCCTTCGTCTTCTTCCCATTGACCAGGTGGTGGTGGAAACCGAGAACTGGAGAAAGGTAGTACACTCCACACCTCAGCAAGCATCCACCCATCCCCAAAGACGAACATTGCTGCAATTGGGTAAAGCCCAAGTCTCGGAATCGGATCTCACGTCGCATTCGTCTTCTTCTGTTGATTTGTTCGAATCGACATCAAAACCTGATATTCATGATAATTCAAGAACCGCCTCAGACACTTCGTCTTTTTCTCATTCCTTCATACCCAGACAACGTTCAATCCCTCCGGGTGCCATCCACGAGTCATACGCCCACGATATGTGGATTCCACTCGTCACTGATGGCGTGGGAAACTGTATAGGCATAGACTTGTCTCCACCTCCAAACGGACCAGGAGTCGTGGGACAAGTAATACTATTCGGACGTGAGTTCGACACAAAGTACCAGGTTGCCAAAACTTGGGGTGATTTTCTTTTGATTTTTGCAAATGACTTGGAAAATGGTAATTTTAACTTGAAACAACCTACAGAAGATATGAATTATGGCGATATGTTATTTGGAAGCATTGGCGAGCTTGTGTTTTACGATAAGGATACGAAAGAGGAGCTCGACTACTTTGAAGTTCTTAAACGAAGGACGATGAAACAATGGCTTTCTTCCATAGATGAGTCCCAGCAATCAGAAACAGTGAAAACCTTAATTAACCAGTTCAGAAGCAAAAAGACAATGCTTGTTCCATTGAGGGAAATGTCCGTTGACGATGTGATTCGCAGCAACTTGGCATCGATCGACACTATCAATGAACCATTGAATCTGAAACGCTCAAAGCTCACGGTCAAAACCACCTCCAAGTCCAGCTCCGAGAACGATAAACCAGATCTCAAAAGCCCGCTTTCGCAAGAAATTGAGTTCGACTTGGCCGATTCCGAATCATGATACATAGACAATTCACCAAATTATTCTTTGGATACTCGTTGGCTCACTGAGCCAATAAAATTCGTAGCCAAAGAATACACCCATGGCGAGCACGTTTACTCCATTGAGCCAAACAAAATCAAGGACCTGGCGGTAATAGAAGTTTTCGTCTTTGTGCCAAACTAAATTGTCCATCTGAGGGCTGCAATAGATTTTAAACAATACCAACGGAACGATGTAATACCTTGGTTCAAAGAGAGGGGACGGTATCACCGTTACACATATTGATACGAAATATGCCACCACCGCAGTCCAGCCCAACGAGGGGTTGTTTCTCTTGGATCTCAAGGAATCTGCCACTGTCCATGTTGCGAAATGGTAGATAGGAGCCATAAAGTACTTGCTATTTTTGTGCAGAAGAATTCGTCTCCAAATGTAGAATGTATAGTGACGATTGTCAGCAAGTAAAAATGGGTGCACCACGGTGAAATTTTCGATTATCTTCGTGATTGCAAACAAGCAGATAGTTGTTAAAAGCAGATTGAAACCATAATTGTTCAAATAAGAGAACTGCAAGTATCTTTTGAGTTGGCCGCGAGAGAGCCAAATTGGCCAGGTGAAAATTGTGATGAAAGTGAGGCAATAAAAAACCTGAACTAGATGCAATTGCATCTCGTGGTTCTCCTTGTCGCCGAAAGTGATACCGCCGTTAACAACGAGAAATGCAATGAAGAAAATGCCGTTGGCTACAAAGGGAAGAATTAGGTGCCAATTCCTAAAACATCCCATGATAAAAAGCTGGATATCTGACATTTGGAACTGGGAGCCGATGTCTAGCTTCCTTTCCACCAACACCACGGTAATGAAAAAGATCCAAACGATGTTTGTTTGTCGAAACCACAAACTAGCGAATGCTAGTAATCCTCCTAGTACACTATTGGAAATCGTGGGTTGCTGAACAAAGGCTAAAGCTGAGACCAAAAGCACCGTGGACCACACATCTGTGTAGAAGAGAAAGTAATACGTGAACAACAATGGCAATGATACGATATTGATGGTCCATCCATTTTTGCTGTTGAGCCATTGCAACATATATGGCATCACAATAGTTCCACCCAATAGGTTCAATGACCTTAGTACATCATAATCTGAGCAGTAATCTGCGTTTCCGACAATATTCAAGGCTTTGCCGTACAAATAGCCAAGTATATAGAGTCCTGGAGGAGTGGTGATTTTGTTATCCCAGTTATAAAAGTCATTATTGCAGTATTTTATGCACTGCCGCAAGTGAAATATCTCATCTATGAATGGAGCCCGTACGTTTTTCTTCACCAAATGGTATATTACAGCCACAAAAATTCCAAACGCTGCTTGTAGGTGGATCTGTTTTATGGCCATTGATGAAATTGAGTCGCGCGGAAAAGTAATTTGGTTTGGCTGAGCGTGGGACGATGTCCATAGTATAACAAAATCATTTTTTGTATTTGAGGTTAATTCAATCACACTTTCAAAATGAGCTCAAAACTGATTCTATTCTAGAATGCTCGCTTGTTTTGTTTGTGGCAGCTTTCTTTCTGTGTCGGCTTCTCACCGCTTTCTAATCTTTACTCAGCTTTTGCTCAAATAGCTTTTCTCAATTGACTTGCTCAATTCTCAACTATCTCTCTAGCTTTCTTCTTGCTCAATGCAGAGATCTTTTGCTGTTGACAACTCTAGGTTTCTTGCTAGTACTCTGCAACCTGCTACTTTTTACACCAAAGAAATAGAATTGCTTCTTGCTCAAATCCTTGATACTCGACCTACCACACTTAGGGTACGTCGCAGTTCCCGATTTGGGCTCGTGGATGTATCTGCTCCTTTGTTACTGAGTGCTCCTTTGCACCATCTTGCAGCATATCTCGCTGAAAAAAATGGCTGCGAAAAAAATGAACATGTCAAGAAAACTAGCGAAGTCGAAACAGTTCAATATTTTCAAGGCATTGGTTTGGTCGACGACTTCTACTTGAGTCTCGTAAGCTGGAGCAGAAAGTACGATCGACGGGCCGTAGCATTGGGCCCCAATCTTTATTTTTGGGGAGGACTGGCCGAAGGCATCGATGAACTCAAATTGGAAAAATATCACCTTGGCCATATAACATGCATTTCTTATTCCAGAAGAGATATCCTCTTGGTGTGCACTGCTCGCAGTTATGTCGTGGTGTACTCACAATTACTAAAAAAGATTGTAGCCACCACTTGTCTTGCGGGCTCATATATCTGCTGCGCAGAGTGGCTCGGAAACTCCAACATAGTTTTTACTGGCAACGACAAAGGAGTGGTGTGCTGTCTCCAGGTATCTGAGCGCGAAATTGTGGTGCGCCGGCGGATCCAATTCCACGAGCAGCAAATATGTGGTGAGTATTGAATGGAGCAAAGTGAAAAATGAAACTGAAAATTGCGAATTTCGAAAATTTGAAATATTTCACTATTTTGCTTTCTTTTGCTATTCCCCTTTCTCTCTTTCTCTAACACAGGCCTCGCTCTAAACAAGTCAATGACTACTCTAGCCATCGGAAGCAACGACAACAAGTGCAGTATATGGGACATCTCCAACTTGGCACTGCCAGTACACCAGTTCACCTTGAACCATTTTGCAGCCGTGAAAGCTTTGGCGTTCTGTCCTTGGTCCCACGCGCTTCTAGCGACCGGTGGTTGCCGCAAGGATCGCACTATACGTTTTTGGCATACTAAAAGTGGCACTTTGGTGCGGCAAGTACACACCGATTATCAAATCACTTCACTAATTTGGTGTCGCAGCCGCCGCGAATTTGCAGCCATTTTCGGCGCCGGTGGCACCAGGTCCAACACCGATATTCTCCGCATATACACCTACCCGGGACTCAATTGCAAGGGCCAGGCCTCAGCAAAGACCAATCTTCGCTCTGTAAGTTCCGCAGTTTCTCCCGATGGAAATTCAGTGTGTGCCGCTTTTAGCGACTCTACCATCCGAGGCTATAATCTCTGGAATCCGACCGAAAAGGAACTTGGAGAAGCTGGGGAATACGGAAGCAGCATCTTGAATGCGGTGGAGAATACTTGGGGGATTAATCCTGGAATTCGATAACAACCAAATAGTCCTTGACTGTCGGCTCGGTTATGACTTGACGGGTTCAGCTGACCTAAGCACAATTCCCCATGACCGGGACTGTATCTAATAATAGCCAAGTATAAATCAATGCGAAGCCACCCTAATTTCCTCCCATGTCTGCTGCGCTTATAAATCGGTCTCTTACGACGGTTAGAACTGAGCTAGAGTTCCTTCGTGACTCGGAGGTCATCACGGAAGCTTTATATGACCGTCTTATAGCTTCGATCCCAACAAAATATGACAAAAATGCTTCTTCCTGGGACGTAGATCGGCTCAGCGTTGGTTCGTCCGGGGATAAACTTGCCGATGATTTGTCCAGAGTGTCTATCAATAGCTCAGTTGAGTCCAAGGAGCAAACCGTGGTGCCAAAAAAAAGTGAACCGGCTCCAGTTTCTGCCGATTCGGCTCCACGCCCGGCACCTAAAGTTGATCCCAAACCTTTGGGATATTGCCGTTCTCTCTACGATTATAACGCCCAGGAGGCTGGCGACTTGGAGTTGAAAAAAGACGACAAAGTGGCGGTGTTGGAACACCTTTCCGAAGATTGGTGGAAGGGTTACCGGAGTGGCACCAGTCCAGCTGACGCTGGGGTTTTCCCTTCAAACTACGTTACGGTGATTTCTCAGCAGGAATTCGAGCTCCAGCGTGGCTCAGCACCGGTCCCACTTCCAGACTCGAAAGATACCTTGAATGACAAAACAACTTATAACGACCAATACGCTCCTCCGCAATACTCACCAAACCAGTACGCTCCACCTATGAATCAGCAGCCCTCGTATGGTGGTTATTCGCAATATCCTCCTCCACTGACCAATTACTATCCTCCTCCACAACAGCAAATGGTACCAATGGGACAACCAGCGCCTCAACCAGTGGCTCAACCAATGGCCGCCCAAGATCCACAGTTATACCAACAGCAAAGCGGTGGTTCTCATCCACACTTGAAGAAATTTGGAAGTAAGTTCGGTAATGCCGCTATCTTTGGTGCTGGTGCCACCGTCGGTAGCAATATAGTGAACTCTATTTTCTGAAAGAATAGACTTCTTATTGGTTTTGATTTACAAAGAATATATATGACGTTTGGTTAGGGTCAAGGATGTATTTTTAAGGTGAAGTTGTATTCCATTTGATAATGTTATCCATTTCTTGCAATGCTATCAATCCTTTATATATGATGATTGTAGCGTCCCAATCAAGGTAATCCTAATGTTTAATAACTGAAGTGTACGGATTAGAATATTTGTCGTCTTTCTCAATTCTCTCCAATACGTATGTTCCATTATTTGTCCTCCTATTTTCTGCTATCTACAACGGTGTTTAACAACAACGAGTCATTGTCCAACAAGATTCTGTTGGGAGAGTTGGCCAAAATCTGAGCGATTTCTCGCGCAGTATCCAATCTCTTCAATTCGACATAATCCTTCGACTTCTTGATCGCCTCACCAATCAACTGCGCAGACTTGGCTTCACCAGTAGCCTTGACCACAAGTTGCTGCTTCTCTTGAATAGCCTTGTCCACGATAAACGCAGCTCTCTGAGCATCCTGCTGGGCGATTTGCTTGGCTTCAACTGCCGCACTGAACTCGGGAGAAAATGTCATGAAAGTGAGCGAAACATCGTCCAACAAAATGTTGAACTTTCCAGCTCTGCGCACCAAGTTTTCCTTGACCAACCGACTGACTTTTTCTCTCTGGGTGATTAATTGCGATGCATTAAACTGAGCCACCACCGATTTCAACACTTCGTTGACGATCGAGGGCAACACCTTCTCGTCGTAATCTGTGCCCAAAGTACGGTATATCACCGGTAACTGCATCACTTCGGGGCGGAAAAGAACACGACATGTAATATTTACCATTTGCAAATCTTTGGTTCCGGTAAGCGAAGCAACGTTTCTTGGTTTGGCACGAACGTCGTACACAATTGGACGCTGGAACCAAGGCACAACAAAATGAGTTCCCTCAGGGTAGATGGTGGGTTGCACACCGTTCAAACGTGAGTATATTATGGCTCTTTGACCACCGTCAACGTTGAATAAGGAATTTTGAGCAACTATAGTGGCACCACCGAGAAGCAAAAGTCCACCGAAACCGGCGAATATTCCAAAGGGAGAACGGGGATTGCCGCCGCTTGTCTTCCGTGCGGAGTTGGCTCTCCTTCTGAGCTCATTGGAGAGGTTTTTCCAGTTTTGGTCGTTCATAGGTGGCGATGGTTTGTGGGGCAAATTGAATGCGAATTTGATTTTTGTGTGGAAATGTCGCCGCCATACACCCACTGTTAAGAGACCTCAATATCAAATTGACCAAGTTTAACTTGGGACGCCCTCGTATCCATGCTGTTTGTTGTACTCGTTAATAGCTCTTCGCCAGTACCGTTTTCGGTTCGTTTGCACCGGATTGACCCGAAATATTTTCTCAATGAAAATGAGAACTACGATCACCAGCGCTACCACGAAACTTGGCGCAATTAGCTCCACGAGCCTTCTACCAGAAACCGTTCTTTGGTACGGGCACTGGGCGTATGGTCCTCCAGTAACAAAGCAATTGGCCACGGTTATGTCGTTGAGATCTACCCAAATCGGGTATTTTTCACCACTATTGGCAACTTCCTGTCGAAGCGAATCAACCTCGATGCTCAGCTGGGGAACATTGAACAGGTATCCTTCGGGACAGTCGCCGTAGTCGTCGGAAAAATATGTGTCGGAAGAAACTGAGATTTTCCATTCGTTGGGCGAATTGAACTTTTGGCATGCAAACTTGTGTTCCTCATAACAGTTGCTTAAAACAAACCCACTTTCCTGAAGAGTTACGCATTTGCGGGCCATCTGGTTGTCCGACGACTTATAGTCTCGTTTGTCAAAGGAGGACGTGTTTGCCGTGTGTTGTCGATCATGAGGCTGGCCAGGAGCCCACGACCAATACGACCGTGGAAAGTAGTAGGTGAGTATATCACTAATATCCGTCGTTGCGGGTTTGTTTGGTATGGAGTACCTCGAGGCATTGAGAATGGGCGAGTAGCCGCATGTGACGTACTTGCGAAAACTGCTGGGGGTAAAAGGAACGTTCTCATTATCCACCACAGTCCGAAAGTTTGAATTCAATGAAAGTTGGTTGAAATCGCTCAATGTTCGTGATCCACAGCGCTCTAGTAGACTCTCGTCGCTGGTGTAGGAGATATCGGCAAAATCTTCATTGAAAAATATAGTATTTTCGTCATTGGAACCGAGCGCCGATTTGGGGACCTTATTCTCGGCAACATATGTGATTAATCTCTTGTAATCGTTCAACAAGAACGTTTGCGACAGCGGAAAGTCGAATGCGGACGTGTTGTAGAAGGCTGAGATACCCGTACCACTTTGGGTTTTCTGATAAGTTGTGAGATCTTGGGGTGTATAAAGCATATCTGAAACCGATGATAAGCTCGAATTGAGGGTTGAATTGCCATAATTGGAAAACGTGGCATAGTTCTTGAGCTCCTTGGAAGCGATAGTTTTGTTTTTCGACTCGGAAAAATCAAAATCGTAGAGATTGAACATGATCTGAATCAAGTTGACGGCAATGTTGGTGTTCGTGCTCATGAAATATGACCGAAATTCCTGCATTACCAGGTCCAACGTGAACGACGGCTGGCAGTGGTAGTCTCTGTTGTTCCACCGAACTGTCCGTGTCTCGTAGGCATTGGTGGATGAGTTTTGGGGAAACGGAGCGGGACATAATTGCCAGTTACTGGTAGCATTATTGTAGTATAAGTCCAACATCCACGTTTGTAGTCCTCCATCCAATAGCTGCCTGATATAATCAAGTGAGGATGAATTGTAACCCACTTTTTCAAACAAAACCGTGTTGAGTGAAACACCCATGTTGTTGGTCTGGCCAATGGGAACCAACATAGAAATGTCTCTTTGAGTCCTTGACGCCACCACGATGGTATTCACCACATCAGACACGTTCAGTGCGGCCTGCACACCGAAAACCAGCCATATGTTACATACAAAACATACGAGAAACAAGAGCATGCGTGGTGCTGGTGTCGCAGCCTTGCAATTTGTCTCTGTTGATGTTTCCTGCAGACAGGGCCAGCTTGATCTGATTTCGCAGCTTTTCGCAGCCTTTGTTTGATTTTATATCTACAAACATGCCACGACCATTAGACGAATTGCTAAGCTCGTTGAACGAGAACCAGCGGACCGCCGTCACCGCCCCACTCAATAGTCGAATATGTGTTATTGCTGGTCCAGGAACCGGAAAAACAAAAGTTCTTGTTTCTCGAGTTGCTCATCTTTTGCTACACGATCAAATTCCTCCACAGCAAATCATCGTTACAACGTTCACCAAGAAAGCTGCCAACGAGATGGTTCTGCGTCTACGCTTGGTACTTCAAGACACCGATATTGATGTCAATAGACTAATGGTGGGCACATTCCATAGCATATGCTACCGTATAATCAAGAAGTATGGCCACTTGATTGGCCTAGAAGGATTTACCATTGCTGACGAAAAGGATAGCATACATCTTCTCGAAGAATGTTTGGAAAAAATTGGAAAAAATCCACAGCAAAATGACGATGAAAAACAGGATACCAAGCGTTATAGAGCCAAGATCTCGTCATTGAAAAGCCGTGCAATAACACCAATAGTCTTCAAGAAATCTCATTCCGACGAGTATCTACTGTCTTTGTACGAGACTTACCAAGAGAGTTTGACGGCCGCAAAGTTGTTGGATTTTGACGACTGTCTCGTTCGGTGCCATGAATTGTTGTTGCAATATCCAGTGCTCAACTTTGTCAAATCGGTACTCGTCGACGAGTTTCAAGATACCAACGAAATACAGTTGCAATTGATGTACGAATTCGCCAAAGGACACCCTTCCGACCAAAATTTGCAAAATAATGTTTTGATCGTTGGAGATCCAGATCAAAGTATCTATGGCTTTCGAGACGCTCAAGTGGGAAACTTTAAAAAGATGGTGACTTTTTACGAAAACAAGGGTCTTTCTTGTACTACTATTCTTTTAGAAGAGAATTACCGGTCCACGGCTGGTATACTTGACTTTTCCGAGTCCATCATGAGACAGCAAAAACTGCGAACCATTAAAAACCTTCGTTCTCAAAAAAACGCAACTTACAAGCCTGTAATTGCGTCCCTCAAGGGCCTGGAGCAAGAAGGACGCTGGATCGTGTATCAAATCGAAACTTTACTTTCTCTTCCTGGCCAACCTCTTCGCCATGAAGATATTGCAATTCTCTTTCGAGCTGCTTACCAAACAAGAGCAGTGGAACAAGAGCTAACACGACGAGGAATTCCGTACTTGATGCTTCGTGGTAAGGCATTCTGGGATCGAAAGGAAGTGGTGGTGTTCATGGACTATCTACGAGTGGTCTCCAACGAGAGCGATAGGTTGGCCCTCGTCAGAACTCTTAATTATCCCAAGAGAGGAATCGGAGAAAAGGCTATGAAGCTTATCGAAAATGAGTTGCAGAACTCAGCAAATCTGGTACATCAAACTCTAGTTGCGTTTTGCAAATCTGGTCAATTGTCCTCTAAAACCAAAGAAGGTTTAAGTGCCTATCTTGGTCTCATTGAACGGTGCCGCGAGCATTTAGATCACTACGAAATGACCCACGACAAGAGTTTGCTTGAAAGGCTTTCGAGCGAGCTCCTTCGTGACTCGGGCCTTCAAACTGAGTTCGAAGACGACTCTAATAAAATGCTCAATATCACCGAAGTGCAACGACAGTTACTTGACTTTGAGCCTCAAGACGAACAAATTGAACTTTTCGTTGGTGGCTCCGAAAATGATCAAGCAGATGATCCGTTCAATCATATCCAGAAATTTGTTCAGGCAATCGGTCTTTATGAGTCCGAAGAGTCTGCACAGTCAAAAGAAAAAAGCACTAGCAGAATCACACTTTCCACCATCCATGGCTCTAAGGGACTCGAGTGGCATACTGTATTTGTCCCGGGCCTTTCAGAGGGTGTGCTTCCTGCTGGGTTTGCTATTGCTGATAATAGCGAGCAGTCAGCGGATGAAGAACGTCGCTGCTTTTATGTGGCTACAACAAGAGCTAAGACTCTCTTGTATATTTCATCATACATAGAAGAAGAGGGTAAATGGGGTCGCAAGCCAATTGAAGCCGTTTCACGATTCTTGACGAAAATCAAACCAGATATGATATCTGAATTTCAATCGGCAATTTGCAGCAAAAAGGACCTAATCTCGTTATACCAACTCATGGCTCGTGAGTACGACGAAACGTTCGATATCGATCAATTTGCTTCGATGTACAAATTGAAACTTTCTGAGTTTGTCAGAGGAAAATCTAACATTGACTTGTCAAATTTGTCGGCTGGTTTTGTGAGTGCTCGTAAAACCAATGCCATCGCCAGTTCAGTGTTCGAAACAAACCGTCGTCCGGCACCCCGATCGGCCATTTCAAGGGTTTCCAAGGCACCTACAAAACAAAAAGGGTTCAATCCACCACGCCAAATCACTTCAAGTTCCAGTAAAGCTCCATCGTATGTCCGAACGACGGCTCCGACAGTTCCAAAAGCTACGAAAATGGCCCCTCCATACATTCCCGATCGCCGCAGAGCTCCCGCCTACATTCCAAATCGAAAAGCGCCATGATATTCCCTACTTAGTTATTTGGAAGCTCCATGGAAACGTCAAGTGCACCGTCAGGTCATCGTCAACGAACTTTGTCGTGGCAGAGTAACTTCCACGGGCCAACATTCCAGAAGGAGCCTCGACATCAGGAAAGTATTTCTCGTAAAACGGTTGCTTGGTGGTGTTGGGAGCATAAGAACCCAATGGCTCTTCGACCTTGTCCACCCGAATGCCGGCTTTTTTCACCAGATGCAAGTACCGCAAGCCAGTAATGATCTCATGTTGAACTCTGAACTTGATTTTGAGCCGGTAAACCGCCTTTTCCTTGATGGTGAATTTGATATCCTTCTTGATGGTGTTCCCGTCATTGTCCTCCATATTGATGACTATCGGGTCCAAATCCTTCAGCTCGGGAAATTCCAACGCCATCTCTACAATGACCACTTTCCGCTTGTCCCCTGCCTTTACGGGATACGCGTCGGCGTCGGCCGCCAAACCCAACGAAGCTTTCCACTTTGCCAAACTTTCATCCTCAGCGTCGAGTTTCGTGTATTCTTCAATTGTCTTCTTCTCGCCCACGGTATACCCTTCCACGGTCTCGGGAACCAAATCGTCGTCGTTGGCCTGACTCATTCTAAACTATGTTAACAGTGTTAGCGACAAACGAGGAACTCTGTCGATTCCTATTGTGTACTGCATACAATGCGTCTCTACCACGATACAACATGTGAATTTTTTTTGGCAATGTGGGATGTTTCTGGGTCAATTGATATTCAGAATGTGGTGTTGCTTGTGAATGGTCAATGCCAACCGTTTTTGGAATTATTTATCATCATTGGGGTGTTTTAGTGTGTTCCTCTTTCTTCGTATCTCTCGACTATATGAAGGATCGAAATGTGGGCGCGAACAGAAGCTTGAAGATTGCACATACTCCTGTTTCCTATGGCTAGTGACCAAGATGTAAGTATTGAGTGGAAACTGTGCTCTGGCACCAAATTCATGCTGTGGCTCTTCAAAAAAGCATTCTGAGTAATTATGGAGTCTTGGGATCTCCGCTTTTTTTGATTGTTGATCCAGTAGTTTTGAATCATTTCGAGCAACGCCACTAACGTCCAGATTCGTGCCAAAAGGCTCGCTAAACTCGCTGCAGTGGGCGGCGGGTCTTCCTCGAGTGCCAATTCGGCGCCAGGGTCGTCTAAGCAAGAAAACAAGGCGGCATCCAATAGCGCTCTGTCCGGTATGAGTTCGTCAAACGTAGCTGAAAAATCACCCCGAACTTCCAATTCTGACACCAAATCACCTATTGCACAGGCAGCTCCACCACCAACACCAAAACCAACTCCGTCTCAGAAACCAATCCCTCCAAAAAATCCTGAAGAATTACTTTCTCAATGGTTGACAGAAGAGCTAGAACCCATTTTCCACGCCAGTCTCTCCGGAAACCACGACAGAGTTCTTACCAGTCTTGCCGACGAGCTTCGTGACGAAAATCGAGCATTTTCGGCCTCAGATCTCGACTCAGTGTTCATGCAAATCCTCACTGAAATGGGTCCCCCGTCGTCTTTTCCAATCCCTCTTGTGTACTTGTTTCACGTGTACCAAAAATCGTTCCAGCTCAAAAGAGTGCTTCCCAAAAAGGACCAGTTGTACGAGTCGAAGATCGGTATCCTTAACGAAATCATATCCCTCAGTTGTTCGTACTCTCTCATCTGCTTTCAAATGGACGACATGTTTGTGAACAACGACATAAAGGCATCTGTGCTTCGATTTGTCACCTCTGACGATATGTCAACGTTCTTGGTGGATATAGTAAAGAAAAGCATTGAACAGGAGACCCTCACGGAGCTCATGAATATCATTTTCCCAACCTTGGCAGCTGAGCTCTATACCGTCAACTTGAACGATAGACTGTATTCTCAATTCTTAAGTGTCATTGAGACGCTTGTTTCTATAAAGCCAGTTGCTGCAATCTTTTACCAGCTCGACGGATTTCAACCTCCAGACCCAACCCAACCGCTTGACTTTGAAAACAAGACTTTACTTGGCTCCATGTATCGATTATCACCATTGATAGATTCCATTAGCGCTTATTATTTCGCCGAAACTGTCGAGCACGGACTGAGTGCACAATTAAGTGCCAGTTACGAAGCTCTTCAAAACGAGTACAAGGTAGTGTCTGATAGACTATATTTCATCACCGACAAGCTCATTCGTGGATCTCCCGAAACTAGAAATGCGCTCCTCAAATGGTTTGCTGACTTGATCAATTTGAGTCATTTGAGACGAGGAAGCCACGCAGACTTGTCAAAATTACCCTCTGATGGCATCATGTTCAATATTTCGTTAATGTTGATCAGACTCTGTGGTCCTTTCCTTGATTATCCCACTTATGCCAAGATTGACAAGATAGATATGGACTTCTTTGGCAAAAGCTCGCTAATCGATGTTTCTGAAGAGTCAAGAATCAACTCTTCTCTTCTGGAAGCCACTGATTACGCCAAGGATCAAGCAGGGGAGACAAATTTTATTTCTGACTGTTTTTTCTTGACTTTGGCATATTTCCATTATGGAGTTGGAGGTATCTACTTGCATTACGACCGTTTGAAGTCTCAGATCAAGCAACTCTCACTGCGTGTTGAACTCATCTCAAACAACCGTGTTCCACCTGGCACAAATCCCATGATGTCTCACCTTTACCGAAACCAATTACCAACATTGCAAAAATCACTCAATAAAATGAAGGCTTCCAAGCATGCCATTCAAGCAATTTTTGGGTTTAGGTCTATGCAATTAGAGCTCTTCGATTTCGTTATCGGTACAACCACATTTTTCACTCGGGTCGTCGATCCCAAACATTTGTTCCCCAAATCTAAATTGAAGATCCCACTTTACTCTATTGCAAGAGTTTCTGAATTAGACGACCATGAGTTTTTGCAAACCAAAACACCTAAGCCATGGAAATATTATCCTGAATACATTTTGGAGGGTGTTGTCAATTATTGCAAGTTTGTTACCAACTTTAGAAACCCACCTTTGTTTCAAAATGACGAAAAACTTAACTCTTTCGTTGAGTTTGCAGTCATATTATTACGGTGTCCCGAATTGGTGGGAAACCCGCACATGAAAGCACATCTTGTGGAAGTTTTGTTCGTCGGTACATTACCTTTGATGGACGGTAGACCTGGCTTTATTTCTAACATCTATAACACAAATGAGTTGGTTCGAGAGAACATTCTCTATGCCTTGCTTGACTTTTACGTCATGGTTGAAAAGACAGGCGCTAGTTCTCAGTTTTATGACAAGTTCAACAGTCGTTACTGCATATCGGTGATTCTTGAAGAGTTATGGAAGCATGGAACTTATCGTGAACAGTTGAACCACTACTCAAAGCATAATGTTGAGTTTTTCGTTAGATTCATCGCCAGAATGTTAAACGATACCACCTACTTGTTGGATGAGACTTTTAATGAGCTCAATCTGATCCACAAGTATCAGCAAGAACTCAAGAAGAGACAAGCTGGAGCAGAACCTGATACAGAAACTTTTGGAAACGACGAAGAGTTGAATGGAAACTTGGATTCTGCCGAGAGTAAGGCAAAGTCCTACATGGGACTCACGAACAAAACGATGGAGTTATTCAAGCTATTCACCAAGCTGGTTCCTAAAGGATTTGTCTTGCCTGAAATTGTCGACCGGTTGGCCAGCATGTTGAACTACAATCTCGCAATTTTGGTCGGACCCAAATGCTCAAACTTGAAGGTTCAAGATCCTCAGAAGTACGAGTTTGATCCACGCAAAACGTTGGGAGATTTGTGTGAAATATATAACAATTTGGCTACCCAAAACGAGTTTCTCGTGGCTGTTGCACGCGATGGCCGTTCGTTTGATGTCAGCTATTTCAACAAAGCTGCCCAGATCTTGTCGACAAAGACATACACCGATCCCAGAACTATACAAACGTTCCAGGAATTTGCTGCGAAGGCAGCTAAGCAGAAAGAATTAGACGAGGACGAAGAGTTGGAATTGGGTGAGGTACCTGATGAGTTTTTGGATCCTCTCATGTTCACGTTGATGGAAGATCCAGTGATCCTTCCCGGGTCCAAAATAAGTATCGACCGGTCTACAATCAAAGCACATTTGTTGAGTGACCCCACAGATCCATTCAATAGAATGCCTTTGAAATTAGAAGATGTGAAGGAAGATGTCGAATTGAAGCAAAAGATACATGATTTTAAGATTCAGAAGAAACAGGAGCGGCGACAGGAGACGGAAGATGTCACAATGGCCGAATAACCATTACAATTACATACGTACACAGTAGCTTTATATTATCAAGACTAATCTTATACACTCCTCCCCAATGATGCTATTTAAGCCTTGATGGCAAATCTTCTTTGTGGGAAGGCAATCTTTTGCTTTCTGGCCTTGTCGGTGATTTGCTTAGCCTCGTACTTGGTCAATTGTCTTCTGATAGCTCTGGTCTTCTTGGCTCTCAAGTCCTTTGGTTGGTACTTCTTACCGGCGTAGAAAGCCTTGACACTCTCTCTTTGGTTAGCGTTGATGACAGTCAAAACACGGGCAATGTTCTTTCTGACGGTGTGGATTCTTGGCAAAGATGGCTTTTGCAATTTCTGCACTTTCAAGTTGGCCAACTCTTGCTTCAACTCAACCAACTGCTTTTGCAATTTCTCCTTGGACTGGGTACGTAATTCGTAAGTCTTGATTCCGGCCTGGGGTTAGTAAATGTTGTATTTATGGTATTTTTCACTTGGAGGTTGTTGTCGTGAAACTGTGAAATATCAACATTGGAGTCCACGTTTGGGCTGATTCTCGATACCAGTGTACTCTACGTAGTGGTGATAGTCGATATGACGCTTGACAAGCGTACCTCATGTTTCAAATTTACATACCATTTCGAATTTGTGTATGCTACTAAGCGGTGTCTTCTCGGGAATGAAAAAAACTTCTGGTGAGAAAAACGACGATGCAGGAATGCATCACGTGGTAGGGCGGAGCCCTAGACAAGTAGAAAAATAGAAAAATAGGCAAGAGCGGAATTGATATGAGCAGTATAGTATTCTAGAAGTGAGTGTGTTTAACGATAGCTATTGCGTGATGGTAACTCTGTGTATTTATTATACTTATATAACTGTTGCACCCAGACTTTTTTCTGACATAATCGATCTGGTTATGTAAGCGCATCTACAACACCCATGCATGGATTATCTGGCTTATCTGCAGTCTCTCATAATGAGTAATTTAGACTAACAGTGATGCACTATGGTGGTAAATGAGCACCCTTCCAGCTACTTATACGCAGTTTGTCGCTCGATCTTTAGGACAATGATGAGCTCGATATACAGGAAGAGAACGACATCGTTTGAAACTATCCATGTAAACAACCTTATAGATTCTGAGTCCTTACACTAAGCGCTTATGTCAGTGATATACACGAGGCGGCGCATGAGTAGAAATTACTCATTCTTCCAAATGCGGAATCTGGGGCAGGCACGGCTCCTTTTTTCGGTCGCATATATATTTAGCTAATCTCCCCCTGATGCGACATAAAAATTTTTAACTTTCTCCACTATCAAACCTGAGGGATCTCTAGGTGATTTGATAGTTTTATTTTAGTTTTCCGTCCGTACTAAAGCGCCGATAAGACTACTTTTCTCGGCGCCCTACAAGAAAACCTCTATTTCAGAACAATGGCAGTCACACAATTCGTATCTGCTTACGTACCAAGAATGCTTTACGCAGAGTTTGGGGCAGGACGGCAACTTTAAGTTTAGTTCTGGTCCCACGGAAAATTTTCCGTTTGATTTAACTTGTGATAATTATGTTAACGGTGGCCACGATTTAAGTTTTGGTCACGGCTATGGTTCGGTTTACTCGTTTGGGGGTAGCGATGGATCCAGCAGTGTTTCGGAAGGACAAGGTGGAAGTGTTGAGGGGGGGAGTGTTGAAGGAGGAAGTGAATTTGAAACTGTCAAGGGAGGTGGTTCTTTCGAAACTGGCCTTTCTTTGGTTGGTCCAAAGGGTCTTTCTAATGACACTTCTTTCAATTCTTCCGGTTCTTTCGGCGGTTCCCTGAGCTCAATCAACTCTGCTGGTGTGGCTTCTGGCTCACTTACTCCTGAGCTGGACTCCAATTCTCAGTCTCAGTTGGTGTGGGTGGACCATTCGCACGACGCTCTGGCTGCGAAAACTGCGGTGGATGAAGTTGGCAGTGTTCGCAAACGGCTCGAAAAAAGAAAACGTCGCAATGCGCCGAAATCCTCGCCTGTAGAAGTCTCGTCGGTGACTAAGCGCACCAGAAATACTTTGGCTGCGCGCCGGTATCGGCAAAGACGACAGGAAGAGGTGGAGATTCTCGACACTAAAGTTCGAGAACTCGAACTGGAGCTTGCAAAGGCGAAACTCGAAGCCAAGTGGTGGCAGATGGAGTCGCAGCGATGGAAGGAGATGGCGAAGAAAGGGGAGAATGAGGGAACCGAATAGATGAGAGGAAGGTGGACCGAAGATAGAAGATGTAGAATTAGAATAGCTTAGTCGTTAACAAGTGTATTATTAGTGAGTGTAGCCAAGTTCATGGTACAGAATGGTTCATGGTATTTCTTTTCATGGTAATGTTGTCTATGAAATTTTTAGTGCTCCTAACTCCTATTCGCAATCTTTCTTCGTGAAGAGATTGAATAAGTGAGATTTGATCGAGAAAATATTTAAATCAAGTGAACTTTAGTAAAGTAAGCTGTACTTTTACCATTAGTCTCCTACATTAGTAATCCTTTTTTCTTGCTTCCTTCAGTGGTCCTCTACACCTTCTTATCAAGCTATATTCAGAATAAACTATATCACTCAATACATTCCGAATCGCCATCCTACTGCGAGTTCTTCAAGTTGGTCGATAACCATTCCAATCCCTCGTACAATCCATCTCCTGATGTAGCACAAGTAGATTGGATGTACCATGGACGTTGACGGATCGAGTGCAATCCCAACTTTTCGGTTATTTCGGCGGCATTCATGGCGTTGGGCAAGTCCTGCTTGTTGGCAAACACCAACAACAATGCGTCTCTCAATTCGTCTTCATTCAACATTTGCTGTAATTCTTCCCGGGCTTCGGCAATACGGTCACGATCATTGGAGTCCACCACAAAAATAATTCCTTGGGTGTTTTGAAAGTAGTATCTCCACAACGGACGGATCTTATCTTGTCCACCCACATCCCATACCGTGAATGAAATGTTCTTGTACTCGACAGTTTCCACGTTGAATCCAATAGTTGGAATGGTGGTAACAATTTCACCCAATTTCAATTTGTAAAGAATGGTGGTTTTTCCGGCAGCATCAAGTCCCACCATCAAGATCCTCATCTCTTTGTTGCCAAAGAGGCCAGTAAACAATTTGGAGAAAAGGTTTCCCATGCTGAATTTTTCTTGTTGTTGTTGTTAACAAACCTCGTTGGTCAGGGATTTGTCTGAGTTTTTTTACCACGTAATCGTCGCGTACACCGGGTTACCCGGCGTCTCTATTTTTGGCCCGAGAAATTTAGTCGCTAGCGACTATACATGGTGCAGGAAAATCCTCGACAAACTACGTAATTGAGCTACATTAATTGTATTCATATATCAGTACGGATTAATTACGGTGGCAACAACCGGGTCGGATCTCGAGGCATACAATGTCGTCGCGCGACCTCGATTTGATCGATCCGCGAGCTTGCGCCAGTCCATATGCAGTCGGCTGCAAATTTCACCACCGGTTTAAAGAAGGTGGATGGCAGCAATCATGATGGCGCCAACAGGGAGTGCGGCGGCTCCGTTTGTCGTGGAGGATTGTGTGGGAGGAGGTCGCTGTTGACTCAGAAGTGGAGGAGCTGGTATCTTCCAGTGTATGATTGTTGTTATGATGTCTGTGGTGAGCTGCTGCTCCACCAGCAAGACCGGCTGCCCCACCGGCAGCTGCACCCCCACGACCACCTCCTCCACGACTGCCTCCACTTCCACGTCCTCCACCCCCGTGCCCACCACGACGCTTCTCAAGCACCTGCGCCGATGTACTGGCGATGCATGCTAAGAAAACGAGAGACGTTGTTTTCATTGCTCCGCATCGTGCATAATCGGCTGCCTTATAACCAGTCGCGCCTGGTGTTCGGCTGTCGCTTACGACCGCAGTTTCGATGACGTGAGGCTGAAGAATCATCAACTGACCAGAAAACGCTGATGTAGGCTGTAACTAGAATATAATAACACTGACCATCGGGTATGATATTTTATAGGATCACGAAATATGTAATTTTCAATATTGAATACTAATTGAATACTACTTTCATAATTCTGTAACTTTGTATAGCCTTTTTGATGCTACTATGTCAGTACAACTACTCCGTCGCTCGCCATAGTTTGATCCTCATTTGCATATATGCCGTAACAGTGGTACATTTGTAGTTTTGAGTGTGGAAAATGGTTTTCTTGTCATCTGCAACTGGCTGCAAAACTTTGTTCAATGTGGAAAATCATCAATCAGATCAACCTGAATGAGACTAACCAGAAATACCAGACCACCAGAACGACCAGAAGAACCAGATCAACAATAAGAACCAGCATCGACTGGCAAAACCATTAATACCATTCACTGAAGCGTCCATATTGACACCATGATGAGCATACTCACTTCTTCATTCTCTTTTCTGCGTGGCTATGCTCAACTTCCTTATTCGTCTCACATAGGCAGTCTAAAGCTGAGCTGCACTAGCAGATTCCAAACGGGGTGTTTCGCCGACATTATGGTTTCTCTTTCTGATCACATTTTCAATAAATGCTTCTCCAGCCTTGTACGAAGAACGCACTAATGGACCACTAGCAACGTACAAAAATCCCATTTTCAAGGCGGTATCACGCCAGTAATCAAACTTCTCAGGAGTGACGTATTCAACCACCTTCATATGACGTTTTGTAGGACGCATGTACTGTCCAAAAGTAACGACATCGCATTTGATTTCTCGCAAATCACGGAGCGTTTGCATTATTTGCTCGTCGGTTTCACCGAACCCCAACATCATTGACGTCTTGGTTACCAAAGATGGTTTGGTTTCCTTGGCACGCTGCAAAATCGACAAAGATTGACGATAAGTAGCCCGGCGATCACGAACATGTGGAGTCAAATCCTCGACCGTTTCTATATTGTGGGCATAAACATCCAACCCAGACCGAGCCAACACCAGCGCCATATCCAAATCTCCTCGGAAATCTCCTCCCAACACTTCTACGAGAATCTGTGGTGCTTTTTCTTTGATTTTTCGCACCGTCTCCGCCAAATGATGAGCACCTCCGTCGACCAAATCGTCACGATCAACAGTCGTGAGCACCACGTACCCCAACCCCCATCTACTAATAGCCTCAGCTGTGTTTTCCGGCTCCATGGGGTCCGGAGGTGCCGGTTTCCGGCTCGTCTTCACGCTACAAAAACGACACCCACGAGTACAAGTATCTCCCATCAACATGATGGTGGCGGTCGCCTCGGACTTCTTTCCACCCCAGCATTCACCAATATTGGGACACTTGGCCTCTTCACAAACGGTGGCTAATTTAAGTTCACGAACATCCTTCTTCAAAGTGTGAAATGACTTTCCTTTCGGAATGGGCACTTTTAGCCACAGTGGAAGCCTCTGGTCCGGATCTTGTCTGGCAGCTTCCAATGGATCTATGGTCATATTTGAGGCTTTTCCGCTGACAAAATCAGCAAACGATGGTCCTTGGTTGAGTTTGTCAGTGAACATGGTTCTTTTTCTTTTTGGTTTGGGAGGTTCTGCCGTGGCTAATGTTCTCCATATCGTCTTTGTGGGGTTCTGTGAGCACCGAAATGCCGTTATTTGGCCTCGAACAGGAACCATAGTGCTTCGTATAGCGTTTAAGCGGATAAAAAACTCCGCAGAATCAAGAAGATGCCTGGGTTCGCGGTCACGTGCTGACTCGGCCGCACCCTTCCCCGGCCGCGCCCGGCGGCTAGTACAGAGTGCATTAGTGTACTGACTTGAATTGTTTTACTGATTTTATTATTGTATTGCTTCTATACTACATTACCGTCAGTCGTATAACATTCTGTGGATGTGATCGTCCTTAAATGAATCCAAATTGTCAAGATTTTTCCACCACGTAAAAAGAAGTGTACTGCAGATAAGCTTGAACCATGGAGTGAATACTAACGATTCGTCGTTGAACATTTCGTGCAATTCCTCGGCACTTACGTACTTGTAGTCCTTGACCTCGTTGTAGTTGGCTTCGATTTTGGGATTTTTGGTTTTCAAGATTAAAATGTAGTCGATTTCATGTTCTCCCCATTTAGACTTCTCATCTCCACTGGCTGATTTGTAATGAATTCTCGTCAAAAATTGGAAATCTTCAATAGGTGCATCCTCGGCTGGAATCCCCAATTCGTGCTCGAGTTTACGCTGGGCTGCTATCTTGGCTCCAGCTACAGCGTTGTCCAAAGTTTTGCAGTCTCCGCCGGCAGAAATGCCCAATTCTCCCGCCACACATAACGGATGAGAGCAGCATGTGTTTGTCCACATAGCAGGGAAAGTAATTTTCTCGTCTGCACGTTGTTGCAACAAAAGTTTCCCTTCTTCGTTAAACAAAAAAACCGAAAATGCTCTGTGGAGAAGACCTTGGTTGATATTATCCATTAAATGGCATAGTTTCTTAGTTCCAGCACCCAAAGGAGTGTCGTCGTAGTCTAGAACAATGCATAACTCGTCCATAAGACGAATTTGTTCTTCGTCATGGCCGGCAAAAACCGCATCTGAGCCGTTGGACGAGTCGGAACTGGCCGATGTGGGGACCCCTGAAATCTTCTTCAAGGGTGTGATTTCAGGCCACGTTTGTAACACCTTTTCAGGTGTCAAACTCTTCACAAGCTGGTCGTACGACATGTCGAGAAGAACTCAGCGGAGCATCGCCAATCGCGATCGCAGCGTGTTGGTGTACGGGTGTGTCGGAACGACGGTCACGTGAAAACCTCGAACATTAACGATATAGACCGGGTGGTTGCAATACCCTCGAGAATGGTCGGAAATGAAATGACACATTTGTGCATATGTAATGGCTGCAAATGGAACTGGAAGAAAGTGGTCAATCCACTTTTATTTCAAGCGTTCGTGATCGTGTACGAGATCATAGTGTTTCCAGTATTAGAATTGTACTTAAAATGACTTTCTTCTTACTAATTTGAACAGCAGAAATTCAGTACTCAACTCAATGAGCCACTACAGCTTTCTTTACCTTTACAATCTTTGTTTATTTTTCTCCCTTTTCTCCCTCTTTCCCAGTTGTCCTGCCACGGCTTCTGGGCGCCACACGACAATGTCGAAATTTTCACCACTTGACACCAAATCATACCGACTCACACCTGTGTACCATGGATTCCACCACCGAAACTTCCACCAATGGACGTCCCCGGCGCTTCATCAAGCGTCCTGACGACAGTGCCTTCAACAAGGAAATCGAGGAATTGAAAAGTGAAATCAAAAAACTCGATTTGTCTGCAAACGAAGTGAGCGCCCAACTCCAAAAGGTGGTGACGGAACCAGCATTGGCCGAAAGACGTAAGGAGCTTCAGGTGCAACTCCGCGAGTTGATCACCAAGCAGAATGCCATCAAGGGCGAGAGAAACGCCATTATGGACCAGATCAAGGCGGTGGACGTTGTGATCAAACGCAAGTTGTCCGAGATTCAGACACAAACTTCGAAGCATAACTTCAAATCTGTGGGAGAAATCGACAAGCGAATTGCACACTTGGACAGCTTGGTGGAAGCCGGCGACTTGAAGTTGGCCGAGGAGAAGCGGTATGTGATGGAGATGTCTCAATTGCGGAAAGTTCGCAAGGACTTTGGTGCGGTGGAAAAGACTCAAGAGTCTATTGATGCTGACAAGGCCAAGGTTGCGGAATTGAAAAAGAAGTTGAGTCAGGTGCAGAACCGGGAGATTCAGGCTCAATTCGAGAAAATTCAAGCGGAACTCGATGAACTTAACAAGAAAAACCAAGGTGTTTCCGAAAAGCGTAATGAGTTGTTCAAGAAAAGAAACCAGCTCCGCAAGTCCAAGGACGAAAAATGGGACCGTATCCGCAAGTTGAATGCCGACAAGTCTGCCGAGTTTGCCAAATTCAAGCAGGAGATGGAGGAGGAGAAAAAGAAGCGTGCCGAAGAAGACCGGTTGCACCGCGAAGAAGAAAAGCGCCGCAAGCGGAAAGAAAATGCTGAAAAGCAATTGGCAGACGCTTCCGTGCCTGCTTTCACCGCCGAAATCTCCGCAATCCACAATCTCTTATCGTACTTTGATCCTAGCTATGTGAAGCCTCAGCCCAAACCAGTGGTTGCCGGTCCGGCTAAATCCGAAACCGTCGGCACTCCAACCACCATCAGAAAGGTGGAGATGCCCGCCGACTTGGTGGTGGTGAAAAAGGAACAAGAAGAGTTCTTTGCTGGCTCCAAGGGTAAGAAATCCAAGGGTAAAAAGGCCAAATCGAAGAACTTTACCGTGGACCCAGAGGTGATTGTTTCGCTTGGAGACTTGGCCATTCCCTTGCCAACAAAGTCCGAAGACGTTCCTGAAACCATTGCTACTTTGAAGGAGACATTGACCGCTCTTGAGGGAAAACAGGACGAACAGACCAAGATCAATATCGAGAGAGCCAAGGAAAGAATTGCCAAATTGGAGGCCGAGGAAACCGAGGAGGAAACTAGTCTGTAGATATTGATAAGAAAATAAGCAAATAAGCTGAATAAAGACAAATATAAAGATAATTAAAGGTAAAAGTATTCGCTATACTGTTTGATTGAATTGTCTGGTTCTGCACCCGTGCACCAGCGATGAGCTCTGAAATATCTACTGAGTATCAGTCACTCACCACTACGTAATTACCACTTTGCACAATGGCCAAAAGGAAGATTCTGGCTCCCGAGAAGCAAACCAAGAAACCGTACAAGTCAATGCCTCAAGTAGAGGTAGCACTTTGTATTCCATCGACGGTAATTTCCCATTCCAATGCTCGCAACTTGCAACAAGCTACATTTATAGCGTACCAAATTGCCAAAGCTGCGACTTTATACAATGTTTCTGAGATCGTAGTGCTCAGTATACCCGATGCTGAAGCTGTGGCCGAAATATCCGGCCCAAAAGTCGTCTCTGCTGCCACTGGAGGTCAGAAAATCATGTTTGATGAAGTTGCAAATTCGCCAAAAGTGGAACAAAATCATGAAAATCGGAACGACGACGACTCGCTACTCTTAGCAACGCTTCTCCAATACTTTGTCACTCCACCATACCTTGTCAAGGCTGTTTTCAAAGACAGCAAGTTTCGTAAGAAGTTCAAGTATGCTGAAAAATTGCCCAAAATTCCATCATTACCATTCATGGCCAACAATGACGTGCACAAAGACTTCAGAGAAGGCCTTTCTGTTGCCAAGAAGACGCCCAAGATCGTCAAAAAGAACAAGAAAGTATCGGGAAAGAAACTTTCTGTCACCAAATACGTCAATATTGGAGGTGATGAGCTACTCGAATTGGCAGGTCCCGATATTCCTGTAAACGTCAGAGTCACCGTAGACGTTAAAAACAAGAAAGTGGTCAGTCCGCGCGACGCATATGGAGTATCTGGCAACAAATCTACGTTTGGATATTTCGTCAGAGTTTCCCGATCATTTACGTCAATTTTCACCGAATCGACATTTCCCTCTGGTTATACAAAATCTTATTATATTAGCTGTGATGACTTCTATGGCAAGCCCGATACAGGTATTAAGAAGGAAACGTTTGGTGACATTAGTGAGGGCAAAATTCTTTTGGTGATGAGCAATTGGAAGCATCTTGAAGCCAGTTTTCTGGTGGAAGCATTTGAAGGTGTTGCAAAAGTAAGTGAATTATTCGATGGAGAAATCGAAATGGAACAAGGAATTCGGGTCGAGGATGCGGTGATGGTGGGACTTGCGAGGTGCAGATAATAATTGGTCTGATTAATCAAGTAGAGTAGAATAAAAGACCATGTTGCAGCTGCATATGCATTGACATGTCAATCGTGCAGTCTTTAGTATGGTAGCCGCATATCGGTAGCTGCATGATAGAATACAGTATCTCCGGGGCACCATACAAAATTCGGGGAAGATTTGTGAGCCATGGCCGCATTGGGATAGGAGATCAGCCGCTTACGCGATCGTACTTCCCAAATGCGTCATGATATTTCACGTAAACTCCGCGAACCCCCGACGGCCATACATTAGTGTACTGCAGATAGTGCTGAATCTAGATGCTTACGATGCAACCGTTTCGTACATGCAGAATTCCGTGCGTTTAACTCACTGTGAAGAAGATGCGAGTCATTCCAATATTGACACCATTGTGAGTACTTAAGCATAGTTTCCTCCAACAATTACAATATCGTTTATCGTTTATCGAACCCGATTCAATGCTTCTCATCAGTTTGACAATCGTCTTGACCGCGGCTACTGCCATCTACGTCCCAAATTACTTTAAGCTTGTTCTTCCTCCATCGGAAAATAAGGCCCTGGTAGACTCAGATGGAAGAGTGCAACCACAGCCAGTATACCATCCTTACGAGCTGCAGTTTGTACCAACACCAAGATCTGCAGCTGCAGAAACTGCAAGCAGTGCAGAAACGGCTCCGACTGGTTCTGGCTCCACTAGCTCAAATTCAACCAGCTCGTCGATTTCCCCCACTTCTTCCACCTCCACTCATCATGGAGGTGCTCCAACAATAGGGATGTTTGCTGCTCCTTTTGCCGCTGGTTTGTTGCTACTTTAGACGAGATCAGCAGTTATGATTTTTTGAGCTGATCCAATTATTCAAAGATTATTGCAAGAATTTTTGATTACTATCAGAATGTCATAATCATATCTTCTGCTTCCATCTATTCATATCCACTATGCTGTTTATCTATTCATTTTCTTTCTCTTTTAGACTTTATATTCGCACAATAAATTGTTTCATTTTGCACCCGTTGAGCCTGCACATAACCGTCCTGGTCGCAATCCTGGTTTTCCTGCATGTGCCGGCCCCAGTTTTACTGCGCCTTTCTCACTATTTTTAGCACGGTCTAGGCCACCCCCCAACCTGATGTTGTGGTGACAGTATGCAGGTTTTCCGCATTTGTGTCGAAAACATACCCGAAAACTTCTTTTGTTTCATTCCACATTCGCTATGCAATTCAGAACTTTAGCTGCTATTGCCACCGGTTTGACTTGTGTTTCCGCCATTGGTGACCTCGCCTTCAACTTGGGTGTCAAGGACAACAGTGGTAACTGTAAATCCACTTCGGAATACGAAAGTGACTTCCAAAAATTGTCCCTGTATTCCAAGATTGTCAAAACTTATGCGGTTTCTGACTGTAACACTTTGCAAAACTTGGGTCCTGCTGCTGAAGACGCTGGTTTCCAGGTGATGTTTGGAATCTGGCCCAATGACGATGCTCATTTTGAGGCCGAGAAGGAGGCTTTGCAAACATACTTGCCAAAGATTTCTAAGAAAACCGCTTACGCTTTCTTGGTTGGTTCCGAGGCTTTGTACAGAGACGATTTGAGTGCCAGTGACTTGGCTTCCAAGATCAGCGAAATCAAGGACTTGTTGAGTGGTATCAAGGACAAGAACGGTGACTCGTACTCTGACGTTCAAGTTGGTACTGTCGACTCATGGAACGTTTTGGTGGACGGAAGCTCGCAACCTGCTATTAAGGCTGCTGACTTTGTCTACTCCAACGCTTTCTCGTACTGGCAGGGACAAACCACTCAGAACGCTTCCTATTCGTTCTTCGACGACATCATGCAGGCTTTGCAGGTGATCCAAACCACCAAGGGTTCTACCGACATTAACTTCTGGGTTGGTGAGACCGGATGGCCCACTCAAGGTACCAACTTTGAGTCTGCTGAGCCCTCATTGGAGAATGCCAAGAACTACTGGCAAAACGCCATTTGTGCCATGAGAGCTTGGGGTGTCAATGTTGCTGTTTTCGAGGCGTTCGATGAAGCATGGAAGCCCAACACCTCGGGTACCTCTGACGTCGAGAAGTACTGGGGAGTTTTCGACTCGAACAACTCTCTCAAGTACACCTTGAGCTGCGACTTTTAGTTGGTCAAAAGTTGAATTTATACCCTTTCTTACGTTTGTTTTGTCTTCGGACGGCCATTAAATCATCATGTTCATTAACTGTAGGCTATATAAGAAGGAGCGGTAGGAAAACCAAAGGAGAGATGCCTATTATGGCGGCATTATTAGAGGTTGACGAACTCAGATTTGAAATCGATGACGATGTCTGTGCTGCCAAAGATGTTTGGGGAGTTGAGGTGTGAGCAGCTGAAGTGGAATTATGGGTTGACTCATTGGCGGAGACGGTTGGAATGGACTTGGAAGTCACGACATATTTGGGGTAGATTTTAGTGGAAGAAGAAGAAGAAATTGTCGAAGACAATTTCGACGAAGACGATTTTTCACTTGAAAAGGTCGAACTGGACTCCGAACTCGAACTTGAAGAACTCAAACTTGATGAACTAGAACTTGAACTCGAAGTCGAACTAGAACTAGAACTAGAACTTGAAGAAGTAGAGCTTGTTGAACTCGATCTCGAGCTAGAACTTGTTTCCTCCTTTTCCACAGACTTTCCCAGCTGCAACGCTTTAAAGTCAGCATCAGCCTGGTTTTGTCTTCCATTTACTTTTCCATTTTCTGCCTCGATCGACTGCCAGGATCCAGATTGGTTTGAGTACACATATTTGTCACCCGTAGAGTAGTCGGTGACAATCAACGACTTGATATGCATGGAGTATGTAGGACCATAAGTGGTGGGTCCTCCGGCCCATTCGATGGTTCCCGGTTCATTAGAAGAGTCTCCTCCAGCCCAAATTCCTCCCATGATGTACATTGGGGTTTGTGGGTATCCCTGGGGATTATTGGGAAGCAAGGTCCTTACAACTTGACCGTCCAAACTCCAGGTTAATGAGCCCTTTGACCAGTCAATTGTATAGGTGTGAAAATTTTCCAAAGGATTTGGAGTCACAGTATGAAACTCGCCACGATCGTAAGTTTGCACATTTCCTTTGGAGAAGAAGTTGGACTGGAACTGGGTGTCGTCTCCTCCGAGCATTTCAATATCAATCTCGTCTAAATCGTCACTTTGAAGGTAGAAAGAAGACACTATACCCTGGCCCTCGGCCGCTTGCATCACCACTTCCACCTTTCCAAACATGATGTAAAAGCTGGATTTGAACGAGGGGTTATCGAACCGCTTCTTAATGCTAAGAGTGAGCCCATCACTTCCATAAGAAGCCTGAGCCTCGGATTTTATGATTGGAAAGTACTTGGAACTTTCGGCGAAATCTTCCTTTATGGATGTTGCCAACGCCACATTACCAGGACATCCTGTGGCCTTGAGCGGGTTACACGACGAAGCCGCCAACGTCGAGGTGGCAAATGCCAAAATACTGACAAGTTTCATCAACAAGATGTAGAAATCAGCGGCTGCAACTCTTTTTATAGCTGCTGCGGTCGTGCTGCATGATGCACCTTGCCCGCGCATAAAGACGCGAATCTATTTTTGGGGCATGCCAAGCGGGCCGTAGTGATGGGCTCACAATTGCCGTGGCCAGGGTAGGTAAAATCGATTTTGGCAGAGTGATGTACACGTATGACTGTAGCTCTTACAGCAACCCGGGTCTTTTTGGCTTGTTTTTGGTGGTTTTCCGGGGTGCTGGGCCATTGCCTGATCTGCCCGTCCGCCAGCCATCGCATGCAGGCGGATCACAGATATGCTGCAGAAGATAAGGCGGTCGATCTGAGGTATAGAACAGTAGAAGGAGGCTGCAACTTGGCTCAATAGCAGGTTTTGGTTTTGCGGTTGCAGAAAATACTGTCTGATTTGCAGCTAGCAAGGAACAATAGAACAATAGATCGTAAATATGCATGCAATGGGTGCAAAGATAGAAAGTGGAGAAGCAACTTTTATGTGAGAAAATACTAAAGAGCAAAAGCGAATAGAGTCTTAACAGTTTGGAGAAGGTATATCATGTTTATGAAATTTATGGCTTATTTTTTTGCAAAAGTTTGGAAAAATGCAATTCTACGACAAACCCTCAAGCTCACACAAAGTTCGAAATTTTTATCTGAATTTAATTTCCACTTCTACTCACTTTCAACCCTCTGTGTTGTTCCCCCATTCTTTTCTTCGTTCTCTTCTTCTCTTCTTTCTTTTCCTTTCTTCTTTTCTTTCTTCTTCTCTCTTCCACCTCCTGCACACACCACACTATTTCCACAATCTCACGGTTTTCAACAGATAAGATGAACTTGCTTGCAGCGCCCTCAGGGCCGCCAGACTTTTTCCAGCCCGATCCCGACGACGGAAACCACTTTTCCGGTGATAGAGGCGACCAAACTCTTGATAAGATCATGTTTGTGACGTTTTTTCTGTTTTTAGGTGTCGCCGCCTTGATGGTCATTCTTCGTGTGGCGGTGTATTTGGTCCGCAACCGGCAACGATTAAGCGAAGATGAGCTCATGCGCGAGGAGGAGAACCAGGCGTACCTCGAGCTTGGTTCCGAGGAACAAGAATTATATTTTCAATCCAAAGAGTACCTTTTGACGAATCCATATTTGCGAGGCGAGTTGGCCCTTTCTCAAAATTTGGCCATCCAGGAACGAGGAATCAAGGCGTGGGAGTTTATCAAAGATCCCATGCTCACCAATAACGATGTGATCGTCGTAAACAAGACAGAACTCAACTTTTTGAAGGATTTCGAGTGTTCGGTGCTGACAAACTTGCCCATGCCTCAAAAGAACGATGTTTATTATTTCGAGTGCAAGATGTACCATCTCCCAGAAGATGGCATTACGGTGTCTGTTGGTCTCGGAATAAAACCATACCCGTGGTTCAGGCTTCCAGGAAGACATTCATACACTGTAAGTTACGATTCCGACGGTCATCGGCGTCATGCCCAACCGTTTCCATTTACCGGCACCGCGCCACCATTCCCGCAATTTGCGGAGGGAGATGTCATTGGAGTAGGGTACCGAGTACGCAGCGGGACTGTGTTTTTCACTCGAAATGGTAAAAAGGTGAGCGAACTGAAGATCGGCGGTCATATTCGCAACTTCAAAATTCCAGATAAGGGACATTTGTACCCGATTATAGGCGCCAACAACATGTGCTCTGTGCATGTCAATTTGGGCCAGATGGGATTTGTTTTCATCGAGGGAAATGTCAAGAAATGGGGCTTTGCTCCTCTCGAAGGAAATGGTCCGGCACCTCCAGCCTACAATAAGTTTAACGCCGATATTCTTCTCGAGCGGTCTGAGATTGACGAGAGCGATATTTCGGATAGGGAAAGCGACTTTCCTCCAGATTTCTGGGAGGTGAATGACAACGATCAAGACAAATACAGTTACAATGCGTACGGAGAGGTCAATTCTACAGATGAAAGAATCACATTGGACAGCATACGAAACGAGCACGAGGACAATGAGACTGAAGAAGTCGATCCGCCATCGCCTCCTCCATCATATAGTGATGGAAACGAGGTTGAAGCGAATTCGCCAAGAGAGGAGCCAGAAACGGGTGCGGAAGCCACACAAGAAATCGCAGAAAGTACAGAAGCTGGGGAAACTACCGAAGCTAGAGAAGAAGACGAGACGACTGAGCACGAAACAGAAGCTACAGAGGACCACACAGAAGCTGAAAACGAATCAGAAGTGACCGCAGAACATTCAGAAGGCGCAGAAACCTCAGACACACACACGTCCACTTCTCCCAACCACTGAACCTCTCTGTTTCTCGTGTCTGCTTCCTAATAGACACATAGTTACATAAGATCCACACCTTCGTCTACTTTCCGACATGGTCCGAGTCGGCCACCTGATGTCAATACCCCACATTTCGCACGGCATTAGCGCCGCGAACCCATCGCCAACATAGACACTTATTTGTAGTAATGAAGTCATTCAACCTAAACACAAGAACAACAAACTAGACTGAACGGGGGAGTTACTCTCCATCTCGCTTCAATGCCTCTCTCTTCCAGAACAAGCCCACCCGTAACTTCGGACTTGTATGTCCTTCCCCGTGGGGTAATATTTGCGGCCCGCAGGCCCGGCGCAAAAACGCCGTGCAAAGTGAGAACTTTAAAGCTAGATAAGAGCGCGCAAAACCAATAGAATTGAAGAACCACTATCAGGAATACCAATTGGGCCATCTCTTAACTTTTGCCGTTTGCAGCCACAATGATTCAAAGATTCACTTGCGTCCCCGCCGAAGAATACGAGGCACTTGTCGTAACCAACGGTAGCGTCGACCAGGTAGAATCGAGTATATGCAAAATCAACGACCAATGTCATGATTTTACAAGGTGTACCATAGTGTATTTTGACAATTTGAGAGATCTTTTTACTCATTTGCAACATAATGAGAATACCACCTACCACGGAAAAGTTCTTTTCATGTTTTTCAATGGTCTTGAATACGTCCAAGAAATCCTTGGCGATCTCATTGACAACTACAATGACCGGTGGCAGCCACGGTCAATTCCCTACAACTATAGCTTGACCCTGATCGTCAAAGCTGGCACCGACGCACAAGGTGCGGCTGCAAGATCTGGCACTGCTGCAAGCTGCATGGAGCGTCTTGATAATGCATATTTCTACTTTGACAGCTCTGTGTGCAACCAAGGAGATGCTGTCGATACCCTGTTTCTTTCCATCGTGTGCATTGCTCAAGATATATTGAAAAAATCAGCATACCTCATAGGCAGAATCCGGGGCCTTTTTATAGATGACGCAAATCTCGCGGGAGAAAGGGTTTATCCACTTCACAGTTTGTTCCGGAACTTTCCCGCTATTGAGCGAGTCGAGCTCACCAGCGCTGCCTCAGTAGCATTTAATGATTTGGTATTATGAAGTTTGTATAGAACCCGAATAGGCAGGTTTTTCCGCATGTACGATAAGGCGCATCTACCTTCCACGAAATAAAGCTGTCAATTTTGCAGCACTTGCATCACTTTTTCTTTATGTTTTATTTGATTCCAATTACGTTTTTGCTAATATCTGCGGTTCTCTGGCATATATATACAAGAAAGACACCACGGCTGATCCTACAAGATGTAAAACCCATCGATAGCACTTTTGACTGGAAATGTACTCCACGAAAGATTCGACCATTTGTCGGAAAAAAAACTCACAATGTCACCATGGCTATTCAGAATATTGCCAAAGTGCCCGAGGACTGGCTTCTCCTTGAGAACACCTATCTCGATGCCACAAACCTCAGAAGAAAGTACTCGAAACAGTACGAAAACCACATCATGTTTGCTCACGATGATCCTAGAACTACCGCTGCAGTCCGGGAATTTTACGAATTGGCCATTGGGTTCATGTGCCAGAGGTATCCTCACTACTTTATGAAAAAGGGAAACATTGTCCACAATAGCATTAGACAGGAGAACATTCCCTTTCCAGGTGCTAACATAGAGCCCATACAATTGTTGAACATCTTGACATCGACTATAGAGGAAGATATTCTCATTATGCTCAAAGACGACCCACTGAACCCAGAAGAAGAGTACATACTCCGAGCCAATGTCACTGGATTTCCCGCCGGATTCGACCCTGCTCACAATTTCAACAAGCCAATTTCGTTCATTCACGATCCGGTGCCGCAATATAAGACGAAATTGAAGCTCTCTATGAAACGGTTTTTCAACAGGTTGGAGCCTACGGACCTTTGGATGAGGTACAATTGGTCCGTGCAAACCCACAAGTCACATTTTAACCTAAACTCGAATCATGCCTATGGAGAAAAAGTAGAACAACTTTCCATCAACGATATCGATTTTGATCAAGGTGCTTTTCTTCGATGTGAAAGACAGGTTTTGACCCGACTTCCAAAGCTGCGTGCAAATATAATGACAGTACGTACTTATTTGACCCCATTGAAACAGATAAAGGAGGAAGGACTTGGAAGAGAGATGTGCATTGGAATTGATGGTCTTCCAGAAGACCTTGCTTATTATAAACGAAGAGACGCATGGGGCAAAGCCGTTAAAGAGTACATGAGTTCATAGCATGAGTTCATATATTCAATATAGCCTTTTTACTCCTTCAAGGTAACATAGTTTGCAGGGAACAAACCCACCTCACCAGTAACTGAATGCTTGCCGCTCCACCAGTCCTCATCGACAAATTCAATCTCTACAATTAAGTCCCCTTCGTCGAACCCAATCTCGTTGTCCTCGTCTTTCTCGTACTTGTACTCGGCAATAGCGGTGGCTCCCTTTGTTTCCGGTTCTCCACCAGCATTTTCAGCGCCACCAGTTTCTTCAGCTCCACCATCTTGCCGTTTGACATATGTTGCGGGAAAGAGACCCACCTCTCCTGTCTTGGAATGCTTGCCCGACCACCACTCGGTGTCCACAAAATCGATCTCAACAATAAGGTCTCCTTCCTTGAAACCAAGCTCGTTATCTTCTTCTTTCTCGTAGTCGTACTCAGCCACGGCGGTAGCACCCTTTGCTGCTGCTGGAGCGGTCTCCGGTTCAGGTTGAGAACGAGAGGGCAACGATGGAGCAGCAGTTTCCCGCTGAGGAGGCGGAGGAAGGTTACGAGCTGGCAAAGATGTCTGCTCTTCAGGTTCTTCAGGTTCTTCCTCGGGCTCTGCCTGTTCTTCTTTATCAGGTTCATCTTCTTGTTGAACTGGAACATTTCTCACAGGTGGTGGAGGAAGGTTGCGAGCTGGAGCAGGAGGCAAGTTACGAGCAGGAGCCGGAGGCAAGCTACGGGCAGGAGCAGCCGGTGGTTCTTCGTCATGTTCGTCTTCTTCATGATCTTCGTGTGTCTCAGGTTCTTCCTCCTCTTCCTCTTCCTCCTCCTTCTTTGCTGACGGTTTATACAACTGAGGCTCTTCCACCGAGTCGTCAATTGAAGTCTTTGCAAAGCGATCCTCCAATTTAGTGGAATCTGGAGAAACAGACTTTTGTCCTCTTTTTTCAGCCCATATCTGGGCCGGTGTCTTGCCGCCTTCAACAGCAAAGTTTCTAGAAACACCTCCTACAATTTTATCATTCTTGTTGATAACGGGACTTCCAAACGTGGGCTTTGACCCAAAAGCAGGCGCACTGCCCTTCAGCTCTGTTGGGTTATAGCGAGAAGCCACAGAGTGACTAATTTTAGGCTTTGGTAAAGACGATAAACGACCATCCTCGTTGGCTTGATACGACTTCATACGCTCCGACAAAGGTTTTGAAGTGGCATCGTTGCCGGAATCAGACTCATTAATTGAAGACTTTTTGGGCTGCGAAGAAATGGTATCGGACTTTTGTTTGCGCAATTCGTTGATATCCACCTTGGTGGGTTTATAAGCCGAAGGAACCGAATCAAGCGGTTGAGTCTCAAAGTCACGCTCTTCAATTTCCTTAGCGTCTCCCCAGCCATCGTCGGCATCTTGTTTTGCAGCTGGTTTCGCTACAGCTGGTTTGGGCACAATTGGCTTTGGTCCAGAAGGTCCAGCTCCCACTGGTTTTCCGGTCGATTTGGGCACAAAGCTAGGCTTTGCAACACTGGGCTTTGCAACAGAAGGCTTTGCAGCCACCGGTTTGGGAGCAGAAACTGGCTTGGAGGAAGAACCAGTAGAGCCAGAGTAACCAGCACCAGCAGCCGCTCTAACACGAGCCATGAAATCGTCCACGTCCAAGTCGTCCTGGTCACGAGCAGTGATCTGGACATGATAACCACTCAAAACACGAGCAACTTCGGCAAAATTACTGGCAAATGATAACCGGGATTTGGTGGGTGCATTATCGGGACACCATCCAATCAACAAGTTTTTAAAAACGTCTGACCCGGGTACAGAAACACGCGCCAAGCCGAATTGAACCTGACCATCGGTGAAATTCTCGACAAAGTCGTCCAATGAGCCATCGCCAGTGGCTGATACTTCAACGGTCAGCAGCTTGTTTACTGAATATACCACATAAGAAGTTCCAGGAGTACCTCTCACTACCTTGTCGTAGGCTTCCTGGATGCTTCGAGATTGCGACGAGAGATCGAGTTTTTCCATGATGGTGCAATTGAGATATCTGGTCGCTATGGAGACTCGGTGGGGGGATTTATTGCTATTTATACCGACGCGCGCCTGCATACTTGGTCACAGGAGATGGACATTGAGGCGAAGAATAGGGGAGAGAAATGATACCAAAATTTGTCATTGTGAAGTAAATGATGAATTCTTCAGCTCTGGATGCGCCGGTCATTTATATTTTTTCTTTTCTGCAGCAGAGAGAGTCATGCAAAGCTTTGCAACCGGTCACTCTGCAGAGCCGGCAGTAGATAAAGTCAATGAGTCCTAATGGTTCAGTGACCAATGTGCCCCAATTTCCCAAGTGTTCCTTGCCCAATTCTTCAGTTTACGCCGTGTTTTCCTGAAATCGGCAAATCTGGTCCTCAAAAAAATAATTCACTCTACCTTAAATTAACTCTACCTCACTTCACCAATGCATACACCAAACACCACATCATCACATATCCCGCCAAATTGCCGAGGATTCCATCGACAAAGATCTCCTGGACCGGCTTGCGAAAGTAGGCACTGGGTCGTCCTTCACAGACAAATATATAGAACACGACGTTGGTCAATGTGAGCCCAGCGGTATACATTAAAAAGCCCCATATAGACTCAAGCGTCAACACACCGGCTCCCACACCAAGCACCAAGCTCATAACATCGTGGACGTGCTGGAGCTTCTTTTTGTTGATGTCCACATTGGGACCATAGATCACTTGTTCCATCGTGCGGTCGCACTCGTTAGCAGCGAAGTTAATCCAGATAGAGTGCAAGTGCACCGGTGCACCGGTGCTGGCGACTGCGCGGCGGCGATAGATTTTGCCATCCCCACAAGTATTTGCCTCCACATGGAAACCACCCAATTCACTATGGTGGACGATACCGCTCTGCAGACTACAAGCACAAATGCAAATTGCGGTAGGCTCAAAAGGTTTCTTTTTCGAACCCCTCAAGCCAGCAATTTTAAGTTCTCGTCAAACACTCGAACCGAGATTCGAAAACAGATCTTCCTATCTGTGTCCAACGAAGGCCAATTTCTCGACTATTTCTTCCCCAATACACCCCTTGAGCTGAAAGCAGAACCTCACTTGTCCCAAGAGCTCGCAAAGGTGGTGGATACAGAATATGAATGGCTCTTCTCCAAGTACTTCAAGAGCATGTTGCAACTTCGCGATCCAAAGCTAGATACCCACAACCACCATGCTTTTCATGCCAATGCGCCGTGTGCCCGTATATTTCGCAAGGGAGAACCGATATACAAGTGCTTGACGTGTGGGTTTGACGATACCTGTGCTCTTTGTTCTCATTGCTACCAGCCTGATTTTCACGAGGGTCACAAGGTCCATCTAACTATATGCCAGCGCGAGAACGGCGGTGTTTGTGACTGCGGTGATCCCGAAGCATGGGTGAAGGAGTTCTCTTGTCCCTATGCCGATGCTTCAGCACTTCCGCCCGTGAAAGAGATTCCTGACAAGTTGGCAGAGTCAATCTTGGCGACGCTTGAGACCCTCTTGGACTACATAATCGACGTCATGTGCCATTCCAGCTTTGAGTACGACCCAGAAGAAGATTTCATACAGAGCACAGAAACCTTTCGGCTCGATCCATCTCACTATGCATTTCTTTCCGACGCCAATATCCATGACTTCAACCCTGACAAATACTACTTGATGGCCCACAATGACCAGGTTCGTCACTATAGAGATGCAATGGAGCGAATACACCTCACAAGTAAGAAAACCCCTCAATTTGCTCGCATGGTGACCGACAGAGTACAAACCTATGGCAAAGCCAAAGTTATTAGCTCCAGTAACATATCCATATTGAAGGAGCGACAAAAGATGTTGAGCTCAACCGGCCTTGCCACGTCAATACGGTCAGCTAGGGACGTTTTCAGGGAAGATATGTGCGACGAAATCTTGATTTGGTTGAATGATTTCACCGAATGTGACTTGTTTAAAACAAATAATAGAGTCAAAGACTTGTTTTGCCGAGCGTTTTGCGGTCGCTGGAAATGCGGCATTCCCCAATTTGCTAATGATACCGATCTCGAGCTAGATGCTACGGCTTTGGGGAATGAATATACCGTCGGCAACCTTGATTCCAGGTTAATGATTCCCAAGGTTCCATCCCTTAATACTTCAACTAATCCTACAAAGGCTCACTGGTCGTTCCAACCGTCACCATGGAATCTAGACGAGCAAATATCCATTCAATGTGATTACAACCTTAATACTGACGACTATGACCCATCTCGCAGCCATCGAGGATCACGACTCCAGTACCTTTTATACTTAGACATAAGGTTCTGGAAATCGATCCGTACCATGCTTCATGACATGTATTCCAATGCATTAATCACAAATCTACACTACAAAAATATCGTCTGCTGTCAATACGTGGACATTTATCCTGCTATTGCGGATATGTACTTGACCATTGATAGGGAACCAGAGATCAATATAATGTGCACCCTCGCCACTCAATTGTTTACTTGTCCCACAAACTCAACTTCCATTGTTCAACACGGAGATGTGTCGCGAATTTTTGCAGCAATCTTTGGTTTCCTTACAGTTGAGCATATAATATCTCCGCTGGACGTTGATCTTTCACGTGAAGTGTCCCTCAAGAGCTTGAAGAATAGGAGATGGGGTCAGATTTTCTTCGATATTGGGTATATTTTGAGTCGAAGTAAGGATTCAAAAACGATTCTTACAAGCGACATCGTACCAATGGCATGCGATATACTTGCTTTATTTCAGGGCACTCCTGTCATGAAACGTGAGAGCAAAGTTCATGTTGAGTATGAAAGCCCTGATTATTCTGCGTTCTTCTTTGCCATTGTTGTCATCTACCAGTTTGCAGAATACATTGCCCATTGCTTAAACAATTTGACCGAATTAGAAGCAGAACGAAGGAAATGGATATTTGAAAATGTTTTGTCATACGTGATAAGGTTTCTTATAAAAATTGAAACTGGACTATATCCGCATTCGAGCCAAAAATTGGTTGACGTGAAGATCACCAGAGACAAATTTGTACCAGAAGTATCGACTGATGGATTTGTTTTGCAAAACTATCGTATCGATAAAGAAAAAGTTAGTTTCCTTCACCCTTTGCATTCCTTCCTTTCTTGGTTGATAGAACTTTCTCGCTTCGAAAACCCTGAAGAGCTTCAAAGAATTATCAGACTGGCTCTTGACTCAATTCCTTCTGGACTGGCACATCCAGGGTATAAGCAGTATCTCACTAGTTTATTTGAGTACCCATTGCGAACTATTGTTTTGATGTCACAAATCAAGGCGGGTTTGTGGGTCAGAAACGGATTTAGTGTGAGAACCCAGCTACAACTTTATTCAAATTCAGGACTCAGAGAAACCGGGTATCTTAGAGACTTGTTTTTGACGCAAGTATTTGTAAGTTCAACCTCCCCAGATTTGTCTTGCAATTTGATACTAAACCGTTGGCTATTTGACGACCATTGGAGTATCACACAAGTGCAAGACCAAGATGAAGACGATGAATTTCCATATGAGCCGAAAATACTCCCTTATATGCTTGAAGAATGTGTGGGTTTCCTCATTAACGTTCAAACGGAGACCCTTTATCTTCGTGGACTTCGCGGTGAAGAAGTTACTAATATTCGACTTCAAAATGAAATCATCCACAATTTGTGCTTTTCACCTATAAGCTACACAAAACTATGTTCACAAATTCCTGACCACGTAACCTCAGAAAAGCGCTTTGACTTGGTTCTTGATGAGCTTTCAAACTTCACACCTCCAATACAAAGCAATGACACCGGCGTATACAAGCTCAAAGAGAAGTATATGAATTGTGTGAATCCTTACTATTTCAACTATTCTGCCAACACCAGAGATGATGCCATGAAGTTTGTAAAAGATCGGATTCACAAGAAGACTGGCAAACCCAAGTCAGAAGTTGTTATTGAACCACAAAAGTGCGGTGAGTGCTTGGGAACCTATCAGTATATTGGAAATTTTGCTGCTTCAGCACAGTTTTCCAAGTTCCTAGTCAAAATTCTTCATTATGTGACAAATGAAGAACCCAACAAGAACGAGAGTCTAATAGAAAGCACTCTTCATCTCATCCATATATGCTCCATGGAACATCTCATAAATACCGAATCTTACGGAGGGTTTTATATCCATGCAGCAAAGAAGCACGATGAATATGACTCTTCTGTTATACTGGCAATGTATAATCTTTTGTGCATGGAGAACGCAAAGAGATTTCACTGCAAAATCAGAAGAATATTTCAAATAATGCACGAGAAATGTGGAAAGTTGGTGGGCGATTTACTGAGTCAAATTATTCTGTTCAACGAATCCATTCTCGTTATGAATGAAAATGACTCTTATATTGAGAACGAGTACGAGACGAAGAAGAAAATGGCGAAAGAAAGGCAACGCAAACTTATGGAAAAATTCAAGAAGCAGCAATCGCTGTTCTTGAAGAATCATGAAGGTGAAGGATCGGCGTCAAGTGACATGGAAATGGAGGACCTTGACACGGAACAGGGCTGGAAGTTTCCTGAGCCTCACTGTTTGTTGTGTCAAAATGCGCTGGAAGACGCTGGCCCATTCGGAATCATAACCTATATTACGAAGTCTTCAGAGTTTAGGGAAGTACCATTTAATGATCCCTACTGGTTCTTTAAATCATTTTCGGACAGTGAAAACTTGAACGAAAATGAAACAGGAAACTCAAATTTGTTTTCAAGGAAGTGGGTAGACTTTATGAATCAAATCAAACAGGATCATGTTATTGGTCCCGGATTCACCAAAGGGGCCGTGGACAGCAAGCTCGTTTCCACCAGCTGTGGACACGGAATGCATTTCCAGTGTTATCTCAACTACATTGCTTCTAACAACAACAAACAAAATCAAATAACAAGAAATGCCCCAGAGACTGTCGAACACAAGGAATTTCTTTGCCCTTTATGCAAAGCAATCAATAACATGTTCTTCCCAATCCTTTGGACACCCAATAGGAGAAGCTTCGCGGATTTTGTGAAACCTTCAGAATACGTACAATTTGGTTCGTTACATGATAGAGTTCCCTGGACATTCTCGCCGTTCGACATGTTGGAAAAAGTTGGGTACGAGCAAAGTTGGTTTAATTCTTTTTGCGAGCTAGCTCGTCGGGATATCAGCGACATCAACTCATTAACCGAAGAAGCAAAGACAATTATCGCGAGCAACGGAACAACAGTGACACCTGAACAACAACAATTTAGAGCATTATTGTCCAATATGTTTCAGGTTCTATCGCTTCTTACATTTCCTCATATTTTCAAGGCAGACTCCACGATAATGTTGGTGAATAGTATCAAGTCCACTGAAATCAGCTTGCGAGGTACGCAAGCACCCAATGGTTTGGTTTTTTCTCAACTATCAAATAACTCTTTGATCAACTTGCGGACGTTGAATGAGTTCCGCAATACCAGTTTGCTCATGAAAACACAAAACTGGATTCATAGTCCAAAGCCCAGAAACGACGCATACGTGAAGGTTCTCGCGCAGTTGCTTTTGCTCTCATCGCTGAAAGTGAATAATGCTATCTTAGAGAAGGATTTCTTTGAGCTCCTTGTTAGTGTTGTTCCGCTTCGTTCGACCGAATTTTCATTCAATACCTTGTTGAGAACGTGCTATTTCTGCCATATCATTCAATGTTTCAACTTATTAGTAATTGAAGTTGTGTCCAAAAATTTCTACATGACTCTGGGGATCTCAATTTTGGATATTCCCGTCATCCACGATATTTCGGAAGAGACTGCTTTAAGGGTTCTTTCACTATACGAAAAGGTTAAGCTCAACCATACAGAGTTAACGGGATCGAATTCGAGCATAGAGGAAAATCCCCTTTTTGGCAAGGTTTTGTACTCTATGCTCATCAAGTCAGTGACCCCCTTTTTACGCCAATCAGCTATCTATGCGTTTGTGTATTGTTCCGACATCGATAACATAAATGTGTCAGAAGACATCAAGATTGAAGCAGAAATGCTCACTTCAGTTTTGCAAATTGATAGCATTGATTTGCTTTTGCGCAAAATGAACGGAGAAATTGACTCATTTGAACTGGATAGATTCATGAAGTTCTTGTCATACATCAAGAACACTTCTCCTGCTCTTGAAACTGTCAACCTCAAAAAGTCATTAGAGTATCCAGGAGTTGTTCTGTTGGCAGACCTACCTGAACGTCTAGACCATTTTTTCACAAAGTACTACTATCTGGACAAGTATGATAATCCTCATATGACAATAGAGGACCCAGCAGTCTGCTTATTCTGTGGAGACGTGGTGGATGCTCAAAAGCCGGCTGTAGGTTGCAAAGAAGGTCAGTGTACTACTCATTTCTTAAAAGAATGCGCCAACAACTTTGGTATTTTTTTGCTTCCAAAGGAGCGTTGCTTATTACTATTGCATAAAAATGGAGGCTCATTCCACACTGCTCCATTCCTTGATCTGCATGGTGAACTTCCTGCCGAAAGCAAACGCAGTAAGACCCTTTATTTAATGAAGCCACGATACAATGATTTCATTCGAAACGTCTGGTTACTGCATAACATTCCAAACTACATTGCCAGAAGGATCGATAGTGTTGTCGATGCCGGAGGATGGGATACATTGTAGCTCTATATTGTCAATACTATACCTTAATATCACACCGTATGCTAAATAATAACTCATATGAGGTCAATTCATTTGTCGTTTACTCAAACAGGAATGAACCCACGTCTAAAACCCTGGCCGGGTTCAAGCGTTTCTAATGTCTCGAAATTCAATTCATTCTCGCTAAGAGTTCTTGTGACATAGCCATAGAGTCCCAGATTGAGCCAAAGCTTGTTCAAATGACGATACCGTAAATGGTTGAGCTTAGCTTTACCGCGCATGAGGACCTTTTTGATTTCACCATGAGTGGTAAGATATGGAGCAGGCAATCCATATCCGACAGGAACTTTACCAATTCGAGTAGAAATTCGCAAAAAATTGAGTCGAGGCTGGAAATAAACCGCATGTCGACAACAATCCTTTGCATGCATTTGCTGACTTTCTGTTCCCACGTCAGTGCCACAGACTAGGCATATTAAGGTATCTTGCTCTCTGGTGCCGTCACTTTCGTGAGATGTAATACTGCTGAAATCTTCAGGAAGGTTGATGAGCTTTATCACACCAGGGTATTCAAGAGTCAAAATGCCATCATCTAAGTGTCGGGGAATCTTGGCACAGATGATATTATCGTAGATTCTCAACTCAAAAAAACCGTTCTCCGACCTTTCTACCAATGTCTTTAAGAGCTCGTGGAGTCGAGGAACTCCTAACATATCACAAAGGACATCTGAGTTATCGGGGTGCTCCAGCAATATAAGCTGCTCTTTCAACGACTCGGTCGCTTGCAGTGAAACTAATGATGAAGTCGCGGCATCGTACCGGGATGTCAAGATATCAAAGAACACAATCACCTGCCGTAAGTATGGTAGCACAAGTCTCTCTATTGCATAGAAAATGCTGGAAACAAATTGATTGTCCTTCAAGTCTAAGTGGGGTAGACTAGCAGTGTCACATAGTCCATGAAGAAGATTTCTAACATTGTTGATACTGCCTTCATCCAACTCTCTGTTGAAGGCTGGAACTTTGAATTTTCCTTCCAAAATACGCTGTACTAGAGAATACACTGTTATACCGACAGTCTTAGTGAAACCAAGCTTCGAAAGGGCTTGAAAGGACTCATTCGTTTGAAAGAATAATCTCACAGTTTCATTGAAAGAACAATCCGCCATTGTATCAGAGTCCAAAGGATCAAAGGCGTTCTTAGAAGCTTCAGGGCTGTGGTTCCTGATCGTCCCTAAATACACCCTACTCTGTATCAACGATCTGATCAAAAGTTTTGCCAGCTGCGGAACCAATTCTAGGAAGTCTGTGTATGAGCAGCTTCCTTCTATACGAGAAGTGATTTCATGCATTCGAATTGTATCACCAATGACATCACTCAACTTGCTTAGCGAGTTCCTGTCAAAAGCACTATTGCGACTGGTGTCAAAACGAAGATTATGCAGTGACTTGATACGAGCCATCAAGCCTTCCTCTAGTGGTCTTAGCGTTTCGTTATCAGGCTGGAAATATTCTGAAAGCATCAATGCGGCCAGAAGTGCCTTCACTTTTTCTTGCGAATCAGACTCCAATATTTCATTGTAGCTCAGAGTTAAAGGAGCATCACTCATAACATTTTCTGGCACAGTAGCATTTTGAGGAGTGATATATGTTGGAAGGAAAGTGTTTTGGTAACTTTGGCATAAAGGACAGTTGATATGAAGGGAGCGATTGGCTGAGCGCTTGAAACACCTATAGTGCATACCATGACCGCATGTTGAAAAAACAAGCCTGTATTCCTTGCGATTATTCAAAGAAGTTGTATTCTTTGGATAGGTATAGCCATAACCATACGATGACAGAGTTGCGTTGATAATGTCATCAAAGTTTGCAAATGCGTCCACAACCAAGGGTCCTTTTTCGGGAAGCTTCCAGAAAACGGAGGATTCAGTATTACTGGCCAATATTCCAAATACATCCGAAGAACTTTCTGGCTCGCCACATAGTATACAAGTTCTAGCCTGCTCGACGCTGCCACCTTCTACCTGCAACTGGTCCTCTTTGAAATCACTTTTTTGCAAGAATTGTTGTCTTTGTTTTGCAAATTTCTTCATCACCTTCGCCTTCCTCTTCTCGGCCAAACTTCTCTTCTTGGAATTGTCAAACTTGATAAGCTCATTCTTATGCTCCATATACTTAGACATGTACTCTTCACCAAAGCAATCGATGAGAGAGTCCATGACCCGACTGTCGCGGGCCAAAAACAATCCTAATAAGTGGTCTGCCTTTTTCCTTACATGAGGAGACATTGAGGAGTTTACCAAGGTCATGAGCAAGTCGCCAATTGGAATCGAAACAAAGGAACTGTTCAAATACTCTGGGCCGTTCAAATACTCGTCATCACGAATAACCGCATGTAACAAGTGAAGTACAGGCATGATGTAGAATTCCTCTGAAGAGTCAATAGAAGCCCTCATGAACTTGTAAATCAATTTTGCAAAATCGGTCGTTTTGGCAAACCGGGCAATTCGGCTATCAACAAACGAGTTTCCGCTTGGCTTGTTATTAGGCATCAAAATCACATCAGCTTCTTTGATTCCCTTTGATTTCGAAATCTGTTTGGCAAGAGCATCGGAAACATCTTGGAATTTGGATCCGTCCATAAGAATGCTCATAGGATCAAGGTTTTCATACATGCTTTCCCTGAGCTTGTATCTGCCTGAGTCAGTGAGGCCGGTTGGCGGTTGATATTCTGCACACTCGTCCAAGATATCATCAAAATTGTCATGTTCACTTGCATCTGGAGAGACTTCTGACTTCAAGTATGAATATGTTTTGGGTCCATCACACAATTCGTAACAAATCTCTTGTCGAGTCTGATAAAGAAACCATTCTTCATATGTGAACGTCAAAAAGCGGCTTCGGTCGATGATCAAATTATACAAGAAAATGATGAATTTTTCTCCAATGGCACTAAATCTCTCCTCGTAAATTGTTTCTTCGTGGCTCACCTTATTGACGTACCAGTCCAAAAGCTCCCATCTATCCAAGAAATTGTACAAAGTTGCTCGAGGATCATCTAACATAGCTGCGACCTGATTTAAATGAAAATCACGATGGTAAGTTGAGTCACTAATGCCTGAATTCGAATAAGCGGAACCTTGGCGTGCAACAGAAAATCCATTTCTGATCCAGAACCCAATGTTAATCTGTGCTGCTAAAACGATACTTCGCAACGAAATATCGGAAATATTCACGAACGGAGTCCTGATGTTATTTAGGAGAGACTCAAAGTTTTCAAATCCATGGCGCTGAAGCATATATGACAAAAGCGAGTTTATCGGATTTATGAAAGACACTGGCTCTTTGCTAACAACGAAATCGGGGATACCAGGTGCATTTTTCTTGACCTGTCTCAAATAGCAAAAAGTCAATTATCAATTTGGTGGCATCTTGAGCCACCTTTATGTCAGTTTCTGCAGATGCAAGCGTTTGAACGATATCGAGAACAGGAGTCGAATAAAGACGATGAACGATGTAATCCATTTGTTCAATTTCAACATGATCACCGTACTTGCGTTCTAATGCCCAATAACCCTGAAAATTTCGAAGAAACATCAACAAGATCACGGTATTTTTGTGTGTGAAGAAGCTATGAAGACTGGATTTCACTGATTTGTCAATAATATGACGAATATCGTCAATTCCTCTTTGAATAGCGAGGACAATGGATCGATATGTATGTGGCTTATCATTGGTGATATCAACTAAATTGGGGTACCCTGAATCATAGTTCCATATTGCAGAATGTTCTTCAATCAAGCGTGCCACTGGGCCCATGATAATACCGAGTTGGTCCTTTTGGAGAATGTACAGCACTGTTGCAGGGCAGGTCAATAATTGGGCCGATATATGTGACATACTGTTCAATTCTTCTTCCCTGTCGGACAAACACATTGTGGTAATTAGTTGAGGATACAATTCAATGTATTGGTCGCTGAATGCTCTCTTGGATGGAATGTCCACAATCAAGTGTGATACGAGGAACATTCCAAGCTGTCGCCTAACCTTTGTCGAAAACCGAATTTCAAATGCTAAGAAGAACTGAAGCCGAGAGCTCAGAATTCTGTCGAGTTTTGGCGATTTGGTCAAAACTAGATGAGCCGGTTTGTATAGCTGAGAAAGGTTATCATAGGGAGATACCTCACACAAGCCGGCATTTACGAATTTTCCATCGTAGAGTAGTCCATTTTCGAAGCAACGTCTTTTATCGTCAATAGACAAACCTTTGATGAACTCAGCAGGTACAACTTTGGAGAGCTGGTGGTTGGGCTGCAACAAGAGTTCTGCAATAATCTTGCTACTCAAAGAGCTGAGAAGAGTATTGCCCTCTGCCAAACTCTGGAGCCAGGCAAAGACGATTTCCACCATCGACTCTTTCATGTAATCGCGAGCGCTGCAAATTGTCGCAACCAAGCCATTGAGTTGTGCATTTCTAAGAGGCACCAAAAGCTCAGAGTACGAAGACTTCTCTAGTATGACCGCTTTTCCCTGTTCGCTGATGACTTGTGTGAGCGCCTGGGCCCTTGGTTTGGCCAACTTGGAGGCAGCGAGAATGGCTTGTAATGCCTGATCGACAGTGTGGTTTTCATCATTCCACAACACCAAGTACCATAGATTCGACGAGTTTGTGTCTACCGCACCCCCGTAGCGGCCGCTGGGCAAAGAGGAGTAGTTTGAGAGTCTCAACGACGTGAGCGGGCTTCCGGGAGTGTCTATGTGATCATGAATGAAAGGAAGGGTTTGAATGGAGAAGTTCGTAACGTCAAGGATGTAATCTAAGCAGATTTGGATTGTCAACCGTAAACTCTGCTCGAAATCTGGAGGGATATTTTCCAATTCCAGTGAATCCGTCTGGCATTTGCAATTTAATGGCACCACAAATGCTTCTGGGTCACCGCAATCGCACATTCCAGATGAAATGCCACGCGAGTAGTATGAGAATACACTATGATCCTGGTGGTCACTGGGGTTGAAACAGTCTACACAAAGCACACATGTTTCATCGTACGAGCAATCTTGGCACTGGAATACAGGGTCTCCTTTCTTGAAAGTTCGAGCACATGCTCTGCCCTTTGGGTGGGTATATTTTTCTGGGGACTTTACGGTATAGAAGGGACGACGGTCATGCAATGAAAGAGGAAATTCATAATTATCGAGTTCATCTATCTGATCTTGGATTATTAATGGGAACAAGTGACGAAGATATTTGCCCTCTGCTGTGGCAGCGTAGTATAAAGCTTTGAAGAGGCATTGTTCAAGGGCATCGTTATCGGTATAGCCCAACTTTGAAGGTAGCGAAACGAGAAATCGCCGGAGATCGTCAGGATCCATGTTTTAAGTTGGGTGATCTAGAAAGAGTCGCAAATCGCAGACGGGGTTTGCAGTTCGGGTAGCGCAGCCCCTGCAGGAATCGAGCCCGGATTTCGAGCGATTAGAATGTTCCGCAGTTCGCACTCACGCTACTTAGTTCTTGACTTGATCTCGCATTACGTAATTCGTTACTGTTAACACAAAATTAAATTTCTGACTCAAGGTTTTTCAACTCTACCACTAATCTCATTATGGCCGAGGTCGTCGATCCCAAAGAGCAGTTTCGCTTGATTACCAGAAACCTTCAAGAATACTTGAATGGCCAAATCATTGAAAACGTTTTGCAAAATGAAAAAAGACCAGTGAAAGTTTACTGGGGAACCGCACCCACTGGAAGACCCCATTGTGGTTACTTTGTGCCAATGGTAAAGTTGGCCGATCTCTTGAAAGCAGGATGTGAGGTGACTGTGCTCTTGGCAGATTTGCATGCCTTTTTGGATAACATGAAAGCACCATTGGAAACTGTCCAGTTTCGTGCTCAGTACTATGGAAAATTAGTGAAGGCTATCTTGAAGTCCATCAATGTTCCTATTGACAAGCTCAAGTTTGTGGTCGGATCGTCGTACCAGCTCAGCGAAAAATATACAATGGATCTTTTCCGGTTGTCTAACATCGTTTCACAGAACGATGCTAAGAGAGCAGGTGCTGATGTCGTCAAACAAGTGGCCAACCCATTGTTGTCTGGTCTCATTTACCCCTTGATGCAAGCATTGGACGAAGAGTTTTTGGATGTGGATGTACAATTTGGAGGTGTAGATCAGCGGAAAATCTTCGTTTTGGCTGAAGAAAACTTGCCTGGTTTGGGTTACAAAAAGAGAGCACATTTGATGAACAAAATGGTTCCTGGCTTGGGACAAGGTGGTAAAATGAGTGCTTCCGACCCTAACTCCAAGATAGATCTTTTGGAAGACCCAAAGGTTGTCGTCAAGAAAATTAATAGTGCATACTGTGCTCCTGGTGATATTGAGAACAATGGTCTCATTGCTTTCATCGAGAACGTAATTCTTCCAATCCAGCAGTTGCACGCAGGCAAAGACGAGGGTGTGTTCAATTTTTTCATTGATAGACCAGACAAATACGGTGGTCCAATCACCTACACATCGTTGGATGAATTGAAGGATGACTACAAGAATGATAAATTATCCCCTGTGGATTTGAAGTCAGGAGTATCAAGTCAAATCAACGCTTTATTAGCTCCTATCCGTGCTGAGTTCGACGCTGACCCAGAATTCCAGGATTTCGAAGCTAAAGGCTACCCTAAAGAACAACCAAAGGAAGTGAAAAAGGTGAAAAAAGTGAAAAATAAGGGAACCCGCTACCCAGGAGGTGCTCCTCCAGCCAAGGACAATGCTGAAGCTAATGCAGTGGCAGAAAAGTTGGAATCAACCAAGGTATCGGACCAATAGAGTATTAAGTAGAGGTGTAAAGGTTGCAAAAATACGCACCCGCACACCCGTAATAAACAGAACCAATCAGGTTTTGCGCGAAGTGAAAATCGACTTCTACAGACTCAAAGAGCAAGACAAATAATGGTAAGTAGCCACGCACTCGAGGAAAGTGGCTGGTGTACATGAAGGATGCAACGTAATATGAGAATTTACCAAATTGAATTCTTGTGGCTCAAATAGAGACGAAATGGTGAAATTGGGAGGAGTGAAGACCGTGAAAAAGTTGAAAGAGAGGGAATTGGAAACAGGGTGCAACAGAAGAGCTCTGAGCGTGGTAGACTTTTGAACAGTCGCGTTCACTGTCCTGATTTACGTTTTCAATCCCTTTCCTCTTCAAATTACCGAAGCATAAAGACTGAACTTTGAGATTATTTCAATGGCTGACTTTCATTCAACTCCAACTTGACCTTAATCTTTGTCGCTTTCCACAACTCCAAACAGCTCAAACATACTAACACAGTTATCTGGTCTTTTTCAGAGAAATTCCATTTTCGTCGCTACCATCTTTGCTGGTGCATTCGCTTTCGAATCGTCGTTTGACGTTGCTGTGACCAAGTGGTACGAGAATCACAACAAAGGAAAGTTGTGGAAAGACGTCAAAGGCAAGTTCATTGAGGGAGGCGATGACGACGACGAGTAGCTGAACATAACAATGCATGTAGAGATTAGAAATTGTAGATTCTAAAAGAAGCCGAATAAAGACAAGAAAGTATACGATAATCTACTTTTGCTCAAGAAAGTATTCGATAATCTACTTTTGCTGAAGGTACTACATTTCAATATAATTGATTTTTCATTTTTCAAATCGCAATGCAAAGTCGCATTCTTTTCATTATTCACATAAAATATTAACCAAATACTCTCCACACCATGGCAGTAATTAACCAACCCAACAGTCAGATACGACTCACTAATGTCTCCCTCGTACGAATGAAGAAGGGAAAAAAGAGATTTGAAATTGCATGTTACCAGAACAAGGTTCAAGATTGGAGACAAAAAACGGAAAAAGATCTTGACGAAGTGCTTCAAATTCCTCAAGTATTTACCAATGTTTCCAAGGGCCAGATAGCCAACAATGACGATTTGAAGGCTTGTTTTGGAAGCACCAACGTTGATGAGATCATTTTGGAGATTTTGGATAAGGGAGAGATCCAGTTAAATGAAAAAGAACGCAGTGCCAATTTACAACAAAAACAGAATGAGTTCTTGAATATAATCTCCACAAAGTGTATAAACCCGCGTTCCAAGAAACGGTATCCCCCGTCAATGATTCAGAAAGCATTGAACGAAGTAAAGTACCATGTTAATCCTGCCAAACCCACAAAAATTCAGGCTCTTGAAGCCATCAAGGTATTGATAGAGAAACAGATATTTCCCATTGCGCGAGCCCAGATGAAGGTTAAGGTTGTCCTAGCCAATAAAGTGAAGAAACAGGTATACGATGAGCACATCAAGCCATTGATAGACAAGATTGAAGATGAGCACCAAGACGCCAAGATGTTTGAGTGCATTGGTATAATTGATCCTTTTAACTACAGGGCGATAGTGGAACTCCTTCAAGGCGAAAATGCCAAAGTTAAGCAAGGGGAAGGCAGCATTGAAGTTATAGATATGGCTGCGGTGAAGGAATAAAATGCAAAAAGGTATAGAATGAATAATGGAAAAACCGTAGAATAAATAAAGGAAAAAGCCATAGAATGAATGCAATCGAACGTGTTTTCTCCAGTTGTCGTTTGCTACTCTTATTACTATATGTGTATTTTTTCCAAGTTTTGTCTTCTCCATTTCAGTCCCATTCCTGTATGGCCTTAGTAGTCTCACAAAATTTTCGACTCGAATCTCATCTCATTATGACTGCCACTCTCCCCCAATTACCCAGCGGTATTGACAGCTTCAAGGTCGTAAGCAAGTACTCCGAGCCCGTAAGAAGGCCCGTGGAGCCTGTAGGCCGTTATTTCTTGGCCCATGCTTCCAGAATCATGAGAGGACACACCTGGTCCGAATACGAAAAATTGGAAGCGGAAAGAAACGTCAAACAAGTCGAGCTGGACAACGACGACGACATTGGTGACGAAGAACAAGACGAAGAATTGTTGGAGCACGATCCAAGAGAATGGAAAACCGCCGACTTGTATGCGGTTTTGGGATTATCAAAGTTGAGATACAGAGCCACCGAAGATCAAGTTAGAAGGGCCCACAGAAAGCTGGTGCTTAAGCACCATCCCGATAAGAAGTCTGCCAGTGGCGGATTGGACCAGGACGGTTTCTTCAAGATTATTCAAAAGGCTTTCGAAGTGATGATGGATCCAGTTAAGAGACGTCAATATGACTCGGTAGACACCAACGCTGATGTGGTTCCTCCTCCTGCCAAATCCAAGTACGACTTCTTTGAGGCATGGGGACCTGTCTTTGCTAGTGAAGCTAGATTTTCAAAGAAACAACCCGTTCCTTTGTTGGGCACGTTAGAGTCGAGCAAGGAAGAAGTGGATGCTTTCTACGCATTCTGGGGTAAGTTTGACTCGTGGAAAACCTTCGAGTTCAAGGACGAGGATGTTCCCGATGACACTGCCAACAGAGACCACAAGCGTTATATCGAGAGAAAGAACGTTTCCAACAGAAAGAAGTTGAAGCAAGAAGACAACAAGAGAATCATTGATTTGGTGGAGAGAGCTTATAGTGAGGATCCAAGAATCAAGTTGTTTAAGGATGCTGCCAAAAAGGAGAAGGAAAGAAAGAAATGGGAGCGTGAAGCTGGCTCCAGAAAGGCCGCCGAGGAGGCTGCTGCCAAGAAGGCCGCTGAAGAAGAAGCCGCCAAAAAAGCTGCTGAAGAAGCTGCTTCCAGCAAGGTCAATGCTAAGAAAGCTAAGGAGGCTGCTAAGGCTGCCAAGAAGAAGAACAAGAGAGCCATCAGAGGTTCAGCCAAGGAAGCCGACTACTTTGGAGATGCAGGTAAAAGCGCTGATATCGAGGCCGATATTGACACCATCATAGAGAAGTTGGACGACGTTCAATTGGGTTCAGTAGCAGGCAAAGTTAACGGTGCCAATGCTGATTCCGTTAAACAAGTGATTTCAGAAACTGCTTCTGAATTGATTGGAGCCGGCAAGCTTGAAAAATCGTACTTGAAGTACTTCTAAGCTAGATGAGTCTTGATAAATTTCTCAATTAGTACAATAATCTCGTAATCATAACTACTCTTCGTCCAACTGCACACCCTGTTTCAATGGAAGTGCCTTCATGTGATAATGCTGCTTACGCTTCTCCTCAAAGCGTTTATGCCTTTCTTCCGCCGTCAATTGCTTCGATTCTTCCTCCTTATCGTCATCGGATTCTTCCTCGTCGTATTTTTGATCCGGATCAACATATATCAGCCCACCATTCAAAGAGTCTTGTGGAGCTGATTGCTTGTCGAGCTCGGATTCCCCCAAATTGAAGGCGGGAATATCTATCTCGTCCTCTTGGTAGTATTCTCCATCAGGATTGAACCCGCCAGTATAAGGAGTCTTGGGTTCATCTATCTTCATCGTAGCACACTTTTCTTGCTCGGTTTTATACAAGTTAATTTCGTCCCATTTGAGGTGTTCATTGTTTCCATTGCCGTCTGCTCCATTTCCGGTACTCAGTTTTCTAGCTTTAGCGATTTTGGCTCGAATCTCATCTCCCTTTGACGACTCGCTTGCCAAATTGGCATTGAGCATAGTATTCCTAATAACTTCCTTCCTGTCTAGCTCGTCCGCCAGCTCTCTGCGTTCGCGTTTCTCGTCTTTGTTGCGCAATATGCCTCTTGGTTCTGACATATTTTTCGGTAGCTACTTGACAATCAGCCAGTCATCGAATCTGGGGACACTTGGGTGCTGTATGCAGTATAAAAGTGGGCTCGTCTGCAGGCCGCCAAGAGGTCTCTGCAGGACGATTCTCATCTGCACCTGCTTGTGAGGCCGCGCCTATAATTAGTGTTGACAGTGACGGCAAACAGGACACTTACCACTCGTCAAAAAGTCTTAATTTCAACGCCAAACCATCATTGCTTCACTAGGGTGTGCTGAACTAGCCTAGAAGTCACCACTCATATTCATATACGTTTTCGTGGTTCATATTTGTCAGCCATGGGCCAAACGTTCAGTTTTACAAATATCTTTTCCAAGCTATGGGGAGTTAATAAGGAGATCCGAATCTTGATCTTGGGTTTGGATGGTGCGGGAAAGACTACGATTTTATACCGGCTTCAAATGGGTGAGGTGGTGACTACCAAACCCACCATTGGGTTCAACGTTGAAACGTTGAAATACAAAAATCTCACATTAAATATATGGGATTTGGGCGGACAAACGTCCATCAGACCATACTGGCGGTGCTACTACTCGAATACTGCCGCGGTGATATTCGTGGTTGATTCTACTGATAAGGAACGTATCGATATTGCCTGTAAAGAATTGCATACCATGTTGAAGGAAGAGGAGTTGTTGGATAGTGCTTTGTTAGTGTTTGCCAACAAGCAGGATCAAGCAGGTGCCATGTCGGCGGCAGAAGTCTCACAGGCATTAAATCTTACCGAATTAAAAGACAGAAGCTGGAGTTTACGTGCATCAAGTGCCATCAAAGGTGAAGGGTTGACTGAAGGTTTAGACTGGTTAATGGATGTGATAAAAGATGAACAGTTGTGATAGGTCTATATATTTAATGCGGATTGCCTACAGCTGCTGTATAGCCTTACTGGTAAATCTTCTTGTTCTACAAGGTTTAGTGCACACAATTTCTACTTCACCTCGTGCTCCTGGACTCTTTGAAGGATGGTTTTGATCATTTCGTTTCCTATGGTGTTGGCTTCCGAAAACATGGGTTGGAAGAATTTTTGCGTTTCTTCAAATTGTCTTCGGTACAAATCAAAGTTTCCAAACGATATTATGCTCGACCATTTTCTAGCTGCAACCGTGAATTCCAAGTCGTCGTGTCTGAAAATGGAGTCTTTTACCGCAACATCGATACACTCGTCGAGGAGTCCAGGGGTACAGAACAAGTATTCAGTAACACCCAAGAATATTCTGAACAATGGAGTCGAGCAGATAATATGGTCATAGGGTACAATCCCGAGCTTGAACCAACTATCCACCATGGCCAACAAGGACAAATGGGAATTGGGCTGCCGGCCGCCAGGAGGTACCTTACTCAATGAGAACTTTTGGAGCAAATCATCACTTAAGAGAAGTTCATGGTCTATTATATGCTTGAACACATAATCTTTGGCGGCGTGCAACCGAGCGCTCAATTCAGCTTTCTTTCCCAGGATCATCAAGGTGAAAAGTTCTGTCGTGGATTGAGCATATTGCAATACTTGACCGTGGGCAGAAGGATTGGTTATAGCCAAGCCGGCATAAACGTGCCACTTATTGGAATAGATTCTCAACGAAATGTTAATCTTGGCATTTTCAAGACCTCCCGTCCACCGGGGGGTTTCCCAAGGATACTGGTCGATTTCTTTCCAAGCCGATCCCATCGACAAGAACGCAGCATGGGTAACGGCCTGAGTATCAGCGGTAATTTTGTCATGTTCCTTCGCCGACAAATACACCATTTTGGAGTCAAGGCAGCTCATAAGCGAGTCCACAAAGGAAATGTTGTCGTTGTTGGAAACTCGGTGTTCAATGATCACCAATGGCTGGCCCGTGGTATTCACTTTGGGTCCATGAAGTGAGTGCACAGATATGATATCGATATCTTTGGGAAGATGCTTCTCGAATGCCTGGATTTCAACCTCCTTGCACGATGTTTGACCTCCAACAGCAGCACCGTACTTTGTAGAAGGTCCATATTTTGCAACTATCAGTTCGATATTTTCTGCTTCCACGCTGTAGATAATATAGTCGGCCAACCGAGACACATAATGACCATTGGGAAGAACTTCGAACTCATAGTCTTTGTATTTTGCTTTTGTTTCCTCATACCTGTCTTCTCTGTCGCAACCAATGACTTTCCATCCTGCTTGGCTGAAGCGACGGGCGTAGAGAAACCCCATATCTCCCAAACCTATGATACCAATGGTCTTGGATTTCTTGCATATGGGTTCGTTACTCATAGTTATTACAAATTGATATACAAGAAGGCAAGCTGGACTATCTTAATTCCCCAATGTATAACGGCTTTGTACAAGAAGAGCTCGTACAATTGTCGCGAAATCCGCAAAGTGTCTGCGAAAGTTATTCACAGCCGTTCATGGTGAAAACATTAAAGGGGTACAGCGCGCCTGGAAAAGCATTTATTGCGGGCGGGTACCTTGTGCTAGAAGAACGGTTCAGTGCCTATGTCACGGCATTGTCGTCTCGAATGCATGCTGTGGTTGAAGCCAAGTATACCGAGAACCAGCCAAAAACAATCACCGTCAAATCGCCTCAGTTTGCTTCCCTGGAGTGGAATTACACCATTGACGAGAACTTTGAGTGCCACGAGAAAGAGGGACTCAAAAATCCTTTCATAGAGGCAACTATCTTCACAGCGGTAGCATATGGAAGTCTGAGTCTGTCCTACGATATTGTCATAACGCTCTATTCGGACCCAGGATATCACACTCAAGATGACACTACAAAGAAGACGACTAGCGACGGATCTCGAAAATTTCTTTATCACGAAAAACCTATTAATGAAGTCGAGAAAACAGGCTTGGGTTCGTCGGCAGGGTTGGTGACAGTCGTGACAGCTGCACTTCTCTGTTTTTTCAAGAAAGCCAACGTTGATGAAATACAAGATCAGATTCACAATTGTGCTCAGATCGCTCATTGCCTTGCACAGAAAAAAAGTTGGATCTGGTTTCGATGTGGCTACTGCAGTCTACGGATCAATTATCTACAACAGATTTTCACCAAGAGTTGTGAATAAAATTTACCAAGACAGGTTTTTTGAAGACAAAACACCTACGACTAAAAAGGCATTTGTGGACCACTTGACATCTGTTGTGGATTCCAAGTGGGAGTTTCGTCATGCGGCATGGGGACTTCCTCCAGGCATTCGCTTGGTGATGGGAGATATCAAAGGTGGGTCCGAAACTCCTAAGCTTGTTTCCAAGGTACTCAAATGGCGAGCTGAGAACCCCAAGGAGAGTGACGAGCTATACAGCAAGTTAGAGGAGGCCAATAGTCAGTTTATTCTCTCGGTAGTTCTGCTCCGACTTCTTCACAGCCAAGACAAAGAGACCTACCAATACTGGTTGGAGAAACTCACCCACGAAGCACCAGTCGCTAAAAATAACCCCTTTTATGGCATTACCGAAAGATTCACGACCATCAGAAAGTATCTTCGTGAACTCACCAAAGTCACTGGAGCCGAAATTGAACCTCCAGAACAGACAAAGCTCTTGGACGCCTGTACGACAATTGAAGGCTGTTTAGGTGGTGTGGTTCCTGGAGCTGGGGGCTACGACGCCATTTGTCTTCTTATTGCCGAGAAAGCAATTCCATCATTTGTTGAAAAAACAAAGTCCGATTCTAGGTTCGCAGCGGTATCCTGGTTGAGACTACACGAAGAGACCGAGGGACTCAGAAGTGAAGACCCCAATAGCTATGAGATATAGACCGTTTGGATCACACGAAAATATCAAAAAACAACACAGAATTACTAAAAGTCGTCATTAAGGTTTAATCATGACCTCGCAATAATGGCTGTGCCTGATCATGGCGTGCGATGAGCGAGATCGATTTTGTGGGGTCGAGCATAAATATAAATTGAACGTTAACCAAGTGAAAAATATTTATTAATCCATATGGAACCACATAAAAGCATCAGCATAGCACCTTCACTCCCAGAAACACACCACGACGATGCCAGCTCGAATTTCTTTCAATATGCCAATATTTCACCAGAGAGGAATAAAGAGTATGAGCTTCAAGATACTACTGAAAGTTACATTGCCGAGTCTGAAACCACTCAAAACCCATATATAAGGGGCGCCAGGATATTTATGGCCATATCAATTGTATCGGCCTTGGTTTTGTTAGCATTTGAAATTTATATCTATGCCGTTATCAATCGCCACAAGGAAAAGCTTGGTTCAAACGCTCGATATACTGAGCTCTCGATATACTTGGCGCTATTCATATTCGCATCAGTGTTCCAGATATTGCTCTCTTATATTGGAGTAAGGTCCAAAAACTTGCTTCTACTCACCATGCTCTGTGTGTTTTACTGCGGTATGTTGATCTACACTGGCATTCAATACCAAGAAATTTCCGAGTTCGTTAACGTGGTGCTCCACGGTGCATGGAAACGAGCTACCAAAGGTGTGAATATCACCGCCATTGCTGTCATTGGAATTACCTTGGTGGCTCAAACGTATATGATTTTTGGTGTGCTTCGCAAACATGTCCAGTGGATTCGATACAAGAAAATTGGAGCAGACCCAAAAATCAGACAATTGTATTTGGTGTACCAGATCCACCGATCGCTTCTTATGCTCAACTTTTTCTTTTTTTTAGGGTTCACTGTGCAATTCATTGTCATAATGGTGCGAGACAAGTCTTCGGTCGAGTTCATCTTGACGGTAATTGTGTTGCCGATTACAATCCTTTTGCTTATATTTTGTGACTTTGCAATCACAAGAGAATTGGTGTGGGCTGCACTTGTTGCAATTGTCATTTTAGCTTGTGGATGTGCCTATGTGCTTTTCAAAACTATTCGATTATTTACCAAGTACACCTCGGCATACCATTTCGGTTTCAAGCCCGGTTCCTACTTTCCCGGAAGAAAGTCTCTTGTCACTTTTGGAGTCTTAACTTTGGTTCTACTTTTTGCAACCATAGGTCTTGAGTTGTACTTGATTTGCAACTTTCACAGCGGATTGAAAGATATTCTTGGTGATTCGTACCTGAAAGTTTCTTGGGGTAAATCAACGAGAGATGTCGAGTCTGAGGAGTCTCTAGAAATAGATTAGTATTTTGCATACAGCTTCACAATGCCGCTATCGTTTTCGTAATTCGCGCCGTATCAGAAACGGCTCTCATGTAATCTATAAAGGAGCAAATCCAAAGGAGCAAATCTTAGGGAGCACAATTTAAAATTATGACTTCCAAAGAATCAGAAGTTCTTCCTGGATACTACAGAGAGCGTAAGCTGGGCCATTGGGCTCGTAGAGCACTTTTAGTACTCTTGACAATTCTGGGGCTTATCTTCTTCACAACCAGTCGCAACTTTATCAAGGACTTACCATCAACATCCGCGGTAAAAACTGCAATTGAGGAAGCAGCTAGAACATGGAGTCGTCCTCATGAGCCTGACTCGCTTTGTCCGCTCGTAAAGAAGGTGGATCCCCGCTCTTTGTTGTATAATAATGACACCATCAATACCATTTTACACGATGAAACTTTCAGAAACGAATCCTTGAAGAAGCTCTGGAATGCCGTCAGAATTCCTACCCAGGTCTACGATGATCAGAAGAACCCCAATTCCACCGAAACACTTGAAGAATTGTATAAGATTGAACCTAGGTGGAAACCTTATGAACAGTTCCATAAGTACTTGGAAAAGACTTACCCTCTTGTCCACAAACACTTGAAAGTAGAGCATGTGAACAAATTTGCTCTCGTATACACATGGCAGGGTTCTACTGACAAAAAACCTATATTGTTGACGGCTCATATGGATGTAGTGCCAATTCAGGAAGAGACCCTAGACCAGTGGAAGTACCCTCCATTTGAAGGAGGTTATGACGGCAAGTTCTTATACGGTCGAGGAGTGCTGGACTGCAAGGATTTACTCATTGCTCTACTTGGTACAGTCGAATTGTTACTCAAAGAGGGTAAGTTCAAGCCTGAAAGAACTATAATTCTCGGTTTTGGTTATGATGAGGAGTCCGCTGGTACTGGAGGTGCAGTCATATCAAGACACCTCTTTTCAAGGTATGGTCCTGATTCATTGTACGCACTTATAGATGAGGGAGATTCTGGGTATATGGAGGTGGATGAGAAGACCAGAATAGTTATTCCTGCTACCGGAGAAAAAGGCCATTTAAATTCACTTATTGATTTATTCACACCTGGTGGCCACTCTTCATTTCCCCCGCCGCATACTCTGATTGGTCTTTTGTCGAAACTTGTCAGCAAAATTGAGGATTCCGAGTTCGAGAGCATTCTTACTCCCTCCAATCCAACCTTAAAAGAGTTACAATGCCTTGCAGAGTACTCGTCTGTCCTTGACAAGGACTTGAAGAGCAGTATTTTAAAGGCTCACATGGATGCCAGTGCCAACAAAAACGTCTTGGACTACCTTGACAAAGACAAAATTCTCAGGTATTTGGTAAGGACATCTCAAGCTGTGGACATTATTGGTGGTGGAGTAAAGTCAAATGCGTTACCCGAGCATGCTTCAGTGTTGGTAAACCACAGAATTGCCGTGGAGGAGTCGGTGGAGTCTACTAGACAAAAGATAGTGAACCAAATTTTGGAGCTTGCAAAGGAATACGACTTGGGGGTTCTCGTGGACGGTAAAGAAGTCAAGGAAAAGACAAAGAATGGTCACTTCGTATATACAACAAACGAGCCATTGGAACCTGCGCCAGTGACACCTATCAATGATGAGGTGTGGCAGACGTTTGGCGGTTCCTTAAGGTATTTGTACGAAGAGCTCTTATTCCCTGAAGAAGACAAAACTTATGTCGTTTCACCTTTCCTTTCCATTGGAAACACAGACACAAAGTCGTATTGGGACTTGACAAGAAACATATATAGATACGTTCCAGGACTCACTGATTTCGATGCTAACGTGCACTCAGTCAATGAAAGACTTGAGTTTGACGCCCATTTGCTGGTGATTGCCTTCTACTATTATTACCTTCAAGTTGTGGATGGTGTCAGTGACCCTAGTTAGAAATTTTATGATACTTTGCAGCCGTAATATTATTTACCTGTGATTCAATTTGCAGCCGTTTTGCAGCCGTTCTTGGGTGTGCGATTCACAGAAGTGTTGCGAAACCTCATCTCAATTTTCAATTATTCCATCAACGGTTCCACACCATGCCAACAGAATTAGAGGAGCTCGTTTCTTTTTTGCACAGCCCACAGCCGGCTGTCGTACAGATAGCATTGGATAACTTGGTGGGCTACTCTCAAAGTGCTCATCAGCAAGTCTTTGCGTATGACAATTATACTGCGATTTCTGATTTAAAGAGACTTTCCAAAGACAAAGGAAAGACTACAGTAAGCCAGTCGGTGACCATCTTGGCTAATCTATGTGATGACGTCAAGATGCGGTCTCTCATAGTGGAAGATGTGGATTACTTGAAATTTTTGGTGACGTCGATTGCAAATGTGAAGAATACCAATGCTGACTTGATGTGCATTTTGTTGGTAAATTTGGCTAAAAACGACAACATAACTGCAATCTTTAACATCAAGGTGGAAAACGACGATGAAACATTCAAGTCTTCGAAAGCGATGGACTGTCTTATGGATTGCTTCGTCAAGGGCTTCGATAGATCTCTCAATAAGTATGCAAACTACGACTATTTGGCATATTTCTTTGCAGACATTTCTCGGTTTACTGAGGGAAGGAACTACTTCGTCACCGAACAGGAGTACGATGGTGTTGTTCCCATTTCCAAATTGTTGGTCTTCACCGAAAAATACGACTCCAAAATTAGAAGAGAAGGTGTTGCTTCTACGATCAAGAATTCTTTGTTCGACACAAAACGTCATATCGACTTTTTAACCGATGAGTCCATAAACTTATTGCCTTACATATTGCTTCCAATTGCGGGCCCTGAAGAAATTGACGAAGAGGACATGTTCAATTTGCCTGAAGAGCTCCAACTTCTTCCCTCGGATAAGCAGAGAGATCCCGAGGACTCTATAATATGTGTGCATTTGGAATCGCTACTTTTGCTCTGCACGGCCAGAGAAGGACGTGAATACTTGAGAGAAAAGGCCCGTTTATACTTTGATCAGAGAGTTGCATAAAGCTAAGAGCTCCGAGCAAATAGCAGACTTGTGTGACCGATTGGTGCAAATGTTGCAAAGAGACGAGGCTCCAGTAGAAGAAGTTGACGACGAAGACGACGAAGAAGATGATGAGATTGTGGAGGTGTTGTAATATATTTATAGAAGAGGAAAAAAATAAATGTGGATTTTATCTTTGGTATATGCGATTATTTTATTACTTCAATGCTCCTCCTTCAACACCAACATTCCATTTGACAACTTCAAGTTCTGCTTGACAATATTAATGATCCTGAGCTTGTTGTCAGGATGAGCATAAACACGATTTTTAAGGACAAGCAATAGTTGCTTCGTGGTGAGTGGTTCTTTGCGAACTATATTAAGCACTTCTTCCACAGTAACAAGGTCGTTATTAGGGCCCGCAGAATGCAAATCCACACCACTGGGTGGAGTCGGAGATACTGATTTGTTCTCCTCTAACTTCACCTTCTTCGAAGGCAGAGGAGCGGCCATTTCTGCCTGCCTCTTGAAGCCTTGTGGGTTCCAGTCTCCTTTGGGGAATCCACTCAAGAAACCCACAGGTGCTTTGATCGAAACGAATGAATTGCCAAGGTCAGTAGCGTAGAAGGCACGGCGTCCAGACAACAGTTGACTGCCGTCGTCTTCTGTCTTCACCGCCGTTTCATCATTTTCATCGTCGTCGTCGTTTTCTATGTCGGACCTGGAAAGATAAGGATTAAGACCATCCTCGTCATCGTCATCACTATCGTACACTCCTCCCTCTGTTTTGTTGAGCACCTTCCGCAACTTTTTACCTTCTTTGTCGACCTTTCGAGATTTTTCGGTTTCGAACAAGTCGTCCAAGTCATCGTCTGCATCAGCGTCCGACTGGCCGTCGAAGTGAGCTGCTTTCAACTGTTCTTTTTTAACCTTTTGTTCGGAGAGCTTGTTCTCCTCTTCGTCACCATCCATGATGGGTGCTTCCTCATCATCGGCAAACTCTTCATCGAAATCTAAGTCATCATGGTCTGAATCTCTATCATTCGAGGTGGATCCACCCATAACGGTCCGCATTCGGCTGCGGCTATTACTCATCGATTGGGATGAGCTTATATTGCCAAATCGTTGGTCAGGAGAAGCCTCTGCCGGATTATCTTCCATGCGCTTCATCAACCATCTCGGCACCGCCGATTTCTTTTCCATCTTCGCCTCTGCCTCCTCGAGGGTCAATGTAGTATATTTATTTCTTGGGGTGAACCGATACACCTTTTCTGCGGGTATCATTTTGAACCCATCTCGATCAAAGACAAAGAGAACCTGTTGGGTGTCCGATGACCCTGCTTCGTAGTTACCCACGTAGATGTTCTTGCCATCGTAGTCCTCTATAACCCACGGATAAAACTCCTCGAACCGTAATTTTCGCTTGGATTCATCCATCAAACTGATCTGTCTGGTTTTACGTTTAAACATATTTTTCTTGTTTTTTCGTCCGCCACCATCGGGTGCCACTTGTGATAAATCCATCTCCTCTTCGCCTTCACCATTTACGGGGACTTCCTGTGCTGCTCCTTGCTGGCGTTTCTCTTCTATTTCTTTTCTTGTTAGCTGAAACTGGATATTCTGAGGATCTTTTCTGTGTAGCCGAACTGGTTTTGTGAAGTCCTTGACGATATTGACATCCTGCTTCGACTGGAACTTCATAATATGGAACCTGGCATCTTTCACGTCTTCAATGGTGCAACACCTGAGGGGAATTTCTTGCCATCCATCGTTGGATTCTGACTTTACTGGACCTTCTTTCTTTACAGGAGATGCACTCATAACTCAGTACGAAGTGTGTGGAAGTGACTACAAGTGGGGGGAAGGGACTAGAAGTGACTTGAAAGTATGTTGTATGAGAAATGGAGTACCGAATCGGTGCCGCGCACGACCGATAGAGGAGACTGGCTGCAAGTAGCTGAACATTAGGGGAGGTTGTAAGCCGCTGATACTGAGTAGATCACTAACAGTTGTTAAGCTTTGTTGGTCCCGAAATTACAATTGGTCATAAAAAGTGATTTTTTTTAAATTTTACCGAATTTTTCAATTTCACCAACCCCAAGAATCATTAGTGACAATTGAGTTTCTTTATGTTTCTTAAAAACAATAATGTAACCTTACATTCAAACCGAAGAAACACCTATCTCAATCTCTATCTACTCTAAACTCACTAAAGCATTATCTTTTGGTCAATCTCTCGCTACCCCACGCTTCGGACCTGTCGCCGGTACCGGCGCGACTGAAAAATCTGACTAACAGTCTCTGATCGCTTCTTCTATTTCACTCAATGTCCATCGAAGTTGAGGATCTCGACGTAGACCAGCTTGCTGTGAGCGAGCCTCCTCCACGGTATGTGGGATTTGTAGCTGGGGTGTTCTCAGGTATCACAAAAAACGCCGTGGGCCATCCGTTCGACACCATCAAAGTGCGTTTACAAACTGCACCACCAGGAAGATTCAATGGTACTATGGCATGTGTATGGCAAACGTTGAGAAACGAAGGAGTTGCAGGATTCTACAAGGGATTTACACCACCATTGGTTGGGTGGGTACTTATGGATTCGGTGATGTTGGGATCTCTTCACGTTTATCGTAGATACGTGAAAGACAATTTTTATCCCGAGGAGAAACGACTTCCTCTCATGGGCCATATTATCGCCGGCTTGGGATCCGGCTGGACAGTGTCGTTTGTCGCTGCACCCATTGAACAATTCAAGGCTCGATTGCAGGTTCAATACGATGCGAAATCTAAGATATATTCTGGTCCTATCGACGTGGCTACCAAGTTGTATAAAACCTCTGGTATTCGCGGGATATACAGCGGATTGCTCTCCACCATGATTTTCAGAACAAACTTTGTGTTCTGGTGGGGCTCATACGAAATCTTCACAAGGTGGTTTGAAGATAACACAAAGATGTCCACTCCATCCATCAACTTTTGGTCAGGAGGACTTGCTGCAACGGTCTTCTGGGTATTTGCATACCCCTCCGATGTCATCAAGCAAACAATCATGACAGATAGTCCCATAAGATCGCAAAAGAAGTTTCCTCGCTGGATCGATGCTGCAAAGTACATATACAACCAACAAGGCTGGAGAGGGTTCACTCGAGGATTTGGGCCCTCAATTCTCCGTTCGTTCCCTGCCAACGCCGCCGCATTGGCTGCGTTTGAAGCTGCCATGAGATTTATGCATTAATAGATATTTTCCATTTCGTTTTTCCTTACTCTTCTTTCGCTCTTTCCCATGGCTTTGTACGCTGCTGCTGCACCGGTTTGCTGCTTTTTTCAGGTAGTATCGTATCAGGAATCTCTTTTATCCCTGGAACTGGTTTTCCTGCAACGATGAGTTCTACAAGTTCTTGATAATTGGAAGAATAAGGGGCTTCCAGTGCTTCTTCTTCTGATGCGATTTCTTGAATTTTAGGCTCAATTTTGTCAACATTTTTACCTTTGTCGTCCACATTGCTGTGCAATTTCCATTGCTCGTAGTCGTCCAAGTTGAATATATGGCCTGTCTTGCTACAAAAGAAGAAACTCTTGGCTTGATCGATTAACTGTTGGCGGTCCAATGCTGGAATCGAGGTGATAGATGGGTCTTGTTCCTGCATGGATTGTAAATGATTGTCCATTATTTGGGCTATACCTTCTTGGAACTCAGTAAAGGAATCCCAGTCATAGTTTGCGTACTCTTTATAGACCTCTTCTTGTGGGTTTGACATTGTGATGCTTGAAATTGAAAACTAATTCGCACCCGCATTTTGACCAATACCTGCAGAACCAGAGACTATTTATGGTATTAATGATTTCTGTACCGTTCCTCTTGGAAATTGCCTTAGCACTTCGAATAGGATTCTTCTTGTTTGGATTGTACCAAGATGAGTACATGGTGGTGAAATATACTGACATTGACTATATGGTTTTCACCGATGCGGCACGATACGTAGCTGTTGGAGCTTCACCATATATGAGGGAAACTTACAGATATACTCCTCTATTGGCATGGATGATGTACCCCACATCATGGGGAGGCTGGTGGTTCAGTTTCGGCAAGTTTGTGTTCATGGTGAGTGATCTTGTGACGGGTGTAATTGTGCTTCGAATGCTACAAAAAATCAGAGTTAAAGGTGAGCCATTGAGTCACAATAAGTTGATCATATTGTCATCTATTTGGCTCTTGAACCCAATGGTGATCACCATAAGTACTCGTGGGTCATCAGAAAGTGTTTTAACGGTGATGATCATGATGGGATTGAGCATGGCTATGAATAACCAAGTCATTGGTGCTGGTATCTGGATGGGTTTGGCTATTCATTTCAAGATATATCCCATCATATATATCCCCAGCATTATGTTATACCTTGCCAAGTATAACAGGGGATTTTTTCCCACAATACCAATTGTCAAGTGGATCAATGCTAAGAATTGTACTTTTGCGATAATAAGTATTGCAACCGTGGCACTTCTCAACATTGTAATGTACCAGATCTATGGAATGGAGTTCCTCGAACACACCTACCTATACCATTTGACCCGGGTAGACCACAGGCACAATTTTTCAGTGTACAATGTTGCGTTGTACTACAAGTCCGCCATGGCTGCATTGCACACAATTGACCTGGATCCACTCCTCTATTCAATCACAAAAAACTTGGAAAAATGGGCGTTTGTTCCGCAACTAGGATTGTCCATTTTTTTGATTCCTTTGATCTTTGCTCAGCAAAACTTGGTTTCATGTGCCTTCATTCAAACATTTGCATTCGTCACATTCAACAAGGTCATGACCTCCCAATACTTTATCTGGTTCCTCATCTTCTTGCCTCATATGCTAGCCACCTCCAAACTATTGACTTCAAGAAAGTATACTGGAATTTTCATGTTGGCCCTCTGGATCATTACGCAAGCATTGTGGCTCTTAAATGCATATAAGCTCGAGTTTCTCGGAGAAAGTACGTTTGACTTTGGCTTAACTCCTTCGGCTTGCCTCTTCTTCCTTTGCAACTGCTATATGCTAGGCGTTTTCATCGAAGAATCCATCCCCATATAAGTGTACTGCATATGACCTGGCATCGGTCTTTGAGTTTTCAATTCGCATTCAAGTTGATAAACTTCTCTGCGAATGTCCAGATTAGAGCTCTACTCCCCCGAAGGTCTTCGTGTGGACGGGCGTCGATGGAATGAGCTCCGTCGGTTTGAGTGCAAAATCAACACTCATCCAAACTCTCTGACGGGTTCGTCGTATGTAGAACAGGGCAACACCAAAGTCATTTGCATGGTAGAAGGACCTCTGGAACCTGAAACCAGGTCACAAGTCGATGTGAGTCGAGCTACAATCGAGGTCAATATAGCTGTTGCCAGCTTTTCAACAATAGAGCGAAAAAAACGGTTGAAAAATGAAAAACGAATCATAGAACTCAAGGCCACAATGGAGCGCACGTTCGAACAAAGTGTAATATGCAAGCTCTATCCACGGACGGTGATAAAGGTGAATCTACATGTGTTGGCGCAAGACGGAGGGATGTTGGCAACGATGATCAATGCCACTACGTTGGCCCTCATCGATGCAGGTATTGCCATGTACGACTATGTCGCAGCGGTGGCAGCCGGCTTGCATAACGAAACTCCTCTATTGGATCTCAATACGCTAGAAGAAAATGACATGAGCCATTTGACTTTGGGAGTCATTGGCAAAAGTGAAAAATTGGCGGTTCTAATGTTGGAAGATAAAATGCCCATGGATCGCTTGGAACCAGTACTTGCAATTGGAATAGCCGGCTCCCACCGTATACGTGAGTTAATGGACCAGGAAACGAGGCGCCACGGCGAAAGGAGAGTGAAGAGAAAGTAGAATATGTAGCATAGAGTCATCACGTGACATAATAAAAGCATACCGAAGATAAAGAAGATGATACAACCGTACGATAAGAGAATGGAAGTGGGTCTTTGACAAAATGGTACGCAGCACCTACTTCGCCACAACCCTCATCATACAAGTTTTGTACGTGACTTCAAAAAAAAACCAAAAAAGAAAGGAAGAAAGGAATTGACACGGACAGGAATTGAACCTGCAACCCTTCGATCTGGAGTCGAAAGCTCTACCATTGAGCCACCGCATCACCCTTGCATAACTTTGGCTAAAGTAGTCATAAGACGATCACACCGGCTAAGCACAGTGTGCGTTCACCGACAAAACCCGGTGCGTGTCAAAATCTCCACATTCCATTATAGTTTCTTCAGTGGAACACTTTCGGTGCGCAAACTGTTTGCATTTTATTTCTTCTTGCAAGTAACACCTACTAGTTAACAAAAGTTACAGGAGACTGTAAACTATTTTACTTTAATACTGGCGTCTTCGAGAGATTTTTTTAGTTTGTTTTGTTGATCACCGCACTTTGATCCATGTCTTACCGAGGCCACAACCAATTTAACAACCAATTTGGACCTGGAGGTCCTTCCCCTGCTGGTATTCCACCTCATATTGGGCCGGTGGTACCTGCAAAGTCATCAATGGAACAATTTGAACAATTTTCGAAAAATGTTGAGGACTTGATCGATCAATATAGTCGTCCGTTGAAGCCATATGTTCCCTCGATTGGTCGTGCTTTTATTGTTGCGACCTTTTATGAAGATTCGCTTCGTATTTTCACCCAGTGGAGCGAACAAGTATATTATTTGCACAACTATAGACATATCTGGTGGTGGCTCACAGTATTGTTTTTGTTGACCAACATTATCACCATGGTTGCTGCTCTGACGATGTTGGTGTTGCGCAAAAAGCCTGAGGTCTCGACTATTGCTCTTGTATGTGTGGTTGTGTTTCAAGGGTTGTTTTACGGGTTGATGTTCGATGGACAATTCATCTTGCGAAACTTGTCGGTGGTTGGAGGATTGATTCTTGCATTCTCCGACAGTTTGGTTCGTGACAAGAGATTGATGTCTGTCGCTGGGTTGCCAATGGTTAAGAACCAGGACAACAAAAAATACTTTTTGCTTGCAGGCAGATTATTATTGGTTTTATTGTTCTTGGGATTCGTATTCTCTGCTAAACTTTCCCTTTTCAGAGTCATCGTTATTCTCGTGGGATTTGCCGCTTGTGCCTCCATCATCGTCGGCTACAACACCAAGTTCGCTGCGTTCGTGTTGACAGTATTGTTGTTCTTTTACAATGTGTTCGTTAATCAATTCTGGAAGTACTCATCCGGCGATTCCAACCGGGACTTCTTGAAATACGAATTTTTCCAGACCTTGTCCATTGTTGGAGGCTTGCTCATCATTGTCAATGCCGGCGCCGGCGAGTTTTCCTTGGATGAAAAGAAAAAGATCTATTAGTTTTCATAGTAGACTCATTTATTAGTATTACCCATCGTAGACTTTAATCGCATTCTGCAGGAATTGTCAGCAACTTTTTTTATGACCATGAGTAATGATGAACTGAAGTGTCCAGTAGACCATACAACCAGGCTGTCCTGGCTCTCCGGAATGAAAGGGATGATGTGGAGCACCTCAAAGCCCAATCTGGTGAACTTGGAAGTACCGGAAAATGAACCAAAACCAGTTTGTCCTGTAGATCATAATACTCGAAAAGACTGGATCGAAAAAATTTCTGTCAAGCAGGTACGTTCCGGAGTGCCAGAGGCCATAGAAGAAAGCTCTAGCGGGTGTGATTCCAAGAGTTTGGGTTCAGTACCATCATCGTGGTCGAAAGTTAACTTGCCAACGGAGAGAGAAGTCAGTTCCATACCCCGGACTTCCTCTAATGAGAACTGGATATATCCTTCTCAAAAAGCAGTTTTTTGAGGCAATGAAGAGGAAAAATTGGGACCCCAAGGCTGAGGATATGCAGACTGTGGTTCCTATTCACAACTCTGTGAATGAATCTGCATGGAAACACATACTTTACTGGGAACGGGCCAACTACGAAGAGGCAATTAAAAAGTGTAATGGTATTACACTCACGAGTTTCAAAGGCGATCTGAAGAAGATTACGCCCCGAGCATGGTTCAATAACAAAATCTTGGGCTATGATCTTCCATTTGATAGACACGATTGGACCATTGATCGGTGCGGAGTTCCCGTCAACTACGTGATCGACTTTTACAGCAACAACGGCAGTGTTTTCTTGGACGTGCGGCCCAACCTCAACCACTGGGAGGGCATAAAGCTACGGTTGGGACGGGCCATGGGTCAAAAATAGTAAATATAATAGCATAATATGACCTAAATACAAGACTCTATTGACGACCCATAAACTGGCCAGACTGGCCCATCTTTTGCATGTGCTCCCCGACTTGCACATTAGTCTCAAAGTATTTCGATACGCATCGGTCTAAGCAGAGAGCTTCTTGCTTGGAAACGTCAGAGTCGTTATACGATTTATTGATACATTTGCTGTGACATTGTTCTACAAGTTGGTTGAACATTCCTGTGACCATATCCAACTCGGCCTCGGCGGCCAGAAGCTTTTGTTGCGACGAGATTTGTGGGGCTGCTCCTCCAAGTCCAAACATATCTGTGATAATTTTTCGTTGGCCACTCTTGAGAATAATGAGCAAGTGTAGATCTATGCAGGCGATTTTTCCCATCGACGGCGACCATGCAGGACCCGAGGTTGCAACTCAAAGACTGGGGAACGTGAACAGGACATGGGCACCCCAGAGAGCATATCCCATGGGGAGATCATTTTTAATGGCATCCCATTTTTCCTCTGAGTCTGGCGCAGGGTATGCCAACCCGTGACATAAATTGACGCTTTTCTCATTCATGTAGGCAGATCCACCGGCAAAGCAGATTCTGGTATTTTTCCACCATGGTCGATCGGCTACCATTTGTCCAAATGTTTTGTTCGTGGTACATATGTCTCCATGGTAGTAGCGGAGAAACTGCCACGTCTGCGTCTGTAGGTTTAAAACCATCATGCGAAGAAGATACGAGTTCTCAGAGAATAGCAGGAACTTGGCATAGTTAGCAACATCAAACTTGCCATTACTTGGCGTCTTTGGACCCTTCAAACAGTCACTGGTGATCCCTCCAGCAAAGAACAAGTAGTCTCGATCCTCATTTTTGTAATAAAGGGCGGTGTGATGACAAGCACGAAGCTCTGCTTCGACAAGCAGCGGTAGTGGATTCTCTGATTCCTTGCACTTTGCCATGTGTGGTTCTTTGTCGGAATCAAAATACTCATGGACATATGTTGTCACTGACGTCCACTTACCTGTATCGAACACAAACAAGTAAAGATCACTGAACGACTCATGCTTTTCGTTGATTCCTCCTTGAATCAAAAGGGCTCTTCCATTGAAAAAAGTTTGCGGCGACTTGAACTTTCTCTGCATCGTTGCATTATTACTCTTGTATCTATCAGATTCCGGCGACCTGGCTCGATTTGAGTTGCTCAAATCGTCAAATGTAGACAGTGAGGATCCCTCATACAAATCCCATTTGCAATTGTCGACGAAAGATCGGTGGTGCTCAATTAAAGAAAATGCAAAATACCCTCTGGCCAGGGGCCAATCAGCAGAATGGGCCGCTTTCTTGGTGTCACCTTCATCTCCGTAGGAGTATATTAGAGCCTCTTCCATGAATTGAATCGACTCGTGGTTGTCCTTACTTCCAATGTCAATCTTCAACAAATCATTTGTGGCTTGGAACTTGCCTATACCGTCCTCTAGAACGCATTTGAAGCCTCCAAATATGAAAACTGATACACTGACGATACCCGATTTTATAACCGAATCTTCAAAAAGAAGGTTGGAACTGGGGCTGGTATCTGAGGAAGCAATAGAGTTTAGTTCAGCCCCCAGCTCGGACTTAGAGGTTTGTGTGTTGGATCTTGACGGATGTGAATGATTGGATGCTTGTGAGTTCTTATGTCCACCAAACCTGAAGGAGTCCACATGCTCTGGTGTAGCTGTTGGTATGAATTTGACATCAGTTTCTACGGAAGATGCATACTTCTGGTCGTTTGAAAGGGATGGTGCAAGAGAATTCTTCGTAGTAGCATGACTGTTTTGAGCCTTTAAAATGGGAGACGTGGGCCTGCTACTTCCATGTGAGTTAGAACGAACACGACTCATTTCTTGTGAGTAGGTATTAGTGAGATGGCTGTTAAGACCTGTGGAAAGGTTTCCAGATGCTTTGCGCAGATGACTGAGATGGAAGATTTTAGTCGACTTTTCAAGAATATTTCCCATTTTCAATGCAGCCATCCCGTGGCTCGGGCTTACCGCGCTATTGGGAGCAGAATCCTTCTTCGTTTCCTTTTCTGTGATAATGCTATTGGTTTTAGCCGACTGTCTTGAGTCTTCACTAGTCGACGATTGTAATGCTGACCCCGTCAAGACTTTAATATTAGGGTGTTTAGGACCTTCCGGGGACATACTGTTCGTCAGAACATCTGTGTCTGAGCTTGTATCTGTAAAGACAGGCGGCAGCGGAATTCGAACTGGAATATCCACCTCAGACTCAACAGGTTCGTAGATATTAGCAGTTATTCCACAACCAACTCGGCCACGAATTATATCGTGTCTGTTCTTCAGATCAAGACGTATCTTTGTGAACTTTAGGGTGAGAGAGTCGAAAATGTATCCGAAGTCGTTCATGATGAGCTTCTTACGCACGATCCATCGATCAACGCTCTGAATATACTCCGTGGATTCGACCTCTATCTCATATCCTCCAAAGAAGAAAATGTGCCGCGGTGAAATGAGGCAGCTTGCGGTTCCATTCAATCTCCATGGCACATTTGTGGTAGACATCAGGTCAAGATAAGTTATAGTATTTCTGCTGGCATTGAATTGGATCAAGTGGGGATTCTGTACCATGTAGGGACTTGTGAGCAAGTCACGACTGACAAAAGGGGGAAGCTCGTAGGGAAAATATATGGATATTTTGCTGGGATCCACATTATTGGGGATGTTTAAATGCGAGAAGTCATTATACTTGGAAGCGGCGAGACCACCGAAAATATAAGATATACCATTGACGGTGCCATTATTATGGTAGCAGCAGTTTGGAATATCAGTGAGTAGTCTGCGCTTCTCAATATCTTGTCTGAACCTATGGGGTGCGTTTATCGCTTGTTGAGGCATAGAATAGTAGCCAGAGAACCCTCCATTGGGAGCCTCATATTTCACCTTTTCAGGACACTCATCAGACTTTGGATCAATCTTAGGCAATTCAGAGGTCTTATTGCGTATCGTGCTATGTTCTACTGGCCCCAATCGCCCCGTAGGTGTGAATATAGTCTGTTCCAGTCCGTAAACGTGTCTTCTATCGTCCAAAGTCGAGCTGTCTGATCGATTATACTTGAATATAGTAGTTGGAGGTTCAACCCCATGCATCCAGCCACGTTGGTTTTCTGTGAAAAAGGCTTCCTGGGCACTTATACTCGGTTGAATTGAAATATTGGCACCATCTACCGTAGAAGGAAATCCTGAAATTGAAGGGTCGTCTGTTTCTGAAATGGGCCCCAACGTCAGCGTGTCCCTGTTGAACGCATACATTGTGGTTTTACCACCCTGAGAGCTTTCCTGCTCAGAATTGCCCACAGAGTCGATATCCATTTCCTACAATTATCTCACAATTGAAGTGGGGAAAGCTACAAATGTGTTTGTATGGCACCCAATACACCCATACATTAGTTAGTACTGCCAACCGTAGTTGGCTGGTATACATTCTATATTGTCTAAACATTTGGACTGAGCATATCGGACTTGACAAGGGCATGAATCTGCGTTAGTGTTGGGTTCCACAAAAAATTTCAAAAATTCAAGAAAAAATGCAAAGAATAAAATGCACACAGAGAGAAGATTACTTACGTCTTGCACTGAAGCATGGATGAACTGCCTCACTTCCAAGGCCAACCACACCTTCATCATACTGAGTGAGTTTTCGTTGCTTAACAATTCTCGACCTTCCTTCGACACCCCAAGTTGACGAAGAACAGGTAATGAACTGATGTTAGTAAATTGAATTTGCAGTAGGAAAGCCAAACATTAGGGCGTATACGAACCTTGCAAATAAGTCCAATTCTGGATCCAACTGGCGACCTATACCCTCAAGCAAAAGTATGGCCACGATAACTGTGATAAAATCTCCTTCCATTCTAACGTGGTGGGTACGAACCATACCCAAAACCTGATCTAACAAGTCACCAATACTGACGTTTCCAAGAGTGAAAGTTCGTTTCTTCATCCTATCCACCAACTTTTCTACCTTGAGAGCAAAGATCTCCTTGTTAATGACGGTTTCTGGCGTACGTGATCGCTCGGCCATTAATTCTCCAGCCTTGTAACCATCGAATTCGGAAAGGGCTTTGAATAAATCAATGAAGTTTACTCTGTCTCTGTGGTTGAGTTCAGTAATAAGACCAACATCAAGGAAACAAATCTCAGCATGATAACCGTCGTCATATAATTGCTCCAATTTCTTACACCAAGCATCGTTATCGTTGCCTAATTTTAGCAACTCGTTTGTAATGCGGTTTGTTTCCTGTTCATTACTTGATTTCACGATTTTATACTCCTTCTCGTGCTTGAACAACTCGTTCTTATAGAACCGCACCATCATGTTACCTGGGTGAAGATCAGCATGAACAAAGTTGTCAAGGATTAACATCTTCAAGAATGCATCAAGACCCTTATCACTCACTTCCTTGGATAAATTCTTGCCGAAATTCTGGTCCAATGATAGTAACTTGCTCATGGGAACGGCATGTACAAATTCTTCCACGAGAACATCCCTGGTGCTAAAGTTGATATAAGGTTTTGGAAAGTGGATATCGAGTCTTTTGTGGAAATTTGCTCTGAACTTGGCGAGGTTAAGAGCCTCAATACGTAAATCCAACTGAAGTCGCATAAGTATGGAGAATTGCTCAACTTCGTCAGGAAGCGACAACCACTCCATGGTAGGAATTATGTTGATAGCATTGGCAAAGAAACGCATGATCTTCAAATCACGCAAGATTTTCACCTCCACCTGAGGGTGGAGTACCTTGATTGCAACGTATTGATTAGAAGTCAACGGATCTTCGTGCTCGGTCACCAAGATTCTATCAAGAAGTTGGCCCGTTTGATTCAGTCGACCAAGATTTATCTCCATGTCGCCCTCCTTGCGTGCCGCCTCTAGCGCTTTACTGGAAAGCTTAGCAATGTAGACTTGAGCGATCGCTCCAACACCAAGGGGCTTTTCTTCAAACTCGTCAAAAATGTCCTCAAATGGCATACCGCCAAAGCTCTTACTTACAATTTTCTTGGTTTTGTGGAAAGAGTGGGCCTTGGCATTGGAATGTAAGTCCTGAAGCTCGTCACACATCTCCTTGGGAAAGATATCGGTTCTCGAAGCAGCCCATTGGCCCAACTTGATAAACGAAGCGCCAGCACGTTCGGCACTCCAACGAAGATAACGGAACCAAATGATGGCTCCGCTGCGAATGTGGCCACCAGTTTGCTTGTCCTTCCTTCCAAACCAGCAGATGGGAGACGCAAGAAGTACTGGTAGAAATATAGCCGAGAGTTCCACAAACCGGCCAACCGTCACCAACGGATCCCAGATGTAGTCGTGAAGAAAAAAGCCCAATGAGTATAGCGCTCGAGCAAATATGTTTCTGTTGGTGGTTCTCTCGCGCCTATAGGCATCAAACTGCTCTTTTTCTTCGTTTTGAGACGCCTGAAAGAGTCCACTTTCAAAAGTATCGGCATTTTCGTCGGGAGTAAGTCCATGTATACTTGTATCGGTGGCAACCTTTATTGTTTCGTTGTCAATGACAGAGTACCCCGTGGTTAGTGAAGCTCCAATCACACCCAATGGGATGAACCAATGGCTTTTTTTAGGATTGCTCCATGAGTGTTCGTAATTGTGTTGTTTTTGATAAGAATAATGTCTCAATTGAAAGACACCAGCGAGGATATGAGATCTAGAAGGTGCCGAGAATGTGCTTCTGCTCACAGACCAGCGGCCTGGTAAGACTAAAGATCGGTATATGCCTTTGTTCATAACATCCACTGGAGCAATGATAAATTGAAACTGCGGTGCGAACTGAATTTGTCTGAGATCGCAACCATAGGGTTTAGGTAAGTAGTGAAATTTAATTTCGTGGCTGTTGACCCTAGTATGGGGAATTCTCGAAGAGAATAACATTAAATGAAGCAAAAGCAATCAAGTTTATACCTTGTATTCTATACAACCTGTCCTCTCTTTTAGTCGCAACCAACCTACCCTCATACATTTGTGCCATTGAGCGGCCATTCTATCTCTTCCCCATAGTTCCAGTGCACTGCCTTGGTTTGGGTGTACTCTTTCAATCCCTCGATACCGAGTTCACGGCCAAAACCAGATTGTTTCATGCCACCAAATGGAACAGCATTACTGAGCACCATGTACTGGTTGCACCACACGGTACCTGCCTTGATAGCGTGAACCATACGCATACATTGAGAGGCATTTTGGGAGAAAATACCAGCTCCGAGTCCATAGGCAGTATCGTTTGCCAACTCAATTGCTTCTTCTTCTGTTTCAAATGTCTGCACAGCAAGAACTGGTCCGAATATTTCATCGTCTACTATCTTCATACCCTTTTTGCAATCTGTGTACACTGTTGGGGGCACAAAGAAACCATTTTTGAACTTTTGTGGTAAATCTGCCAATTTATCTTCACCTCCGGTAAGGCAGACGGCGCCTTCGTCCTTGCCATATTGAATGTACTTTTTCACCTTCTCCTGCTGTTGCTTTGAAACCAACGGGCCAATGAACGTGGTCTTGACACTGGGGTCTCCGATTTCAACTTGCTCAACTTTCTTTTTAAGAGTTGCAAGAAATTCGTCCTTGATGGTATCTTGGACAAAGAGACGAGAACCAGCACAGCAATCTTGTCCATGATTGAAAAGAATCGCCATACATACCCAGTTAGCAGTCTGATCGATATCCACACTGTCAAAGACCACAACTGGTGACTTTCCTCCTAGTTCAAGCGTCACCTTTTTGAGGTTACTCTTTGCAGCAGCTTCCATGATTTTTCTCCCTGTCACCGTCGACCCAGTAAAGGCAACTTTGTCAATATCCATATGGCGCGAAATGGCATCCCCAGTCACTGCTCCAGGACCATTCACCACGTTTAAGACTCCAGGAGGAAATCCTGCTTCAACTGCCAATTCAGCCAAACGAAGTGCACTCAATGGTGTCTGCTCAGCAGGCTTTATCACAATTGTATTTCCAGCAGCCAAAGCTGGAGCCACTTTCCACATGAACATTTGTATAGGGTAATTCCAGGGAATAATTTGACCACATACACCTATAGGTTCGGCTCTTGTGAACGCCAATTTTATACCTTCTTGCTGCTCAATAGTACGTCCTTCGATTTTGTCTGCAAGTCCAGCATAGTAACGAAGACACCCAATGCTGTCTACTATGTCCACGTCGCGAGCCATCCATACCGGCTTTCCGTTATCAAGACTTTCAAGTTCAGCGAGAGAATCAATATCAGCTTCAATCAATTCAGCCCATTTGTTGAGAAGAGAGCTTCGTTGGTCTGGAGTACTTTTCTTGCCCCAAGTGGTCTCAAACGCCAATCTGGCCGCAGAAACGGCAATATCCACGTCCTCGGCAGTAGCAGAACTTATGGTGGCCAAATCTTCACCAGTGGCTGGATTCGGGGTTGTCATAACTGTTCCACCTACTGATGGTTTGAATTCATTGTTAATGAATAGTCCCGTCTTGATCGTGATCTTGCAATCGCCATACGATTGAATTGTAACTGACATTAGTGGTTGAATAAATTAGCAAGCAGGTTGTCGGATAATTCGTGAGGTAATCTTAACTTTATGTGGTAAATTTGCGCGATAAGCCCTTAACTATGCAAGTCCTGTGCGAAGTTAATTTTCGCAGTATCGGAATCTTATCTTATGATGATACATGTCATGAAAAATTTATGATCGCAGTGTTAAACACGCTTGGCTACAACGTCCGTTCTATGCACGGCGCAGATAGTAGAAATAAACTGGCACGTAAGCCGCAGCTGCCGATAGTGCGTTACTAAATGGAGTATGTAGGAGGCATAAAAAGACTTGACAGTTGAACAATTTGGAAGTTTTCTAAGAGAGTTGTTCATTGACAAATACGTTGGTAAAGCCAGAGTGATAGTTCATCGCGGTGAGAAGAGAGATCATCAGATCCTTGAAATCGTGAAACCTAACCTAAGAGATCTGAACCCATCAAGTTTTCCTCCAATGATTTCAGATTGCCGGAAACAGTGAACAACCATATGTTCTACCAGTACGAGATATTGGGAACAATCTATATCTACGTTGAGAACAATGACCTCCAAAAATTGGTGCTGCAATTGCATGTAGTTGATGCCCCTCTTGTAGAGGACGATGGTACTGAAAGACATGATTCTCGATGCGATGGAATTGTACGTCGACAAGGAGCTCGACCTTGGATTTGGGACCGAGAAGATGTACAAGGAGAAGATCGGGTGCTTTATCAAGATTCTTGTTCCCCTTTGATGATTTTTCTATACCGGTATTGTATTCTGTATTCTGTGACAGTTGTGGAATTGGTTGTGTTTATTATTTCAGTCAATTGTTGACGAGAAGCAATACACATTCTATAGGACAATATATGCTTTAAAAAACAGTCTTTAGACCTGTTGGCTACATATCATGGCTCTGTGCGAACGCAGATGCTCACAAATTACTCATCTGAATCACTTTAAATAATGGTACGTACTGATAAGCACATTGATTCGGAGTTTCTCGTCTGTTGCGGCACAGGCTGCACGCTCCATGAAACGAACAACCATAAATAGACTAGCCGCAGCTGTCAGCTGGATTGGGCAAAATGGTCAATCTAGATTGAGTAACCGGACAAGTGGCTCTTGAATAGTTATTATCATCATATGCATAGATAGACGTCACTACTGGAGGGTTCACCAAACATTACTACATAGTCGAACCAAAATCAGAAAGTCTATTCTTGTCGCACTTCGTAAATCTGCACGTTTGACACAAGCGAGGGTGCGGCTGGCCATAGCGACACGCCCCGTAATACACGGCACTGGCATATTGGGATTTGCAGCCAATCATATTCTCATCTAAAGATCTCGGCTAGAGTTGACGTTTTCCGATGCTTCTTACGCATGGCGCTAGTCGTCTTGACTACAGAATTGCGCTCACTGTGGCTTAATTGAGAGCGAAACACGACATCATCTTGCAAATTGGATAGCGCGTCGGGAATAGTTGCCTGTGGAGACGGGGTATAAAAGGGACAATTTTCTTGTAGTTTGCAATCAAATGCTCATTGACAAGTACGTTGGTAAGGCCAGAGTGATCGTGGATCACAGTGAGAAGAAAGACCACAAGATACTTGAAATTGTGAAACCCAAATTAAGAGAACTGAACCCATCAAGCTTTACTCCCAATGATTTCAGATTACCGGACACGGTGAACAACCATATGTTCTACCAGTACGAGATATTGGGAACAATCTATATCTACGTTGAGAACAATGACCTCCAAAAGTTGGTGCTGCAAGTTGATGTGCTTGATGCCCTGGCTTTGGACGATGAGACGAGATTGAATAACACCATCCTTGACGCGATGGACTTTTACGTGGACAAGAAGCTCGATCTTGGAGCAGGGATAGAAATGATGAACGACAAGAAGATTGGGTTTTTAATCAAGAGTCTCGTTTCCATCTAGTGATCTATTCATTGTATACCGTATTTTTCAGTGGCTGCGAAAAATTCACTGATAAGCTACAGGACTAGCGAGAAAGAGACTGATTATCATAGTCAGTAAATGTACTCATAATATTGTTATGCTATATACTAATTCATAAACAAGAACTGTAAATCGTCCGGGGTTAACCTGCTGACCGCTGCGTCGTCCAGATTGATGGTTGCATTGATCATATTGGCTTTCTTTTCCTGTAGTTCAATAATCTTCAGCTCGATACTGTCTTCAATACAGAACCTGGTGATTCTGATCGGTCGCTTTTGACCAATTCGATGTACACGGTCCATAGACTGCCACTCCACACTGGGATTCCACCAGGGATCCATCAAAAAAACTTGCGACGCTTCGCAAAGGTTCAATGCCACACCACCAGCTTTCAACGATACCAAAAACACCTCGACTCCGGTATTTTCCATAAAGTGTCTGATGGTGTTATCTCTTTGTTGAGGAGACATCGAACCTTGTAATTTGACGGTTTCAAATCCTGCTCTTTTAAGTCTCCATTCGATCAAGTCTAACATCGACGTGAACTGAGAAAACACAATGGACTTGATTGTATGACGATCTGAACGAAGCTTGTAAAGCTCTTCTACGAGAGCCTCAATCTTTGTCGAAGAGCGCCATTCTCCACCATGGGTTCCTCTTTTGATTCTATTGACAATAGAAGCCTTGGTGAACAACTCCTCATCCACCTCTAATGCTGGCTGCTCTAAATCAATCGAAAGTCCAATATGGCAGACTGGACACTTGAGATTCTTATCTAAACCTCCAAACGAGTCGCAATACTCCACCACACACATTCTGCAGAATCTATGATGGCATTTGGATTCTATGGGATCTTCAGATTCGTCGTCACATAACTGACAAATAATAACCCCTTCAATTTCGTTCGAGACTTGATTGGTTCCTACTCGTTTCAACACCAAATCAGGATGGTCCGCCAATTGTCGCATACGTGTGATCAATGTGAAAATGTTGGCATAATTGTTGAGAACAACTCCCTCGGCCACATAGTCGTTGAACTTCCGTTTGGAGTCACTATACAATGAAGTGTACAAGTCCTTTTCTTCTTCATTGAACCAATCTTTCCTGATCTCCACCACACGTGGAGGAAGACCCAAATCATCCGCCCTCTCCAACTTGGTTCTTCTTAACATAATATGCTTTAGTAAAAGCCTGATGTTGTTGAAACTCTCGAGTCCCAACCCTTCAATACCGTATTTCTGAACATTTTTAAGCATGAAGTGGTTGAAGAAGTTCGTATGTACCATGGGTGAATGGCCGCAGATGTCACAATGCCTCCAGTCCAGAAACTTCCACTCATCACTGCTGCACTCACACTTGGTACAAAAGTATTGATGGAATGGTTCCAACTTCATGAATCTAATTAATGAGTACATCTCTCCGATTCTATTCTGTAATGGAGTACCCGTCAAGCACCAGCGCTTGGAACACTTCAAGTTGTTAGCCGCCTTGGCCGTGCCTGAAGTTCTATCTTTGATATTGTGTGCTTCATCCAACACAACTCTGTAAAACTCGATAGAGTGCAATGGAGATTTCTCCTTGACGAGACCTGCTTTTCTCTTAAAACCATAATTTTGCTTTCTAAACACCGATTCAAGGACAGAGAACGAAGTGAGAATCACATTATACTTGGATAGCTCCTTCACATCGGTTGCCCTATTGGCGCCATGGAACAAGAGCACTTTCAACAAACCATCCTTTGTGTGCTTTTCGATCTCGTTCTTCCACTGCATAAGTGCCACAGTAGGACCAACAACCAAATTGGGTCCCTTAGATAAGTCACTTAGAAAAAGGGCAATTGTTTGAATGGTTTTACCCATACCCATTTCATCAGCAAGAATGCCGCCGCGAAATTCACCTTCTTCCTGCTGCAAAAGCCAGTTTAGACCTTCAAGCTGAAACGGCAATAGCTTTATATTCATCCCTTCTGGTTGTGGAGCGCGTTTGACTGGGGGTGTTTCAAGTGATCCCAAATATGGGAATACGTCTTTGAGTTTAGGATGATGCTCGTACAACCTTGCCGTAGCTCTTGTAAAATAAGGAACTTTCACTTTAGGTTCCTTCTTCTTACGAGGAGTAGCCTTCTTGGTGGTTTTCCGTTTTTTGGGTGGCGGTTCTTTAGACTCTTGTGGTACTTCTACGTCGGCCAATGGAACAGTATCGTCATCCAAATCTGACAAACTGATCGAGTTTGCTATGGAAGAACCTTCTCTCGTAGCTTTTTCTGCTACTACTTCGACTTCACTATCCTCTGACTCGTTATCGAAGACGTTTTCGAGAGTGTACTCTTCATCGGTTCCCGAATCTGGTGATCGTTTTTTGGCAACCTTCGCCTTTGGTTTCCTTTGGCCAGCTTTCTTAGTTGTCTTCACAGGAGGTTTCTCAGTGGTCTTTGCACTCGTCTCCTTATCTACTTCTACCAAATCACCATCCAACACGTCAAGATCGGGTGGTTCAACGTACGATGGCTTCTTCTTTCTTGTCGATCTTCTTCGATTGCTGGCGTAGCTTTTATCACCCACCATAAACCCTCCGGCGAGTTCTGAGTCCAGGTTACCAGCAGAAGGCGAAAAGCCATCCGAGAGAGCTTCGGAACTTTGACTGGGAGCCATTTTTAGCGACGGTAGCAATCGGGTGAATCTTTATCGGTGAAACGGCGCGCCTGCATTTATCTAATTAGTAAGAGATGAGATCGCATCGGGTGCGGTGTGGGTGCAAATCAAGCAGAATTTCCATTAATGCATAATATACAAGCTAAGTCGTTCCGGCGGCAATGGCCCTTTCTGTTCTCTCAGCATCGTACTCAAAGTCGTAGTAGGATTTGTCGAACGAGTGAAGACGAATGAACCCATCTTCTCCTCCACTAGCATAACCAGTTCCATCGGGGTGTACGGCGATTGTGTTCAAAGGACCGAAATGGCCCTTGACTCTACCGATTTCATCAATGAAGATTTTATGGTAGAATCTAGCCTCGAATTTACCCTGGGATTCAGCAGTAGTAGTAACATTTCTGGCTTCTTGACCTCCTCCCAAAATGACAAAATCCTTCAATGGAGTGATGGCAGCGGTGTTCATGGGGGCGTCAGCCTTGTATACCTTCATGATTTCCAAGGTTTCGACATCAATCAAACAGGAACATTTGTCTTTTGACGATGTGATAAAGTATGACTTGTCTTCTGGAGCAAATTGGATATCGGTAACCAAATGAATTTTTTCTTCGTTATGAATACCATGAGCCTGGACACTATCGATGAACTCGCCCGTAGCACCGTCGTATTTGGAGACTAAACCATCTTCATGGCCAGCAATAATGTATTTTCCACCAGCTGACCATCCGGCAATTGTTACCTTCTTGGCGCCGTCTCTGGTTGGAATCACAAGACTTGGTTTCGAGGACTGGTTTTTGGGCTCTTCGTTGTTCACATCAAACACAGAAATCGTTCCTACTTGTCCCATAACCTGGTCGGTAACCGATAACAACTTGGAGTTGTCTGGTGAGAAAACCACTCTTCTGACTGGTGTGGGCATCTCGTAAGTGTATACACATTCGCCTGTTTCGACGAGCCAAAGCTTGATGGTCAAGTCGGCACTACCAGTGACCGCATAGTGGGTGTTTGAATCGACATCGATAGACCAAATGGTACCCATATGGCCTTCGAATGTACCTAACCGTTCACCATTACTGGCAAACCAGACAGACGCCGAGCTATCTTTGGCTACCAGGAAAAGGAGGTCTCCTTCCTGGTTATATTTGACCTGCGTCAACGACCGCTCGTGGCCCATAAGCTTGAAGGGACGCATTATGGAGTGTTATTAGGGTGGTGCTTAGTTGGTGAAGAATTTTTCGGTTCACGAAAAAGTCGCGGTGTGTGCAGGAACATACTCCAGGGTATACGAAGAAGGGTCAGTGAAGAACAGTGAAGAGAAGGCATTGATTATAGAAAAGGATGGTTTCTACTTGCTTTTGTTGAAAGTGAAGTCTTCTCAAAAATTGGCCATTTAGCATACGTTTTCGATCGTTTGTGTTTTACCATCGTGCTCGCCGTAGTCGAGTTTCAACTTTCTTGTAAAAAGTTCAAAGAGCCACTCCATGCATGCCTTGGTGGTGGCAGGATCGTAACGGCCTTTACTCATTTCATCCCTAATAAAGGCATGTTGGGCATCATTGATCTCGATAAACGTCATATCGACATTATTCTTTCTCAAAGTAGACCGAATCAAGTCTCTACCTTCCAAAGGTACATGGTTATCTTTGCACCCAAAAATCATGATGATTTCTCCTTCTATTTCCTTGCTTCGTGCGAGCGAGTCGTCTTGTTGGCCTTTGCCCAAAGCATGGTTGTGAATGTCAGTAGCAAAAAAACAAACTGCAGCACTCACTCTTTTGTCAAGAGCAGCTCTAAATGCCAAATGGCCTCCAAGACACATTCCTGTAGCGCCAATCTTGCCATTGCAAGTTTTAAGGTCCATAAGATAGTTAATTGCCAACTTATTGTCTTCATCATACGACTTCAATTCTTTGGTAACCTTGTAGTTGTTACCCTTATCTGTTCCTTCAGCATCGTAAGCCAATGGCTCGTGCAGTTCAAAGTTATGGTAAATGGACGGTGCTACCGCTATATATCCTTGTCCTGCAATATCCTTGGCAAATCTGGCGACGGGACCAGTGACTTGGTAAATTTCACTGTACACCACAACTCCTGGAAACTTTGCATTTGGGTAATTGGGGACTTTGGGGTGGTATACAAAGAGCCTCATGGTGGTCCCGTAGGACGTTTTGACGTCGTGGTAGGTCTCTTCGATAAGCATGTTGATTAGATGAGAATAAAGTAGTACACATAACGCTGAAAAATAGGTGAGATATAATACGAATCAAATACGAAATCAATCCAAAACTTGAAAAGAAATCAAATATGAAGTAGAATTGAACTATATAGCAGAACGATGCTATCATATGCTGGAGAAGACAAAACAAATGGAACTACTATAAAAGTTTTGGGATATCAATACCTCCATCCTGCTACTTCCAAATTAATATCGTCTATACTTCAAAAAGCTTAGTGTCCTTTTACTTCTTCTGAGCTTCAGCGGCTCTCCTAGCATCGGCTATGTTAGTATTTTTTGATCCCAATCTCGGTTTCTTCTACTCACCTGCTGCCTGTTTCTGCCTCATTTTCTCAGCGTCACTCTCCATCCGCTTTTTAGGGTCACCTTCTTTCTTCAGACCCTTGGCGGCCTCCTGCTGCTTCTTCAAGTTTTTGGCTCTAGCAAGATCTCTCTGGTTTCCCCGTGCCATGATGGCTGAACGAAAAGAAAGGAATTTCGCGACCAGCTCCAACAGTATTTTACTCTGCTATTTTTATCACTATATTACACCCTATGCCACTTTATTTTTCTTCCATGTCAAAAACCAACGAACCATCCTTTTCTGGGTCGTATGGTGAAAGCAAAAACTTACTAAACTTCTTCAAATTGTCAATACCTCTCACTTCAGTACCCAATAATGGCATCTTTACAACATGGTAATCTTCATAGAGCTCAGCCATTTGATCCAAATACTTTTGCTGCATCTTCCATCTGGACGCACACCGTTTGCAGCTGCCATCGTTATCGGCAAACAAAAGCTGGTTCACCACAATACTATTGACATCCATGTTGTACGACACCAACTCTTGGATCATTCTCTCGGTCTCGTATAACGACAAGAACTCGGAAATACACACACAGACAAACGTGGTCAAGTCAGGGTTCGTGAACTGTTCATTGACCTCGCTGACATTCTTTTGTATCTCGTTCATCTTTTCAAAGATGTCTTGCTGTTGACCACCTCCCAACATGTTCAACATGGGTCCCAATTTACCGGACAACTGCTTAAACTTGCCCAAGAGCTTTTCGAGTGTAGCTGGCAACTGAAGGAAACGCAACGTGTGTCCTGTAGGAGCAGTATCGAAAATAATGGTTTTGTAGGCCACGGTCTTTTCATCAGAATCTCCATCTGATGCCTTTTGATTCTTGATATGCTTGAGAACTTCCATGAACGACAATGCCTCATCAATACCGGGGATCGACCCAGTCATATCGTTCATTATGTTCTTCATAGGATCACTGGGATCGTTGTTATATTGCGATGCCTGTTGCTGTAAATCAGACATGGCTGCTTCTGGGTCGATTTCCATACACGACAAGTTTGGCAAGCCCTCGACGGGTCTAGCGTCCTTGCCGAATTTCTGGCAGAAAGCATCGGACAAGTTGTGGGCTGGGTCCGTGGAAATGAGCAAAAACTGATCATTTGGTTTTGAAAGTGCCAATTGGACTGCTATCGAAGATGATGTCGTAGTCTTACCAACACCTCCCTTTCCTCCTACAAAGATCCATTTGAGGGAGTCATGCTCCACAATCAGCTCTAAAGTAGGCTCTAATTCAAAGTCCATTATACAAGTAATAAGTTACTGTAGTGAAGGTCAGAAGACTTAAACCTCGTGGCGATTTCGCGAAGAATATTCCAGAGGAAGGAAAACGGCGAGAAACTATAAGCCAAATAGGAAATGTAATGGGTACGAAAAGATCATGAAAAAAATACAAGAAAGTGTACATGTATCAATTGGACAGCCAATATTTTGAGATTGAAACGAATTTCCACATTTAAACATTCGTGAAGGTATATGGACTATTCGGACTATTCTCTGTGATCTGTTTCTCCGCCCTTGTTTCTACCGCGCGCTTCTGCAGTATCAATTATCCGATATAGTGTAACGGCTAGCACGGTTCGCTTTCACCGAGCAGACCCGGGTTCGACTCCCGGTATCGGAAAATTTATTTTTTTTTAGCCGCCCCAAAACGTGCACCGGCTCCTCTTTGCAGCTATTTCGTCACCTTCCCATATTATGAACTGTTGCCTTTTGCCCTTTTATTCAATATGAAGTTCGCTAAGGTTCTAGAGCAGACCCTCGTTGAAGAAGAAATTCCTGACGATTGGGTAGAAGCTGCTATCAAGTATAAGACTTTAAAGAAATGTATCAATCAAGTTGTCAAAGAACTTTCACTTCTTGGACTCGGTCAAAATACCCTCAAATTAATCCTCCACAACGACCAGAGTGTCATAGAAGTGCCACAAGAAGACGCAAATGCATCCAATCCCGCAATCGCTCATTATTCCTTGACTAAAAAAGACAATAACATCATCTCAACTTTGAAAATATCGTTTGATTACTCAAACGAAGAATATACTGATGACCACATCCATGAGCTAGCACAGGAGATCAAGACGCGTATCGAGAAGTTGCTAGATGATGACCAGGAGCTTACAGCGGCAAAGGTTGTTGAACTTACTGATGCCGATAAATTAGTCATTTCCCCGCAATCGTCCCATAAAGTAGAAGAGGCAGACGAGACCAAGTCAGATTCTCCCAAGTCCAAAAGGGTCAATTTGGAGATTGTTCTCAACCTGGACTCGAAGTTTTTCAGTATGTTGAACGAGGAATTGGAGTCGTTGGACGCTTTCAAGAAGCGCGAAGAGGACAGACTTATGAACGAAGTCGACCAAGTAAGGTCGCTGTTAGTCACGTTGGCAAGTCCCGAAAAGTACCGCAAGGGTGACCTCTACAAATGGAGAGAGGTTTTCAGGATGTACTTGGATTCTGAAGTGTTTTTCCGTTATAACGAGGCTACTTCTTCTGGTTCTGAACGAACGGCAGACCAGGTTAAGAAAAACTTGGATTCATTTATGGAGCGTGCACAAAAGTCTGGAATACTAACCAGTTTCCGTAATAAAAAAAGCAAGCTCGCTTTCAATCAATTCGCCCAGATTAACACCCATTTGTTGAAAGTGCTCCAGTTTCAGTCAATTAATTCAACCGCCTTGAGAAAGATTCTCAAAAAGTTCGACAAACAAACATCGTTGGGTATCCGCAATGAGTTCCCCAAATTAATATCTAATGACCATGTGTTTATGACAGGAGCATCTATAGCTCAGTCTGTTTGCTATGTCATTCAATCGTCTATTCTCAAGCTTGTTCCACAACTCGAAGATTTCACTTGTCCCATTTGTCTTTCCATAGCATACAAGCCAATCAAATTGAACTGTGGACACGTTTTCTGTGTGCGATGCTTAGTGAAGATGAAGCAGCGGTCGAAGGCAGATTGTCCAATATGTAGACTTCACAATGCAGTTCTTGAAGCTGATGGCTCCAACTTGGATGAGAAGTCACTCGTGATAATGAAGCGCTACTTTCCTACAGAAGTACGCATGAAACTCAAGGAGAGAGACCAGGAACACTACTCTGAGTTTGTTGGCCAAGGTAAATGTATAATAATGTAGATGATAGAATAAAACCTAATTAAGAATAATACCACTAATGGTAACAGCTGCTAATCTGCACTACCAAACGGCCGTGCGTCAACTTGTCTCACTGTTTCGGACCTCGTCTATTACAATGGAGATTGACAAAAACACCAAATATGATAGGCAGCTTCGTCTTTGGGAGACCTCAGGGCAACTGCGGCTTGAGTTGTCGCACATTTGCTTGGTAAATGCAACCTCAACAGGCTCAGAACTACTTAAAAACTTGATTCTCCCAGGTATTGGAAAATTCACGATAATAGATGATGGGGTTGTGACACAAGAACGGATCTCTGGTAACTTCTTCTTGCTGAAACAAGATATAGGGAAGCAATTGGCACCGTCTTTGTGTGGAAAACTCAACGAATTGAACTCTGATGTAAAGGGAAACTCAATTTGTAAGTCGTTGGAATCAGTATTGGAATCGGAACCACCAACGTTTTGGAGCCAATTCTCCATCGTGGCCATTAGCGACTATACTCCTGCTCCACAACTCAAGGCATTGAAAGATATTTTGTGGTCCCAGAGTATCCCATTAATTGTGGTGAACACTGTAGGATTTTACGGCTCTCTACATCTTATCACCAGCGAGACTACTGTGGTTGAGACCCATGATCCGGCTCGCTTGTATGATTTGAGGATAGACAAGCCGTGGCCGGAACTCCAGGAGCTCTCAGACTCTGTCAAACTTGAAGAATTGAATGATACAGCCCATGCCCATGTTCCATATGTCATAATTTTCATCAAGGCATTACAAGAATGGCGCAACAAATATGGGTCACCACCAAAGAATTATTCTGAAAAGAAGCAGTTTAGGAAATATGTTGTTTCTATGTCGAGAGATATAAGAACAGAAACCAATTTCATCGAGGCTTCAACATCCACTCACAGAGCACTTCAAACTACAGAGGTGCCAGCTTCTATCCAAGACCTATTTGACCATCCCAACTTGCAAAACTTGACCAAATCGACTCCTGCGTTCTGGGTGCTTTTATGTGCATTGAAAAAGTTTACTGAGGTGAATAATGGCCAGTTACCATTACCTGGCAGCTTGCCAGATATGGCATCAGATTCTGAGAGTTACATCAAACTCCAGACAGTATACAAAGATAAGGCGCTGCGAGATCAGAAACAATTCACGGAGCATCTCATGCAAATTGTCAAAGATATTGGATCTGATCAACTGCAATTTACACAGGAGACCATAAGCCAATTCTGCAAAAACACTCACCTGCTTCATGTTACCCTGGGAACCAAAAAATCCTACTCCACTTCCATGATAGAAAACATGTTACTGGGGTTCAATAGTGGAAATAATCTGGACGAAGCTCATTTGTTGGCGATATATTTTGGCATTTTAACGCTCAATGCATTAATAGAAAAGAGCAACCTGCCAATAAGCGAGTCAAACTACGACGAGCTCATGAAACTTTTCATTGACGAGTTTGCACCAGGCGTGACACAACTCCCGGATGACATGAAGCTGGTTTTCAAAGAAATCGCAGTTCATAACAGCCGTTCGTACCATAATGTTTGCAGCTTCATGGGTGGTGTCGCCAGTCAAGAAGCGTTGAAGTTGACAACCATTCAGTATAGACCACTTGATGATCTCTATATTTTCGATGGAGTTCGTTCTGTGAGTGAAAAGTTCAAGGTATAGATAATAATTACAAGTCATCAAATGAACCCAGTATTCCACTTGTCTTTTGTTTCTTCTCTCGCACCAAATCTTTCCAGTCGACCACAGTTTCTTCATCGGAAGACTCGTTCATAATTTGTTTTTCTATAGCTTCTCTCTTTCGTTTCATTTTCTCTCTCCTTTCTTGCTTTCCTTCCTTCTTTTCATTTTTACTCGACCAAGCTTCATTCTTGACCTTTAGTTCTTTTCTTCTCTTCGCATCGTTAACTTTTTTGTTCCATTCTTCCTCCATCGTTTCAAGGCGGATCTTTTCCTTGGCTGGGTCGGCGTATGCGTATTTGTTCATATCAATTTTTTCTCCAAGCCATCCGTCTTCAGGCATTCTGTCGTTAGGAACAAACCTTGATTCAGGCATTTTGGGAAGTCTTAATAAACCATAAGCTTTTGCTAAACCAATGTAGTCGAGAGTTTGAAGACGGAAGATGGAGGTGGCTGCGTGCTTCGAGTAGTAGCGAACAAACCCCACGTATGCCTTGATTGCAGTTTCATGAAATGCTCTATCTTGCAACATCAAATTTCTCAAGTTTTTCAGAAATGCTTTATAGGCATCAATGACATCTGGCGATTCAACCTCGCTCATTTTAAGGCCCTTGACTTCCATAAAGTCAACATAATCACTTTCGAGTGCGTTATTGTTGAGCATAACGATGGCTCTTCCCACTTTATTGGCTCTGCCCGTCCTTCCACACCGATGTAAAAACATATCTGGATCAGTTGGCGGATCCAACTGGATCACCAAGTCCACTTCGGGGATGTCTATTCCTCTTGCAGCAACATCAGTGGTGAGCAAGACATGTTTCGAAGTACGCACATCTCCCTCTGTAAACTTGTTCATCGCCTTGAGACGAGCTTTGGCCAAAAGCTGGCCATGTATGGAGGTGAGGTTGACGTCTTCAAGTGGATGTAATTTTTGGAACACCGAGTAAAAGTACTTGACCGATGCACATGTGGGAAAGTAGACGATGCATTTTTTGTACTGTAAAGTCAGCAACATGTTGATCAAAACAGCTATTTTCGTCTCCGGGTTGACCATCATGTAGTTTACAGTCAACGACTGTGGTTTAGATTCGGCTTTGTTAGAATTGACAGAGATTTTCACTGGGTTGGACATGCCAGTGCGAAAGATACTGTCACCAGCCGACAGTAGGGTAGCAGAAAATAACCCAGTTCTTCGCTGCTTTGGAAGCTTTTTCAAAATGGACACAACGTCGTTCTGGAATGAAATGTCCAATAGACGGTCTGCTTCGTCTAAAACCACCATTTCAACTGTTGATCTCTTGACGGCATTGCTTGAAAAAAAGTCTAGCAAACGACCAGGAGTTGCTATTATGATCTGAGGTTTGTTCTCTGCAAATGCATTCAAATCTTCTCTTACGGTGGCTAATGAACCCACAATTAACTGGGTTTTGATGGGCGGTTGGTCCTCTGGATAGAATTGTAAAAGTGTATGAAATACGGTATTGATTTGGTTGGCAAGTTCTCTTGTGGGTGATATGACTATACCGTACAAGCCAGAGCTCCCTCTGTTCTCCTTCATACACTTTGTAACTCGCTCTAGCACGGGAATGGCAAAGGCGAGTGTCTTTCCAGATCCAGTCACGGCTTCGACTACAACATCTTTGTTTCCACAAAAAAGAGGGATTGTCGATGCTTGGACAGGAGTCATGCTTCGAAACCCAAGCGAGTCTATGGCATCGTGTATCCATGGCTGAAGCGATGCCTGGCTCCATGCTAGTGATTTGGACATGAGAATAAAGTTTCGCGCGATGAGCATCACAAGTTAAATTCACCATGTTGAAACGAGCCATTGGTCTCATATGGAAAAACGAGGGTCCCTACGAGAACTGGACGAGACGCCAGTTATTAGACCGCATTAAGGAATTGGAATCCATGACTAGTGAGTCCACAAGTGTTGAAACCACCAAGAAGAATCACACATCTAATGAACCCCCGGCCAAGAAACCAAAACGCAAGTTTGACTTTTCGGGCCATTCGAAACGGTTTATTGCTCTTAGATTCGCATACGCTGGCTGGAACTACAACGGGTTGGCGTTCCAGAACGAACCTACACCTTTGCCTACAGTAGAACAAGAAATCTTGGAAGCACTCACGAAAGCTCGTCTCATTACTGAACCTGATCCTTTAGTGTGCAATTTTTCCCGCTGTGGCAGAACCGACAAAGGAGTCAGTGCCATGAACCAAGTGATTAGTCTCGAAGTCCGCAGTGGCTTAACAGAAGAACAGAGATCACAGCCAGGAGCAGACCAAAAGGAGATTCCCTACATTACTATACTCAACTCATTACTTCCACCATCCATTCGAATTACAGGTATATGCTTAAATCCTCCGCCAGGATTCGATGCTCGGTTTTCCTGTTCCTATCGTCACTACCGTTATATATTCCGCCGGTATGACTTGGATCTTGAAGCCATGACCGAGGCTGCAAAAAAGTACGAAGGTGAACATGATTTCCGTAACTTTTGCAAGATTGACGGATCAAAGCAAATCACCAATTATGGCCGCACCATCTTGAGTGCCAATATTATGCCTTTAAAAGACGACTACTATGTTTTCGATCTTAAAGGAACCGCTTTCTTGTGGCATCAAGTGCGGTGCATGATGGGCATTCTCTTCCTCGTGGGTCGCAAGCTCGAAAAGCCATCATTGGTGGATGAACTTTTGAATGTGGACGTCAACCCTAACAAGCCCAATTATGATATGGCCAATGATGTGCCTCTTGTGTTGTACGACTGTGTGTTTCCCGATATAGAGTGGACCGCAGCAACGGATACGGCAGGTGCTGAATCGAAAATACTCAAAGAAAGAGCACTCATGCGCCAGCAAGTATTAGACCATTCCATCAAAGCTCAAATAATAGGCATGCTTGAAGATGTGTTTGTGGGGGATAATTCTCGAATGCAGGGGTTGACCAAAGGTGGAGGTATCATAGATATTGGTGACGGAAAGGGTCGTAATTTCAAGAAGTATACGCCCGTTATGCAACGTGATCGAACCGATCTGTTTGAGGTGATCAATGCGAGGTGGTTGGCAAAGGGAAAGAAGAAGTCGGATTTGAAGACCGAATAAGCCATTTATGACCATGTTCACGAAGCAGACGGTACCCAGTACATCGTATCTTGGCCTGCGCAATTATCGACCCATAGAAACCCATGCATAATCATATCATCAATGGCAGAACGAGCCCGCACTTTGTCCCAGCCGTAGTTATCCTGAAGAATACGCATGGTTATATATCCACCGATGAACTCACATGCTTCATAGATGGTTTTGTGGTCGTTGGAAATCGACTCCGACATGGACACCGACTTGAGCCACGACTTGCCGTTGATGGTAAAAGTATCGTATCCCTTCCCCAACCCATTAAGAAGCGGAACGCTCTCCAATACATCGTTCTCAGTGACCACAGCTTCGAAATCGGGGTTTTGTTGTAGAATGGAAACAAGCTCTTTAATTGGTATGAGTCCACCATTAACGGCTCTAGTATCGTTACATATTTCCACAACTCTCACGGCCACACTGATACGAAACTCCTCCTTGGATCTCCTACTTTGCATGAATAGCTCTAGCGGATCAATTCCTATCAGGGTACAAACCTGGGTAAATTTGGCTCGAGATTCGTCATCGTTGATAATGTCATCGGGGTGTTCTCGAGCAAAGTTTAAAAGTGCCGAACGGAACACAGCAAGTTGCGTAGACAACTGGTCTGCGTGCTGCTGGTGAAGCAGTTTACCGAGCTCGGCAAACCGATACTTGTCATCCATAAACAGTTAAGACGTAACGATAACTGGATAACGATAACTGGATCAAGCGCGCGAAACCTGCTCTGGAGTGCATAGTACGGCACCTTTTCGCTTGGCTCACTTGACGTATGCACGCTCACGGTGCGGTTAACACTGATTAGAACCGAGGCATAGAACCACAATGGGAATTGGCACCATGGAGTTATGAATGTAAAATATACAGTGAAACTTAGAAACCAGCTAGTTTCTCGGAACAAGATCTGTACACTTGTACTTAATTCAAATCGTCAGCTCAACTCTAGTAAATTGGTTGGCCTGTATAAGACTCTCTCCATGTGATCCCCACATTCAAGCCGCTCCATATTTTGTTAACTAATTTATTCCCGAGGTTTTACCGTTTTCATGCTGAAGGAATTCGAAGTGAACATCAAGGGGGTTCTGGGTACGTTTGCCGTGCCCCCTTCGGTTGACAATCCGAACCATTTGGCGGAAGGTGAAGCCCCAGCCAGCAAGAGAGCCGTGCTTATTCTCCATGGTCAGAGCGGACATCGTAATTATTGCTACCAGCGAGACTTGGCTGAGGCTCTAGGCAAGCAATTGGGGTTGTATACGTTAAGAATTGACTTTCGAGGCTGTGGCTCGTCGGCTGATAACGATGACCCATTTTTGGGCCGTACGCTTGACCAAGATATGGAAGATATACAAGCGTGCGCCGAGTACCTAGTGTCGGGAAACAATGAGGTGGGCATCAAGTTTTCCATTGCTTCCATAGTGAGCCATCTGAGAGGCTCAACTGCCATGCTCCTTTGGGCTCTTCTGCAGCTGGAACCCCAGCATGAAAATCACCCACGTCCTGAAAATTGGTTACCTGTCAAGGTTGAGTCTCTTGTCAATTGCAGTTCGCGGTTTGATCTGGCGGCGATAGCCAAACGGTTTCCATTGTTTGATCTTTCTTTTGATATGATGCCGCAATACTGTTTAAGACATGGTAAATGGCAGGAAGTCATGGTTACTCGCCATGAACTTTTATCGCAAGCGCAAACCGAAATGGAGGATTTGAAATACCTCGACCCGTCCGTTCCTGTTCTCTCGATCTACGGGCTTGAAGATAGAGTCCTTGAGCCCACAGACCCTTCTGGCATGGCCAATGCTTTATCTCGAGGTCCAGGTACCCACAACATTTACTTGATACCTGACGCCGACCACAACTTCCAGGGTCTTCATCCTATCGAGACCGAAGTGGATGCCGAGGAGTATAACCCTGATAATCTTCCTCTCAACAGAAAGAAATTGGTCAACTACAATAGCGTAGTTGTTGAACATATACTCAATTACCTTGGCCCCGATGCTCGAGCGCAACGCAGCAGTGAACTTTGCGGCAATGTTTCAACCATTCCCAGGTGGAAACAGGTCGATGGTGTGTCCAACTTTAGAGACATTGGAGGCTGGCGTATCACCAACCCCGCCAGGCAATTATCGCATGTTCCTCCCAATTCGTTCTACTATGTCCAGCCTGGATTTGCTTACCGCGCAGCCAATATGAGCTCAATAACGTCACAAGGGTTGGCAACGATGCGCAACCTTCGTATTAAGGTTGTGTTTGACCTTCGAAGTGACAGTGAATGCCAACATGATGGTATAGCTTCAGACTTGGAACTGGTGGGCATCACTCGTGTACATGCTCCAGTTTATGCCAACGACAACTTTCTGCCAGAAGCAATAGCAATGAGGTATAGCAACTTGATGTCTTCATGGCACACATTTGTCAAGGTTTACCAAGACATGTTGAAATTTGGAGTGAATGCGTTCCGAACCATTTTCGAGCATGTCAGAGACAAGGGAACTAGTTTCGTTGTACATTGTTCCGCAGGCAAAGATAGAACCGGTATAATCGTTATGCTTATGCTTTTATTGACGGGACTTGATAAGAATACCATTGCCCAAGAATACGAGCTTACGACAATTGGACTCAAACCCGACCACGAGAGAATCCAGGAGAAGTTCCTTTTCACCGTGGAGAAATTTAAGAAGAAAGTTGAGAATGCCAATGAGTTATTGGCAAAGGGCCGTCTGGGATGGACAATTGAGAAGGATGGGTTTGATAATCTCATCAGCTCGAGATACGAAGCAATGTTGAACACAATAGATCAGTTCCACGAGGACTACGGGTCGGTGGAGAATTACATGAAGGAACACTTGGGTTTCAATGACCAAGATTTGGTCAAGATATACAACAATTTGGTGACAGTTCTGGCCAATCCTGGAGGAGCAGACGCTTCATCCCGGGCCAAGTTCTAGGTATATTTAGAATTTTAAATACTACATAACAGGAAGTGGCCTTTCCTTGAATATCAATTTTTTTTTGATCACATCCACCATTTGTGCCTGGTGATTATCTCCATTGGTGGGTATTCGCAACACTCCAAGAGGCGTAGCTAAATCCACAATTGACCCCAATAATCGCTGCGAATTGCCTATATAAAGTACTACTTTCGACGGGTTGGTGTCGTCGAATTCTAGACGTCCAAATCGCACCGCTTGGTGTCCATTATCTACGATTACCGCGTCGTGGGTATGGTCCAGAGCTACGTGAGGGAGGTTTAGATGTCCCTGGATTTCAAGCATGCAAAGCCCGAGCGGAGTGGATATAAGGGGAGCTTTTTGGTTTAGGGAATCCGCGGCAGCGACATATTCAATGGAGGCAGTTGGCATTACTTCTAGTAGAGATTTAGAGCCAAGTTAAACGCGATCTTGTCACGTGACGTGAAATGCGAAACGACTAAAAATACTGCAGACTAGGCGAAGGCTTACGGTGATGGCTTTTCACATGGCAGAATTACATTTTAGCGAAACCACATAATGACTGCTATTGTCTTGTATCGCTGATTCTAGACGCTGATCGGAACCCGGCTGGTGCTTACTCCGAAAGTATCACGCCATTATTTGACACATTAAAAACTAAAGACTTGCAAGCTTCCCAAACGGGAAAGAAAGATGCAATTAATTTACCCAGTGAGGAAATTTTGCGGAGAACTATTCTTATAATAAACCGAATGAGGCAGGTGCAAATATCATGGGACAGTTTTTGTATTTTAATAAATAAACTTTAACATAACTGATTTCTTGACGATGAAGAAAAGTGACGAATACACCCCAATACATGGTTTGTTTCGGTTACTACAGGCAACCAATAATGGTGCTGCTGAAGGTACCGGAGTCAAGCTTTTGGTTGAACAGGGCCATGCATTACTAGGACCGAAACTTCCAGCAGTTATGATTGATTATACGATGGGAAGGCAGATTAACTTATTTGGAGACTACCCAAAGCAAAAAGATATGGCTCCTTCAATTATATTTGCAGTTGTTTTCTTCGTTCTTGCCCTACTTCACTTGTTGGTGTTTGTAATGAATACTTCAAGAAAGCATTATTTCTGGCTCACGCTTGGCTTCCTCCTCACATGTATTATGAGAGTGGTCGGTTGGTGTTGCCGTGCTTACTGGAGCACCGATCTTACTATGGTACCTCCTGGTATCGCTGATGAGGTATTTCTTATCATTCCATCGATTCTTCTTGTTTCGTTCAATTTGATATTGGCACAAAGAATCTTCACCTGGCGCCATCCAGTGGGTGGTTCAAGGCCCCTTTTCTGGAACACCATGTTTTTGTTGTATGGTGTGGTGGTTCTCGTGATCATTATGACCATTATCGCTTCAGCGGTGCCTTATGTGTACCTTCTTTCAGAAGGTGCTTACACCGGCTACAAAAAGACGGTTGAAGCATCAGCTATCTTGATCTTACTTTACACCTTGACGGCAGTAAGTTTGTTGGGTATGGCATACTTCTTCAAGCCCACAAGAAAGGACGAAAACTTGTACACTTACCAACCATGGTGGATCGAATCTTTCAGCCCATTTTACTTTGTCAAGCCTGGTGCTAAAGAAGAAGCAGAACAAAGTTTCATGAAGCGTGGACACAACCATCGTCATGCTATCAGGGTTATTGCTGCTACCCAACATCATCATAATATGGTAAATGGTCTCTCGCGAGAGAGAGGAGACCTCAAACATAATTGGTCTTTGGTGATTATCACCATCACCACGTTATTTATCTTTATTGGGCAAGTGGGTAGAACGGTGGCAGTGTTTCAGGGAAGGTTCCAAATCGATAGTGGACCTGTCTGCGAACCTGTTGCCATGTACATTTGCTGGGGTCTCTTTGAAGTGATCATCCACTTGTTATACATCATTGGCCGAGTAGATCTCCGTTTCTACAGACCAGATAGACTTCCAGCTCCAGTTCGGTCCATTATTACCGCCGAACAATCACTCAATCCATCGGACGTTGAGACGGAAAGTATGCAATCTGCCGAGGATGATTACTCGGATTCAGAGACTCAATTCAATGGTTCTGACGATGGATTTGGATTCCACAACAACCACATGGAAAAAGAACGTGGCGATGATGAATCTGAGTTTCATTTCTAGAATATTGGTTGGGTGCAAAATCACCCCATACTTGGTAATTTAACAGCAAGTACTGCAGCTAAACCGCAAGGGTCCTGTCCTGGTCTACATATACCACCAGAACCAGTTGGTCCCATTAACGATAATAGAGCCTTATATCAGGCACTTATAGATAATTTCCCCACCTCAAACCTATTTGACTGGCTTCCAATTCTGGTGCAAAAGACAAACTTAGCCGCGCGACACACACTATACCCCAAAATGTCGAAAGGGCCCAGCGCACATGCAGGCGCTGCATTTTTCTACCGATTAGGAAATTCTTGAAAAGCGGAGAAGATCATATAAAATATACAAACTATACACTTTCGTCCTAATTCACCAACAACATGAGTGAGAGTGATCAAGCTCCCATGCACGGGCTCCTCTTGCTCTTGCAGGCATTGAACAATGGAGCAGATATGGGAACTGGAATTCTTCAAGTAAAGGGCCAAGCAATCAATCTTTTGGGTCCCAATCTTCCAGAATCGTTAAAGATGTATGCTATTGGCAGGCAAAACAATCTTCTTGGAAGTTATCCTACCCAGAAAGACCTTGCCCCATCGATAGTATTCTGTGTGTTATTCTTTTTGATTGCTGTAATGCATTTTGTCATTTGGATAATCAACTTCAAACGAGGTCATTATTTCTGGTTATCCCTTGTTTGGGTGGCCTACTGTGCCATGAGAATTGTGGGTTTTGCTTTGAGAGCATACTGGAGTTCGGACATTCTTCAGGTGAATTCTGGTATTGCCAGTGAAATTTTCTTGATTATTCCATCCATGGTGATTGTGTCATTTAACTTGATTTTGGCTCAACGGTTATTTACATGGCGACACCCGGTGGGTGGTAACAGAATGCTTTTCTGGAATATTATGTTCGTCTTATACTTCATTGTCTGTTTGGTGATTGCCATGACCATCGTTGCTGCAGCTGTGCCTTATCTTTATTTCTTGTCTTATCATGCATACAAAGCGTACAAGGAGGTGGTGATGGTTTCATCAGTGTTAATTATATTATACTCTTTGACAGCCATTTCCTTGATTGGATTGTCGTACTTTTTCAAACCAACGAGAAAGGATGAAAATTTGTACACATACCAACCTTGGTGGGTTGAATCGTTTCACCCATTTTACTTTGTACAACCTCATGCTGCTCAGAAAGCAGAGGAGACTTTCATGAAGAGAAACCACAACCACCGTCATGCAAAAGCGAGTCATTGCCGCTACCCATCATCATTATAACATGGTTCAAGGTTTGTCCAACCAGAGAGGTGAGTTGGGTCATAATACATCTTTGATGATTTTGTGTGTTACCACCTTGCTTATCTTTGTGGGAGCTATTCTTCGGTCGGTTTCCGTCTTCCAAGCCAAGATTAGTGCTGAGGCAACAATCGTTTGTGAGCCAGTAGCCATCTATATTGTTTGGGGAGTCTTTGAAGTCATTGTTAATTTGTTGTATATCGTTGGCAGAGTCGACTTGCGTTTCTACAGACCAGATATACTACCAGCCAAGGTGCGGGCCATCATTACGGCTGAACAAAGTTACTACCCATCCGACAATGAGGATGATATGGAGAGCACGACTTCGTTCTCGGATCCTAATGAGTACACCCACCCACAATCAGCTCCTCAATACCACAACGATGAGAAGCTTGAAAAATACGAACTGTTCAATGACAGAGAGTCAGAATTTAATTTTTAGTTTATTAGAATACCACTTGAGAAATAATTATTCTTTTGAACAATCTCTTCCAAACATGGAAACCTTGAGCCAGTCCATACAAACGAGAATTTGGTTCTTGATGGAGAGACACATGTAAATGTAAGCAGATCTCCAGAACAAAAATGTGATTGTACCACCGGTAGAAACATTCGACCAATCGCCCCACACAAGATCGGCAACGGCTCTCTCAGATCCAATGTAAGCTAAAGATCCTTGATGGTTGTAGTGGAAGATAGGTAACTTGGCCTGCAAACGGTTAAGTTTCTTGGTCAATCTCTCAACATTGTCTTTAGGATCTGGGTGCTCAAGCTTGTACTTCAAAGTATCAATTTCGTGCAACTCTTCAAAGTGTTTACCCAAGAAAATACCCTCTTGGAATGCAACCTGAGCAGTAGGAGCGTATTTGGTAAAGGTACAATCTCCCAAGGCATAGATATTGTTTGTACCATCGACCAAAAGTCTATCATCAACTAATAAACCACGCTTAGCATTACGTTGTTCATCAATCTTTGAAATCAACGAACGAACAATACCTCTTGGTGCATTACCAGTGGCCCAGATCAACATACCATAAGGAAATTCAACGTACTCATCCTTTCCGTTCACCTTGTGGGTACCCATAACCATTCTATCGTCAACTTTCTTGATCATAGTATTAGTTCTCAAATCGATATTGGTGTCCTGGAATACTTGCTCAGTGTACTCGACCAATTTTTCACTAAAGGTGTTCAACACTTGAGGTAATGCTTCCACAAGGGTGATCTTCAATTCAGAGGAAACTTCGGGCATCCATTTTTTCAAGTCTTGGTCAATGTAGTCTTGCAACTCACCAGCAACCTCAACACCAGTAGGACCACCACCACAAACGACAACGCTAAGCAATCTCTTTCTCTCTTCGTCTCCCTTTGGCAAAATGTTGGCTGCTTCGATAAGATCCATCAAACGTCTTCTAATGGTGACTGCATCACTGATCTCCTTCAAGAAAACAGAGTGGGTCTCCACACCGGGAATTCCAAAAGTCGAAGGCTGGGCGCCAACACCCACAACCAAATAATCGTAATTGAGCGAGGTTGAGATTTCTTCTACACCTCCGTAGTCGGCGATTGTCGATTTGGAGGAGCTGGTATCGGAACCAGAGTGACCAGAATGAACGGTGGTGGACTGCTTGATGGTAATTTTCTGTTCAACGGGGTCAATTTCCGTGGCTTCGGCTTCCAAGTAAATAACTTCTCCCTTCAGCTTACGGGTGATGGTACGCACAGGTTCAATAATGGATCTAATTTCAACAGTACCTGTAGGGCAGGAAGGTAACAATGGGGTGAAAAGGAAGTAGTTTCTAGGAGAAACAATCACTACGTTGTACAACGAGGTGTCCAAATTCTTGAGCAAAGAAATAGAACCCCAACCAGAACCCAAAATCACGATGGTTTTCTTCTTTTGACCATTTTCGAAAAATGGAACTTGCTTTACTTGATCAGCAGGATGCGAATCTTGATAAACATGGTAGCCGAGCAATCCTCCCGTGACTAACACGGAAAGAAGCCCGAGTCTCTTGGTGTTTTTCCAGATCTTCAGCAATCTACTTGGAGATTTCTTGACGGGAAAGCCGTTGAGAAGACGAGCAGTTGACGACAACTGACGAAGTTGTAAAGCCCTTTCATTAACGAGAGGAGACACCCGAGATGAGGGAATAGATCCTGGAAGTCTGCGAGCTCCAAGCCGTATCATTGTGGAACAATTGCAGACACAAATGGATTTAAAGCAAAATTTCGCTCCTGGATGTGCACCGATGTTCGGTGCATTGGTTGCCGTAACTCCGGCCCGCAATCTGCCGCACCGGTAGTATCGGTTGATAAGGCTTAACCGTTGCGGTAATAATAGGTCCACGGAAAATGGTCCAGCCTCATATATACAGCGCGGATAGCTTGCCGCTGGCTTGTTAGCAAACAGGTCTCCACTTATTATGGAATATTATCCAGCGTGTTCATCATTGTGAAACGGGTTTAAATGTATCGGGTGAACGGAATCGTGTGCCATTAATTGCTTTGCCAGTAAGCGGGGTCAATTGGTTCAGATAAACCCAGTGACTCTATCTTCGTCCCATCGGTTCAATTTCTCTCGGCGTAAATGATATTTTTTTCGCAGAGCTCGAAATTGCTCGAGTGTCGTTTCGAGATCATTATGGTCTTTTCCCACATTCTGAACTATTTTGTAGCCCTCCTGGTCCAGGCTCTCTACAAGTTTCTTGAACTTGGTTTTCAAAAAAGTTTGATTGAAATTTGCAGCTAAGAGCTGGTAATGGTATGTCTCCAAGTTGATAAATTCTTGATGTAGCTCCTTGATTTTGGCCAATTGCTCCTCTATAGTCTTAGCTGTATCCTCGTACTCGTTGATCATGGTAGTGATCTCATTCAATTGCTCAATCAGTTTATTGACCACGTCTCTTAGCTGTGCTTGGTGCTGCTTATAGCCATCAAGAGTCTTGATATACCCACTAACTAGTTCATGCAGCTGTAGAAATTGCGTTTTTATGGTATAAGGAAGAATTTCAAGCTGGTGGGGGACTTTTAAAGGCGTCAAGTCGGCCAAGGAAAGTGGTTTCATAAATATCTAATGATTTTGCGAACAGTGAATAGTTAACCCCACGCTTACGTCAGATGGCTGCAATATTACGGTGATTAGAAGTTTCATCAATTAAGGTATCGTAACTCATGTCTAGGTGTCTATTGTTGTTTGAGTTTCCTCTTTAAGCGCTGCAAGTTTTTTTGGTCTCGTTTGGCTTGACTTTGCTCCATTCTCTGATTGGCCCAAAGTCGCACTCTTTCGCCATAGATGTAGCAGAAGATTGGAAATGGGACTCCAAGCACCAAGCCAATAAATGCACACATCGTGTTACCCCACCCGTAGTTGAGTCTAGCGTACATCTTTGATGCGAAAAGTGGGAACGCAAACCCAAAGAGTGACCGAAATAATGCTGCTGCCGCAACAGATGAGGCTGCGAATCGGGGATTCATGTCTATCAAGTAACCTTGAAGCGACTGAAATACACCAACAAGACCAAAAGCAAAAATCGCAGATCCAATTCCGGGCATTATCCAGTGCAATTTGTACTGGGCCGACCATCCGTACCAAACCAATCCAATGGGGATAATGATGGAAGTTGCAAACAAACATGGAAGTCTGTATTCGGGTTTTTGCTCTCCTCCATTCTTTTCACACAATCTAGTGTAAGTCTTGTTGATAAGAAGAGTCCACACAACGACACCGAGCATGAACCCTACGCCCATTGGGATGTACATGAGGCCAGTAATGCTCAGAGAAAACCCGTATTTGACCTTGAATATTTCGGGAAATGTAACAATCATCAAGTACATGAACCCATAGGTAAATGCCATGAACGATCCAAGCCCTATAATCATGGGGTGTGTGAACAACAACATGACTGGACGAGTCATCGTGAGCATGACTTTGCTAAGAAAGGTCTCTCCATCAGCGATTTCATATATCGTGTGTAGGTTTTTGTTTCCTGTTTCCTTTCTTAACCTGCGAGCTTTTTGTTTGAGTAAGGTCGGTGAGTAAGTCTCGCGATAGAAAATGGTTCCAACAATGGCCACAGCACCGTTGAAAATGCACAAAATGTAGAACACCCATCTCCAGTCTTTATGGTCCACAATAAACCCAGCAATAACTGGTGCTATAACAGGTCCCAATAGCGGTGCAAGGGAGAACCCTGCTAAGGCTGTGGTTCTCTGTTTGGCTTCAAAGAGATCAGAAATCACTCCAGCACCAACATTGATAGGACTAGAACCGAAGAGACCGCCAACAAACCTGAATACCATCATCTGAGCAGTGTTCTGAGAGAAAGCACAGCCAATGTTGAAGAATAATGACATCCAAATCGAAACATCGAGAACCACTTTTCTTCCGAATAAATCATTTTCACTAAGTGGGGCAATAATTAAAGGACCCATTGCCCATGCAAGAATTTGTATAGATATCATCATAGCCTGAACAACGTTTGAGGTGATACCAAAGTCTTTGGATATGTGTTCCACTGCGGGAGAAGGCATTGACGATGACATTGGCGATACAACGGTGTAGAGAGACACAAATGCTATGAGGTACAGTTTAGTTGCAATTGACCAGTTTCTAGGATCTTCAGGGTCGTCATACCCGTCCCAAGTCACAAGCTCGGGATCTATATCGGCAAACTCTTCGCCGGCATTGTCTACAGGGACTGCTGATTCTGGTAAGTTTGGGAAATCAAATGCTTCATTTTGTGCTTTTTGTTCGAGTTCAGAAAGAATAGTTTTTCTTGTCAATTCTCTCTGGATCCTTATTTCTTCAGAATCCAAGTCACAATAAATATCTTTCTCGGAATACCCTAAGGATCTCGTACTTTCATACGATTTTCTAGAAGCAGTAGATCCTCGACGAAAACCATCTTTTTGTGGTTGACCAGTAAATGCCATCGGTTGCACCGTCTCATTCGAAGACGAAGCTGATAACTCATGAGATGAGTTTAAGGTTTCACTCTTCACACTCGTGGACATTTGGGATCTACAAAAAACAAATTAGTTTGGCCTTTATATATATGGCTGCAGTTGCAGCCCGGCCAGGCGCGGTTACCTGTTCCGGATCAAAAGTTTTTTCGCAGCTAAAACTTAACGTGCGCTGAGCCGCTCGGTTATTGACGGAGTCCATCGTGACACACCCGTTACACCACTTGGGTGCAAATCGGTTCCAATCGGTTCCAATCGGTTAGTCCTTCTTTTTGTATTCTGTAACCCCTCCGTGAGCCTCAGCAAATCGCACACAATATTCTTGACTTGCTTTTGCCGCACAAATATTGTTGTAGTCAAAGCCGCGTTGCTGGAACTTATCGTCTGAAGTGATGACAGTGGCTTCGTCAAATAATGAAGGAATATTGAGAATATAGTCGAGCAATCCCCTCACATGGACAATGCTGACATCAATGTCACCACCAGAGAGGGTGATGCCCATGTAGTCTTCGAATTCAACGGGGATAGCTTCTCTTTTGTATTCTTGCTTCATTACCTTGCCAGCAGTTTTGTCTGCAATCTCTTCGTCGGTAGGAATTACAGAGTAGAATTGGCGACGATACAGAACATTGTTCTTGAGGATCGCACTAATTCCCCAGTAAGCAATGGAATTGGGGATGAGAACACTTCTGCCCACACATTGCTTTGGTTCGGGTTCAATTAATGTACCATCGGACAGTATTTTAGGCATGTACCATTCTGGCGCCGTAATGTCAAAGTCAAAGTATTCTGAAACGTCCGCTACTTTGTAGTAATACTTCTTTGTCTCTGGGTTGTAGTCTTCGATGAACACAATGAGGTTGGGTCTGTACATCGATTCTCCGCATCCACATTCCTTAAGATGTGTCCGTGCCCACCCGACAAATACCTTTCTGTTCTCAGGAAATTGATATAAATTCCGGACGTGCTCAGGAACTTGGTCGTCTATAGGAAGCTCCATGAGCTGGGTACCCCCACGCAAGGGACCTGGTACCTTGGTATTCTCGTACAATGGGTCACACAAGCCGTCTTCAAGCGAGCAAGTCATCACTTCAAGTGGGTCCATACTTGAAACAAAATTGATCTTTTCTTCATTTTGACATTGTCTTCCAAAAAATGGTGTCCAGTTTTTCTCGATGTATCCAAATTTTCCTGATCTTCTCTTTAAGATCTGAAGGTCGTCGGAAAATGGCTTGTACGAGTGCATCACTCTCTTCACTAACTTGTGATTTTTCATATTGAACACAATGATGGGCTCGACCTCTCCTTGGCTGTTCGTACGTCCAATGATCCGAGGATCTTCAGGTCCCCAGTAGTATTTGCCATTATCAACGTGCATGTGGTAGTCAAAGGAAATGGGTAAGAAGGAGGGAAACTTGATGTTTCTGGTTGATTGCTTCGTGTCCAACGTCAACTCAGATTTGGTTCCATCAGCATTGATGACTGATTTCGTGACTATCTCTTCGTAAGGAACTTTGAGATGAGTCTCGGGTACCTCTTCCCAATTTTTATCAAAGAGTTGCACGTATAAGAAACTCGCAAATGCCTTATTGGGGATCCCTGAAGGTGACCACATCACTCGACTCACCATAAAGTGCAAGCCATATTGAGGGAGCCACACTGATGAGCCCGCAAATCGATGCCACTGTTTTTCTGCAGGTATCGACGGTTTGAATTTCTTGTTGGCCTCCGCCAAAAGCTGTGAATAATTCTCATTGCTCGCCAATGCTGCTTGCAAAGTTTCGTAATCAGCATTGAGGAATTTTTGTTGTGTGTACATCAACGATCTTTCGTATTGAAGACTCTTACACATCGATTCCTCGCTAAATGTGTAGTCTGCTGACTTTCCAACGATCAACGTATGAGGATCAGTGAAAGTTTTCAATGGATTGGCACTGAAAACTCCGTTACTGCGATATTCCTTGCTCAAAGGAAAGCCCTCGTCCCCTGTATCCACCGGTCCCGGTGTTATAGAGTCAATGTCGGTGGTTACCTCTTCGGAAACCGTTTGTTTCACTCTCGTAGAGCCATCTTTTTCGCCTTTTTTCGGAGCAAAGAGATTACTTACGGTCAAAGATTCCCGTGACGGAGCCCACGATTTGACCAGCGCTTCGGAAGACGTGGCTATAAGAACCACTATGACCATGGCAGCGGCCATAGCCAATAGGATCCTGAAATATCGTCTCCCAACCATCGTTGTTGGTGGACTGAAACAGGAGAAACGGAAGTAGATTCAAGTGTCGCGCGCGAAAAATAAGGTGGATCTGTGACTGCACACAAGCGAACGGCTGCAAGAGGAGATATTAATAGTACTACCTAAGAGAAGCGCCATTGCCTTGTTTGGGTTAGTGTAGAAGCTTTCAGTCTCTACTAGAATACTTTGTAATTGATCTAGAACCCTCAAGGAGCCCAATTTTTACAATCTGTGACGCGGCTAAATTGTCGTACCTGCAGCAGGTCGATGCGGCTACAGGTGTCAAGAGTCCCACGAATTATATATTATGTTCGTCCGATTATAATACAATATTAATACAACGTCAGCTATTCGGTTTGGAAAGCGACAGCTCAATGAGGTCGATGGAGGATTCCACCTCCTTCATACTCATGCCACAACAAAGCGAGATGAGTTTGCAATACTTGTAGAGTTTGTCTTCTTGAGGAAATGTGGAAATTATTCCTTCATCATCACCGTTTGTGTTGGTTTGGTCCATGTTTTCCTTTACGTCATCCATGCTGATTGTCATTGGCACCGCACGTCTTTCCTCGTACAACTTGTCGAGCAACTGTTGTCTCTTTTGTATGAGTTTTTGCAATTGGATTGCCTGTTGGATAGGTGTGGTATTGCGTGCAACAACTTTTCCTTCTTCTTCTATCTCCTTTGACCTTTCTTCAATCCGCTTATTCTGCACCAAGTGTTCCAACTTTTTGAGTTTCAGAAAGCCTGTTTCTAGTTCATTTTTCTGCTGTAAAACTTGAAAGCAGAGATCATTGTGCAATCTATGAATCTCATCTTGTATAAGCTCGTCTCGTGTAGGATTAGGGTTTGCTTCGTTCTCGTCCACAAGGTACTCGAGTTTGAAATACTGCAAGATCTCTCTCTGAGATTCCACCCTTCGTTTACCGCTGTGACCCACGGCCAGAAAATAGGATCTGAGTTGAGCATCTTGATCAATTAGTTCTTTCTCCATTGAGTAAGATAGTTGGCTGAGGCGTTCAGCGATCAAATTCGAGGCATTATTCTGTGCTTTAATTGCCATCTTGGTCATGTGGCTCTGGGTATCAAAACTCATGGTGCTGCCTGCAAATGCTATGTCATGTACTCCTAAACCATCCACGCCAATTTTTTTTGAATCTGAGTCTAATCTCAAGACATAATTGAAAGTTGCGAGATAATCTTCCACGCTATAAGATACCAAGTTTTTCAAAGAAAAGTCGATATAGCTGTGATATGCAATTAGTACCTTGATTAGCTTTTTCCGTAAATGATAGGCTGCAATGTGAAATGCTGTGTTCCCGTTGACATCTTGATGGTTAATGAATTTGTATATCACAGCCCTTCGATTACTGTTTAATGAAGTAGTTTTGGATTTACTCTTGTGTTCTGGTGGCAGTCCCTCTTTCTCATACTGAATGAGGCGCTCAATCAAAGATTCAAGATAGTATTTAGCAAATCTTTCTTTCTTTCCATCGTCATTTGTTTCAAGAGATGCCTTGACAATATGATGGAGGACAGTCATGCCCGAGCTATCGACCAGAAGAATTGAGTCAAATAAAATCTCTAGCAATGCCGGGAAATTTTTCCACTGGTAAGCATTGCTGAACTTTACTGCAAACATGAGTGGAGTTTCGCCATGAGAATTTTTCACGTTGGCTGTGAGGTAGGAACTGAATGTGGAAAGAAGGAAGTGGATGGCAGTGGTGTTGGCCATCGAGCAAGCCCAATGGAAGATGGTGTTGCCGTCATTATCGATTCCTCGAGTGATATTAATGCTAGACAAAGGTTGGGGTGGGGATGATAGTTTTGGAGGAATTTGTTCGGATCTCACCTTGTCTTCCAAAAAGTAATTGAGGAGGCTGTTGAAATATTCATCGTGAACCAGGTCGTTTCTGGAAGCCAGAGTAGCCATATGATGGTATTGCAGAAGACTGTATGGGTCGCTGTTGGTACTGTTCATGCTAGCCATGCCATTGAACGATCTTTGGGGCCGGTCATAATGCCTATCAAAGGAAGCCCTTGGAGTAGCAAACCCTAAATCTCGTCCACTCATCAATGCATCTTCTTCTTGGTCGATATCCTCGTTGTCTCCTTCATTGTTGTCTTCGTCGCTGTCATCGGTGCTTTCCACCTCGAGGTCTTCCTCTTTAACATTCAAGCCACCGCTCATGGCTTGGATCTCGTCCTGTTCTGTGTCTTGTCGAGACACGGGTGCTATTGGTTCCGACCTTCTAGAAGTTCGTTTCAACAGAGGATGCTGTCTGGGGTATAAGTCGACTTCCGGGGCCAGTCGTTTTGGGCGGCCTCGTCTTTTGGGTTCGGTACTGGCGGTTTTAGTTGCTTTGGCAGCAGGTACCAGTCCAGTACTCAACTGTCGTCTTGCCACATTAGATGCCGAAGCATGGCTATGTTTGGGTGCCGGTGGTGGTGTGTCGGACTTGCCTTCTACGTACTCAAATTCAAAGATAGGCTTGAGCACATCGTATACGCCGAAAGACTGGGCAATTTCGGCGCCGAGATTCAAAGGTACATAGGTTCCTTGATATTTTCCATATCCACCCTGAACCTTCTCGTGTATCCCCGTTTGGACGTCTTTTTCTAGTATTCTTGTTCGTTTGGCTTTCGGAAACCGAGCGATTTTCAATATATGGGTAGCATTAATCCACGAATCCAGCTTTCGTCTCATTATAGGGCCCTCTGATGTGACGAACTCAAACACAGGGACGTTGGAGTACGTTGCCGAGTAGATTTGGGTGTCCATGGCCATGATATTAGCTGAAGTTTATGGTTGTTTTTAGTAAGGCGTTGATGAATAATGAACGTTAACGAATAATGTGACAAATTTTTTTCACCACTGGGTGGTCACTTGGAATGATCAAAGCAACTTCTACGTTTCTAGCCACCCCCGTTCAATTGATCTCAACCAAATGAACCAAAAGGTATATGACCCGAGCAGTTTTGTGTAAGGAACGAAGGGGTTGTGATTAAAGTACTGCATTTCGATGAAGAGGTGTGCATACAGGAGAGAAGAGGATGGACAGTAATGTAAGTTCATTATTTTAATTTAGGTTGTATTTGTCACTTGTCGGTTATTATTGATTTTTTTTGGTTATTGTTGGTGATTTGCTTGGTTCATTGATCCTTTATTTCTTGTTTGTTGTAATTTTCGTTTTTCTCACCTATATACCTAATTGCAAATTCTTCAAATTATCCAATTTGTATATCTGTTAATTTTATTGTCTCTTATATAGTTACAACGTATCTCCTCACCACCCGGAAACCAAACGAACAAGTCGATGGACCATCAATGACACCAATAGAAATAGTACAAAGAATCCCCACAACATGTATCGTGACATGGACTTGATGCTTAAGGCGGAGAACTGGCTTTCAGAAAGAGGAATGCTCACCACATGCTCGGCCGCTTGGAAGCAGATGTTTCGTCTGCGGACAATCTGGCAATCTTGAGGATCTACATCTCGTTTGAGAATGGCTTTCCCCAATAGAATACTAGTGTATTGCTGCAATGAAGGGTCGAACGTACGGAAAAGTGTCCTTAAGATGGTAGACTCTCGTTCGATGCCAGCGGTGATTTTTTCAATTTTTCTCAATTGTTTTGACACAGAAGAATTGATTTGGTCCGAGCCACATATCGACTCGACATCATCAGTTATGGTGGTTAACTTGAACAAGTACAACGACTTGGCAAGCAGATGCTGAAGTGACTTTGTATGGCTGGCAAGAAACGGAATAAGGAGTTTCTTGAGATTATCAAAGTCACTGAAAAAGATATCGATGCAATTGAGCGTCTTGGTGGTGGCATCGAACACCTCGATGGCAGATTCCACGGAAAGCATGCACATTTTTTTCACATAGCCCTCGTACAAGCGGTTTTCCCATAGTCCTCGATTCTGGACTTGAAACTCATCCTTCATTTCTCTGGACTCCGGACCTAAAAGGGCATTGAAGTCCTGCTCTAGCATTAAGAGGTGGTGTTTTGTTCGGTTCGTCATACTGGTGATGTCGTCGTAGTAGGGGATCTTCCGGAGAAGCGTGCTGTAGATAATGGCTATGTCACAGTAAAGATGAATGATGCGTTTGAGCCTAATAAGGTAATTGAAACTGGCTTCGTTTAAACAAAAACGCAATAGTCGAGGGTGGGCGGAGAGTATTTGGAAATCAGCACCATCCCTGCTCTCGGCCTCGAGCTTGATAATATGACCGCCAACTTTGTATGGCATCGCAATCAACAGCGATAGGGGTATTTGTGGCAGAACTCTTAAACTATCGCAGCACCTGAATCTCATCTCGAGCAAGTCGCCGTCCTGCAGACAGCCCGAGACGGCATGACAAGAGGATACGAGAAACAACTATTCTGAAAACCGAAAGCGACGATTGTATGAGTAGAAAAGCTGAGTTGAGTATTGGCTCAGCCACTGAATCATATAATATGCACGATTCCGCCCCTTGGCACTTTTTTCCTTATATCTGGAGAACCTTCCCCACACGACTTATCTGCAGTACGTTCGATTTTGTCACCGAATTCAGTGTGAGTGAGATGGCGTACGAGTGAGTTGCTAATGGGAGTTTTTGACCTTTTCCGGTCAAAGGGCTTTGACCCAGACACTTATGAGCGCGAACTCACCGCATTGAACAAGGAAATCAACTCGATTCTGATCCAGAAACGTCGCATCGACCAGCAACGAAAACTGGTGGTTTTCAAAGTCAGATTTATGGCCTCAGTTCTGTATTTATTGATCATGTATTACAATTATTTCATGGCACCACCTACTATGGGCAAGAACTTCATCCAGCGGTTTGTGAGGAGTCAAACGAAATACCAATTGCTATTTTATATAGTGTATCCAGTGGTTGGATATGCTGTAATTCGAGCTTTGATTTTCTTCTACACTTATTTATACAAAAAGAAGGAAAAGCAACTTGATACGTTGCGGAAAAAGCTCAAGAAGAAGATTGACGACTTGAAAAAAATCACCAATTTCGAAACAACCAATAATCTCTTGACCAAATTTGGCACAGTAGTAGGTGATGGAACCACTTCTGGTGCTAATCTGGTATCCACACAAGCCAAAAACCGTAAGCAAGGAACAAAGGCAGCTCCAATGAATGCCCCTGTCACAAATAAGGGTCCATTGAATGCCGTAAATGACCCCAAAAATACCCTCGGAAAAGGACCCGGAAATGGCCTCGGAAACCGTCTCGGAGACGGCCCCATCCTTCCTCCCACTTCTCCTTTGGGATCACTGTCAGGTAAACTGTCAGCACGACCGGTTTCGGATCGATTGCTAGATCTACTTATTGGATCTGATAACAATGAGTCTGTGGAGGACCGATATGCCTTGATATGTCGCAATTGCTTCTCCCACAATGGCCTCGCACCTCCAGGAAGCAAGGATCCATTCAGCGTGGTTTATTTGTGCCCAAAGTGTGGGTTTATCAATGGTGATGAAAAGAAAGTGAATCACCTCAAGGGCATGGAGAAAGACGACAAAGAAATGGAACAAGAAAAGGTTTCTTTGGAAGAAAAGGTTGAAGAAAAAGGTGTTCTGGAAGAAAAAGCTGATCAGCAGGACGAAGCTAGCTCTAAAATTGAATCTAGCATGTCTTTCCCAGAAGAAGTCAGCAAGCACCTGGAAAAGGCAGCATCCACTGCATCAGAGAAACTCTCATGATTGGACTTCAATTCTCCATATTTGGCTTCTTTACGTCAACCACACAATCACTACATGATTCAATGAGGAAATCATCGATCAGTACATCTATACAATGCTCATATCGCGACCTTCAATAGACTGACTCAAGCCGCCTTTAACTAGCTCATCTTTTATTCCAAAAGCCATGCAAGCTTTCTACCATAGCTTTCTACATTCTCTCACCATTGGCAATGATTTGGTACTCACAACTACTATGAACTCTAAGACAACTCCCATGATGGCATTGACCATATCTCCCTTGTGAGCTCTCAAAGCCTTTACAGCCTTGGCACGAGAAACTTGTGTCTGTTCAAACAATGATCTCGATATCTTTCGAGTCCAAACCAGTTTCGTCTACCTCACCTTCATCTTCCTCAACAGTCTTGTCTTCCAAAGAAGCGTTTTGCAAGTCATTGGTGATGGACTCTGGAGACTTGTCAGCGGTTTCGGCATCAGCAGCAGCCTTGGTAAGAGCCTCTTGTTGCTCTTGTTGAGCTTGAGCCTCGGCAATTCTCTTGTTCATGTCGTCGACCTTGGCCTCACCGAAAACAACATAGGTACCAGCAGCAGATTTGAACACATCTGGTTGCTCAATAGCGTAAATGAGGTTTCCCTTTTGCTTGAAGGTGACTCTGGTAATACCAGGAACTGGCTTCAAGTGCAATTTCTTGATCAATTCTCTGGCCTTCTTCTCGTTCTTGGACAAGATGGTGACATCAGCACCTTGGGGAATTTCTTCTGGGATTTCTTCGATTGACATTGTTGAATGGGTTGTTACTGGTGGGGAATTTTTCACTGAGTCGACGAATCGAGTTACCCGGCACCGGTCGCATTTCGGTGCTACATCGGTGCACCTCGACCTTCTCGAAAACTAAGCGCCGCTTCGAGGCATCTGCAGTACCAGAGTCCCCAGCACCTGCTTGGGGTATACGGGCAAGTTTCAAATTGGGTTTCGCAATCCAGAACACAAGACCAGGCATATCTAGCTGTTCCGCTTATTACATACTTGAATCTTGTATTTGGGTTCTTGCCTCGTACCAATTATACCATGTCGGCTCGGCTCCGATTAACTCCGTATAAACACCGGCGCCAAAAAGGACCAAAACGTGGTAGGAAGTACGAAATGTCAATTTTTCTCCATTATTCCAAGAAAAGTTGACCCGTTGAGTAAGTGGCTCGGTAATTACCAGTATCCGAATACTATCCGTTTTTTTCGTAGTTTGCGACCGTTGTTCTTTGCACCTGTCATTATGTAGCCGCTCTAATCTCCTGCACGCAGGTTAATCTCAAATGCGGATTGTTTCGGTTTATTCACTCAACTTTGTTAGTCAGCTCGTTGTATATCAACCAGCAAGTAGTTTCACGGCCTCAAAAGCTACTACAAGGTAGTACAACCACTTCCGGAGTATACTAAGCTCTTTGTTTTGGTCCAGCTGTCTTGCAATATTGCTTTTCGATCTTCGTCTTGCTGCGCCATCTTCCTACATTTTGTTGCTAATATTCGTTTCTGGCACTTTCAGGAGTGAACTATATTTATTAGTGTGATACCCCTGTTACTTACATATCCCTGAGTTACTCCAACATCCTAAGTGAGGAAATTGTGGTGATGTCGGAGAGAAATTCTCAAAAGAATGACTCGGCTAATTCAGGGTCTGATGGTCCGGAAACGGCACAGTCATCTTCCGAGTACAACTCATCGACTTTAAAAGTTCCGGATAATTTCAATAGGATTAATGATCTTTTCACCGCAAAACCACCGGATTTCAAACTGCGGGTGCAGACCATGCTATACAATAAAGGACTCCATTCCCGACCAAAATACTTGAATGACATATATCAAACAATTCCTCGTACGGTATATGTCAACCAAGAGCTCCCAGATGCCATGAAAGATGTGCATGGTCACCCACGCCTCACCTACCCAAGAAACAAAATCAGAACTACAAAGTATACCCCCATCACATTTTTGCCCAAGAATATAATATTTCAGTTCACCAACGTTGCAAATACGTATTTCCTTGTGATGATTATTCTTAGTGCATTTCAGATCTTTGGTGTGCAATCACCCGGTTTACAGGCCGTGCCGTTGGTGGTGATTGTAGTTATCACTGCCATCAGAGATGCCTACGAAGATTACAGCCGGGGGTCTAGTGACAATGAACTCAACAATTCGCCGATTCATTTACTCGTGGGGCTTGACAATCCTAATGTGGAGACAGACTACGTTGATCCCTGGAGACGCTTCAAAAAGGCAAGTACAAGAGTGACTCGACGTATCGGCAAGGCAATCGCACGAGGACTTATTATGACATTTGGTAAGAAAAAGAAGAAGCAAGAGGTGATCAGGAAGGAAAATGCAGAGAAAGAATTAGAGCTAAGAAGAGTTTCTACAGTTATTTCTGATACTTCTGATTTTGGGGAGCGGCCACGCATGTCAACTACTGATCGCTCTCACCGTCCGTTTAGAAAATCGCATCAGAGCCAACGTCACATTAGTCAACCGGTACCACATACAATCACTAATCCAAAACTCCAACAAGAGCACTCCGAGAAGGGAGCTAAAAACCCAAAGTTCAAGAATAGATCGTGGAAAGATGTCAGTGTCGGCGACTTCATCCGAGTACGTTCGGACGAGGAAGTTCCAGCTGACATTGTTATATTAGGCACTTCCGATGCCGAGGGCAATTGCTACATCGAGACGAAAAACTTGGATGGTGAAACCAATTTAAAGACAAAAAATTCTTTGGCTTGCGGCGGATCCTTGTCTCATGCTAACAGTTTAGGATTTAGCAAGTTTTGGATAGAGTGCGACGCACCAAATCCCCACTTGTATTCTTTCAAGGGAACACTTCACTATGAAAATTTTGACGAAAGTGGTCATATGGTTAATCCTGACGAAAAAGAAGCTGTTACCAACAACAATGTCTTACTTCGAGGCACCACCTTAAGAAATACCGCATGGGTCATTGGGGTGGTAATTTATACTGGTTCGGAAACCAAAATAATGCTTAATTCTGGCATAACCCCTACAAAGGCTTCTAGAATATCCCGTGAGTTGAACTTGTCAGTTGTCATTAATTTCGTTATATTGTTCATCTTGTGTTTTGTTTCAGGCCTTATCAACGGTCTCTTTTACGACAAGGAGCATGTTTCCCGAATATACTTTGACTTCAAGCCTTATGGTTCCACACCAGCTGTCAATGGTATTCTTGCGTTCTTTGTTACATTGATCATCTATCAATCGCTTGTTCCTATTTCACTTTACATATCGGTTGAAATCATCAAAACATTGCAGGCATTCTTCATCTTTGCTGACGTCAAGATGTATTATGCAAAGCTCGATTTTCCTTGCACTCCCAAATCATGGAATATATCGGATGACTTGGGACAAATCGAGTACGTTTTCAGCGACAAGACTGGAACATTGACTCAGAATGTTATGGAGTTCAAGAAGATGACCATTAATGGAACGTCATATGGCCTTGCCTATACTGAAGCACAACAGGGAATTGATAAACGAGAAGGCAAGGATATTGTTGCCGAAAACGAAAAATGGAGACAAATAATTCAAAAGGATAGAAGCGAGATGATTGAAAACCTTGTCAATAATAGTAAGAACAACCAGTTTCGAGAAGAAGCTCTCACTTTTGTATCTAACGATTACGTTAAAGACACTATGATGACCGAGGGCAACAGTGAGCAAAAAGCTGCGAACGAAACGTTCATGTTAGCGTTATCTCTCTGTCATACGGTGGTGACCGTAGAGGACGAGTCAGATCCTGATTACAAGATATTCAAGGCGGAATCCCCAGATGAAGCTGCATTGGTGTCTGTTTCCAGAGATTTAGGATTTGCTTTCCGTGATCGGTTTCGCAAAAAGCTCATTGTCGACATATATGGGGAAGGTCATGAATTCGAACTTCTCGAAGTCATACAATTCACCTCTGCCCGTAAGAGAATGTCTTGTATAATCAAAACTCCTGAGGGCAAGATTATAATGGTGACCAAGGGAGCTGATAATGTGATTTTTCAACGATTGGTGAAAGACACTGATCCTCAAGTTTTACAGAAAACTGCTTTGCATTTGGAAGATTTTGCCAAAGAGGGATTGCGTACTTTGGTTATCGCTCAAAAGGAACTTGATCCCTCGTATTATTCCAACTGGGTTGCTCGCTACAAGGAAGCCCTTTCTTCGATCGATGACTCAAGGGAAGAGTTTATTTCAGAATTGGAAGACGAAATAGAGCAGGGATTGTACTTGCTTGGTGGTACTGCCATTGAGGATAGATTACAAGACGGTGTTCCTGATTCTATCGCCTTATTGGGTCAAGCAGGTATTAAGCTTTGGGTCCTTACTGGCGACAGAATAGAAACGGCCATCAATATTGGATTTTCGTGCAATCTTCTCGGTAACCAGATGCAATTGTTAGTGGTGAGACCCGACCCTGAGAAAGAATATAATGTCAAACATCTTGATAATTTGCTCACGCAATATCTTCAAGACAGCTTTGGAATGCTAAGGGATAGTTCTAAATCGGTTGATGATTTGATCAAAGAAGATATCAAAGACCATTCCGTACCTGAGGATAGTGCTGCCTGCGTCATTGATGGAGCTGCATTAACCATTATCTTTTCTGATCTTAGTGAACAAAGTGAGGAGTTGCGTGACCTTCAAAAGAAGTTTCTTTTACTAGGCAAGCGCTGTAAATCAGTTATTTGCTGTCGTGTGTCTCCCTCGCAAAAGGCAGAGGTTGTAAAGATGGTAAAACAACAACTCAGTGTGATGACTCTTGCCATTGGGGACGGAGCGAACGACGTTGCCATGATTCAAGCGGCGAATATTGGAGTGGGAATTGCCGGAGAAGAAGGAAGACAAGCAGTTATGTCATCAGATTATGGACTTGGTCAATTCCGATTCTTAACAAGGTTATTGCTAGTTCATGGTCGTTGGTCTTATAAAAGGTTAGCAGAGATGGTGCCATGTTTCTTTTACAAGAACGTGGTGTTCACGCTCACCTGTTTTTGGTATGGAATCTTCAACAACTTTGATGGATCATACTTATATGAGTTTACTTTCTTGATGTTTTTCAATTTAGCCTTCACATCGCTTCCCGTTATTGTGTTGGCGGTCTTAGACCAAGACGTTTCTGATACCATTTCATTGTTGGTTCCACAGCTTTACCGTACCGGTATTTATCGGTTGGAATGGTCTCAGTTCAAATTTGCATGGTATATGATCGACGGATTGTATCAATCGGCGGTTTCATTTTTCTTTCCTTATTTGCTATTCTACAAATCGTTCCAAAACATGCAAGGATTGGCTGTGGATCATAGATTCTGGATAGGAGTATTGGTGGCATGTGTATCAGTTACGGCATGTAACTTTTATGTGTTGCTTCAACAGTACAGATGGGACTGGCTCACTCTCTTGATCGATGCTATATCTATCCTTCTTGTATACTTCTGGTCAGGAGTATGGAGTTCCAGAGTGTATGCTGGAGAGTTCTATAAGGCAGGTGCTCAAGTGTTGGGAACGCTTGCATGTTGGTGTGTTGTTTTTGTCGGAGTAGTTGTATGTTTGCTCCCAAGATTCACTCACGACTTCTTGAAGCGTAACTTCAAGCCACGGGATATCGATATCATTCGAGAGAGAGCCAGACATGGGGCCTACGAGGAATACTTTGAAGGTTACGACCCTACATCGTATGAGGATGTTGAGAGATTAAGAGTCTTGAAAGCGGTCATGGAGCGTCCTGAGATGCTTGATAAGATTGACCTCGAACAGCCAGACAGCGCTGGATTTGCTGAAAGCCATGAGCATGACTCTCCATTGGCAAAGACCTTCCACTCCATTAAAAGAAGAGCTACTGTATCCAGATCTCGAAAGAATACCGTCTCACGGTCCAGAAGAGATACTGTTAATGCCTATTTGAAGCAGCCAATGAATTTGGAGCAATTGAGACAGGAGATGATCAGAACTGGCGAATACCGCTCGTCAAGAAATTCCTTGGAACGTATAACAACGACACATGAATTGCCAGGATTAACTCGAGCTGAGACCTTACTTTCGTACCACACGAGGAACAGCATCAACCTCGACCGTAACGCTGTATAAATTTGTATGTAATATATTTGAGATGGGCCGATGTAGGTTAAGAAAGTTCGATATACTTTCTAAGGTAGAGCGCAGAGCCGCATCCCAGTACGGCGTTTTCGCAGTCAAAATTATATCGCGAAAGAAGTTGCAACATGAAGGTGGAAGCACCAACTAAAGTAACGTTAAACCAGCTTGAAAAGGGTGTCGAATTTAAAACCTTGGATGCGGCGTTCGGTCCTGAATCACTTGGTATACTTGTAGTTGAGGGACTCTCGGATGAGTTCCATCAGCTACGAAATGATGTCTTGAGACAACTTTCAATTTTGGCTAGACTTTCCAATGACGAATTAAGCAAGCTAGAAAACGAGGAGTCGATGTGGTTGACGGGCTGGTCATGTGGTAAGGAGAAGCTTGCTGACGGACGACCTGATACTTTTAAAGGATCGTTCTATGTTCAATTGTGCTTTCCACAAAGATGCCTTATTATTAGTGTCCTCCCTCAAAATATTGTTGATAAGTTTAA